GAATTCTGTAATCCTACTTCATAGTAATCCAGCTCTCTCAGCAGCATCAGGTTGGCAGATGTTTATGAAACGTCTGTTGGGAGCCTGAGAGTGCAGTTGAGTCATTCTGCATACATTGTGCTCTCCTGGCTGGCAGGGAATGTGTCTCAGGAACTGGCCTCCAGGACTTCACTCTGGGTATTTATGGTTATAGATGTTAAGGCCTCTATAAGTGTTCTTTTTTTTTGTTGTATTTCTTCATTACATTCTAGCCAAAATACTGAAAAAGAGGTGCTGGTTTGATTGAATACTGAATCTGCCTAAATGTTAGGAAACATTCCCAGAGCCCTTGGAGGAGAACCACAAGCTTTGCCCACTGTACTTTTTGTTTCTCGCTGACAACCAAACTTTGGTACATTTAAAAAATAAACTTTTCTTTACATATATTCTGGCTTTTTAAAGAATAAAGAAAAAAAAAAAAGAGTAGCTTTAAAGGACTATGAGATTACAGTCATTTTGGTAATAGTTTTACCCCAGTCCTCCTTGTACAGAACTCAAAATTTTAGGTGAAAGGATTTCTTTGCTGGCTCACTGTCAGTAAAATACTATAGCACAAAGCAAATTTTTAAAAAATACATAATTATGAAGTGTTCAAACAGTACAAAAAAAAAAATTCTGTGTGTGTGTTAAATACACATTGTCACAAAGAAGATAGTGTCTTCTGCTGAGAGCCTCGTGTGGTTCTCAAGGCTCTGGCTGCCTGGTGATGGGGAAGGTGACTGATGTGCTTCTAGACTACAGTGCAGGAGCGATGGGCAAGTGTTAAGACACTACAGCCACTCTCAGCTCGCTGTCAAGAACTTTTAGGGGCCTTCCAGTGGCCCCTGAGCCAATCTGTTGTAGAAGAAATACCTTTATAAATTATATCTACACGCTGGGGATTTAGCTCAGCGACATAAGCACCTGCCTTGCAAGCGTGTGGTTGTGAGTTTGATCCCCGGTACAAAAAAAAAAATTTATACCTTCATGAGTTGGAGCACTGTTCACAATAATTAATAATTTATTTATGATAATATCATAAATGGTGCAAAGGAGATGTCAGAAAAAAGTGGGTTTGAGTTGAGTTTCTACCTCTTGGTAGTGCTCTTCAGGACCATTCCACGTTGTCTTGAACCTCTGCCTTAATTCCTTAACAGAAGTAGTGAATTGTCCCATTGTACCTGGGAAGATTGTGTGTGTGTTAGAGAGAGAGAGAGAGAGACAGAGAGAGACTAAGATTTAAAAATGATATTTGCCGGGGGCTGGGGATTTAGCTCAGCAGCATAAGCGTGTGTCTTGCAAGCAGGCAGTCATGAGTTCGATCCCTGGTACCGATAAAAAGGAAAAAGACCAAAAAAAAAAAAAGTATTTGCCTTCTTTTTCCCAGTATAATTTGTCAACAAAAAAAATATGACCTCTAGAAAAATGACGCGTGTGTCTAAACTGAGTGGACTTTCTTTGTAGTTAATTGCTCTGTGCTGTAATATTTTATTAACAATAAATTACTCCACAGTGAAATTTCTGTCTTTGGTCTTAAAAACCACACAGTTTCTGAGTACAGTGGTACACCCCTATAATCCCAGCTACTTGGGAGGCTGGGGCAGGAAGATCACAATTTAGAGGCCAACCTGGGCAACTCATCGACACACCTTTACTTAAAAAGGGATGAGGATGTAGCTCATTGCTCCCTGGGTTCAGTCTCTAGCACTACCAAAAAAAGGAAAAAGGTTGTGTTGAAAATCAGGCATTTATTTTGGATCAATTATCATTTGTTAGAAAAAACAGAGTGTATTTATGAAAATATAATACCAAAATTTGTTTTTGTTTCATATGCAAATTTTACTCCCTTTAAAACTCTGACGTTTTCCCACCTTCAGCCTCTCAGCAATGCATACCATGAGCTAGCACAAGTTTACGCAACCAATAACCCCTCAGAACTGCGCAACCTGGTAAACAAGCACAGTGAAACTTTCACACGGGATAACAACATGGGACTGGTGAAGCAGTGCTTGTCTTCCCTCTACAAGAAGAACATTCAGAGGCTAACAAAGGTGAGATGAGCAAGTGCTGCCCACTGATGGCGTCTCTGGCTTCTCTCGGATCTTGTTTCCCCTCTTCTCCTTCTCAGCAGTGAGAAAGCAGGCACAGAGATTTAAAAAAAAAAAGCAGGATTTTCTGAACTGAGAGATCTTTCACTGTGGCTAGATTTTTAGTTTGATTGGTACCTTTTGGTCTTTTCAGGGCTAGAGCAGGGTATTTGAGAAGAGGAGCAGGTGAAGAGGAAGAAAGGTAGGAGATACGGCTACCCTGGGAGTAGAGAAAGTAGCCTTGGAGGGGTCACCAAGTCCAGATGGGCAGCTGGGGGCAGTGCTGAGAACCAGCCGTGGAGGCTGTCAGGCTGTGCTCCTCTCTGCCTGAGCTTCTGTAAACATCATGTGACTCTGATGTGATCTTTGCCAAAGTCATATAAGCCATGTACAGTTGACTCCTAGGATGTAGGCAAATTTTAATTTTCAAGACGAAAATTATACGCTTTTTTATTAAAAAGGCATACACTGCAAGCAAGACAGTGCATTGCTTTTTAAAGTCTGGTCAGAGAGCCAGCAAGTAGTACACCACAGGAGGACATGGTGATCCCTTCCCTGTACAGCTACCCTGCCCTGGTATCAGCTGTGATGATGGTAGGAAATGAGTGCAGAAGCGAGAATGGGCTTGCCAGGATGCCCAGCTGTGGAAAGGGATGATGGAGTTGGCAATTTGAAGACCCAGAGAAGGTGACTTCCCCCAAGAAACCAGAAAAAGAGCAATGAGATGGATTAGTCTTAGAGGTGGGGAGGCCATGCAAAGATAAAGATTCTTGAGGAGGAGAGGAAAGAGGTGAAGAGGTAACCACTGAACAAGAAGAGGAGTTCCATCTAGGCATTCTAGGGAGAGTAACTAGAGCTTGCTGACTCTCATAAGGAAATCAGCAAAGAATTTGTAAGAGTAAAGTGGGGCTAGGATTTGGTCTAGAGGTAGAATACTTGCCTAGTGTGCGCAAGGCCTGGATTCAATCCTCAGCAACACACACAGAGGGGAAAAAAAGTGACAAAATAACTCAGGGTAGATCAAAGCTGTGTATGTTGACATTAATGACTCAGTGACACCCTGTCTCAAAATAAAATATAAAAAGGGAATAGGATATGGCACAAACCTGCAATCAGCATTCTGGGAGGCTGAATCAGGAGGATCGCAAATTCGAGACCAGCCTCACCAGCTTAGCATCAACTAAGTGAGACCCACTCTCAAAATTACAGTTGGGCTAAGGATGTAGTTTAATGCAAAGGCCCTGGTTTTAAGCCCCAGTACCATAAAGTAAAAAGGATTTAAAAATAAATGTGACCTTGTCAACCAGAGAAAAACCAATTTGACCTGCAAAGGCCAATCTAAGAAATGCACTGGGTTAGCCAGGTGAGAGGTGATGCGCACTGAGGGAGACTGAGATAGGAAGATTGTAAATTTGAGACCAGCCTGGGGAATTTAGCAAGGCCTTATCTCAAAACAAAAAATGGCTCAGGATGTAGTTCGGTAGTGAGGTGCCTCACTTAGCTCTCTGGTAAAACACTCAACCATACTTCATCACTTTGGGGTGTTGGTTGCATATACTTTGAGACTATAGTATGGTAAACTGCAGTTTTTGTTCTGGATGGGAAAATCTGTAACGAGTGTGACCAAGTAGGAAAGGTTTATGGTGGCCAGGCCAGAGCTAGCAGTGGCTCCTGGGTCCCATATGTGCTGACTCACGATAGATTGTAGCACCCTGGACTTGTGAGCACTGCTGAGAGGAACCTAGAAGAACCTTAAGGTATAGGGGTCAGTACCACTAAAGACTGTTTAATCCAAAGGAATTCTCTAGCCAAGTAAAAAAAGTTTAAAGATCAAGTTTTTTAAAGAAATGTCCACAGCAGCCATATCAAGGCCTTGCTGGTTGGAGTCAGCTACGAATAAGGGCTTGTCAAATGAGAGTTTAATCTGCCACCTTCAGTGTTGAAAGCTTATTCTTTATTGACACCTTGTGAACATTTTCCTAGATCCCTCTTGCTTCTCTCCCTCTCTCTCCTGTGTGCGTATATGTGAGCATTCTCAACTATGTGTGATGGAGATCAGATTCTATGTGTCTTTTTCTTCCCTGCTGGTTTTTGTTCATTATGTCAAGAATCTCCTTCCATGGCAATATGAGCTTGTATCACAGGTTGTGCAGACAGTTCATAATTTACCCATGTAGTCCTGTGCTTCAGTTAGTTCTGAAATAGGGAAGACGAGTCTTACATATTTAGAGATACTCACTTTTGAGTCTTCACTTGTATTAAACCAGTTATATACTTCTTAAAATTGGCAAAATATCTTCAGTTCCTTGGATGGTAATCTCCAAACTTAAGTAAATATAGTCTTGTTTTTTTTTTTTAGCTTATCAAGAATTTAAGGGCTGGGGATTTAGCTCAGCAACACAGCACCTGCCTGGCAAATGTGAGGTCATGAATTCGATTCCCCACTGCACACACACAGTATTTTTTTTCTTTTAAGACTGTAGTTTTAACATGCCCAGCTCTGAAAATGCCAATGTAAATTTTGCCAGCTGCTATTAAGAGAAACTCTTTTAATTTGTTCCTGAAAGGGACCATTTTCTTTTCTTTTTTTTTTTTTATTTAAAAGGAAAAAGAGAAAAAAAAGCAGAACAAAACAAAACAGTGTAAGGGTACAAGTAATTCAGAACTACAAAAAAAAACCAGTAAGCTATCACCAGTTAATAGATTACACGCTATCATCTTAGAAACGGTGTTTCAGGTCACAGGATCAAAGCATACAAAGTAAACATTCAAACAGTGAGACTGCAAATAGTTGTGTTCAGTAATCCAATCAAAAATATTAATATGGTCTTCTATTTAACACACCTAAATACCCTTGCTGTTGTATCCTTTAGGGCACTTTTTTTTTTCCCTCTCTTTATTACAACAAAATTTACACATTTTGGGCTTTATTGCTCCCTTAGATCTTATTACTTTTTTTTTGTAAGAGAATAAAATCAAGCATGATAAAACAAAGCTGTCAGTCAAAACCAAGGATAGACATAGCACATGATGTAAAAACAGAGTACAGGGTTATCAACAATGGTTACCATAATGCCTCTTGCTTCCTTAAGAAGAATTGTCGGGGCTGGGGTTTAGCTCAGCGGCATAAGCACCTGCCTTGCAAGCAGGCAGTCGTGAGTTTGATCCCTGGTACCAATAAAAACGAAAAAGACCAAAAAAAAAAAAAAAAAAAAAAAAAACAAGAATTGTCTATCTCATTAGGTATTATAAAGTTGAACCAAACAGTAGAGAACAAGACCAATAAAACCTAAACATTGTAAATCTTACAGAACCTCAAAAGAGGATAATAGTCAAACCAGAATGGGGGCATCATAGTGAATCTTATTGCCTTCAAAGTAGTTGCCTATACTCTGATACTTGATACTTGCATACAGAGCAGAATAGAGTCTAATCAGTCAAAACAAGACAATGGGAGTATTACAGGACTTCAAATTAATAGGAAATCAAAAAGTTACTATAACATATCCTGCTAGTTTTTAAATTTTTTTCCCCTTAGTTTAAAAAAGAAATTTAAAAAATTAATTTTTTAAAGAATAAGGGTGAAAGGGACCATTTTCATGAAATTCAAGCAAAGCAGCAGTAAATAAGAATTTCCTTCATGCATCTAGTCTAAGGCTGAGGATGTAGCTCAGTGGCACAAGTACCCTTGGCAAGTTCAGAGCTCTGAGTTTGATTCCTGGCACCAAAAAATATGTAGCCTTTTTTTCTGGTTGGCTTATTCTTTTGTTTAAAACTTTTAACTTTGAATTTTGAAGAATGAATATGATATTTTTTCAATTTTATTTTAATAGGTAATACATTTGTAATACAAAATTTTTAAAAAAGTAACATAAATGAAGATTCCCATCTTGTTTCCTTATCTCAATCATTCTTATCCCCCTTTTTTTTTTTTCATTGAGGGTTCAAACCCAAGGGCCTCTCACGTGCTAGGCAAAAGCTTTACCACAGAGCCCCCTCAACCATCCTTTTCTCCAGAAGCAGCCCAGTGTTATAAGGAAATCTATTCAGGTATCATAAAGATGCTCCATTTGCATATGCACATGTGCACATACCCATATATGTATACAAGCAGTCTTTCCCTTTTGTTCATCTATACAAATGTTACCATGCCATGTACATTGATTAGCAGCTTCCTTTTTTTATGTGTAGTGATAGATATATTTTGGATTCTTTTTCAATTCATAAAAGTTGTCTTCACTTTTTTCCTTTTATGGCTGCATAGTAGTCCTTTCATATGTCTGTAGATATTTAACGAAACGGCTTTCTTATTTTCATGTGATTATTTTTACTTCTGATTTTTAGACTTTTTTAACACTATCATTACAAGATATGGCAAGTCGTGTGCAGTTATCTGGGCCTCAGGAGGCAGAAAAGTATGTTCTACACATGGTGAGTGTGTTTTCATTTTAAAAAAAAATAATGGATTATTTCCTTGTGAAAGTACCAGGTATTCATTATGGATAAAATAAAAAAAGAAGATAGTGTTAGATATCCAGAGTCAACTCACAGTGACTATTTGGTCTATTTCTTTATGTATAGGATTTTCCAGTTATTTTTGTAGTAGTCAGATTTGTATTACTATAATGAAATACCTTAGGAAGCTAACTTTAAAGGAGCGAAAGCTAGAAGTTTACTTAAGTCACAGTTTTGCATGCTGAAATCCAAGATGGAGTGGCTCCTTTGGTTTGGCTTCTGGTAACACATCATGGCAGGAGCACATGTAAAACCATTCACATCTTAAACCAGAGCAGAGTGAGGCAGGGGCTGCACAATCCCCTCAGACATCTGCAGTGATCTCCCCACAGGCCTTTCTCACAGTTCCACCACATGCTGTAGCATGTGCATGCTACAGTAGCATGTGCATGCTACAGTAGCATGCTGCAGATCAAGTCTTCAATAACAATGAATTTTGGGGACATGCAAACAATTAGGTGCTCTTCACATCTTAGCATTAGTGTACTCATGTGATTTACCCTCTTGTGTCCTATTTGTGTTCCTTATTTATTACATTTACACATTTTCATTATCAGAGTTTTTATAAACCTCATGAAACAGGATTTCATGTAAATCATCCAAGAAATATTTCAGATATACAGAGAGGCATAAAATAGTATGATTCTTTCTGTTCTTCTATGATAAGATCACCAGCTTGCTCTAGCTGTACATCAAAGTACCCTGCAGCATCAAGAAAGGCTAAATAATGTGCTTAGTGTCATTGACTTATGTTTTAACTCAGATCCCTTAGCTCGGTGTGGCCAGTATTGTATGTGATTTTAAGTAGCACTGGTATAAAAGACACTCAGACAAACACCAGTGTACTTAGCATGCAGCTGGAGAAATAAAATTCTACCAGCACACTGACGTTCCTTCTTTATTCTCCCCATTATCCCTGTGTAGTTCAGGGAGGCCTTGAATTCACTATGCATCCAGGCTGGCCTCAATCTCAAAGCAATCTTCCCATGTTAGCTTCCAAAGTGCTGGGATGGATTACCACCATGCCTAGCAACGGCTCACTTTCTAACTTCATGGTTATGATGTAGTTGTGAGGATGAATCAGATGAGTCCCCAGAGTCAGCAGTGGTAGTTTTCTTGAAGACTGAAAAGATAATTGCCACTGAGAAAGGCTTCCCTTTCTAAAATGCAGTACAATATAAATTGTATTTCAAAGGGGCATTTAAAAATGGAGAAGCAAATAAATAAATAAAAATTAAAAATGCAGAAGCCAAATAAATAAATACAATAAAAATGCAGAAGCTAGACCGGGGATGTAGCATGCCTAGGATATGTAAGCCCTGGGTTTCATCCCCAGCACACACACACACACACCAGTATCCCCAAAAAAGCAAGGGCACCTCAGCAACATTATACTAGGTGAAAAAGACAACAAAGACATATATTGCCTGGCTCCATTTATAGAACATGTGTGGTACAAGTAATTTCATGGAGACAAAAAGCAGTTGATAATTGCAGGAGACTGAGAGGAGGAAGAGATGTGGAGTAACCCCTAGTGGGCAGAGTTTTCTTTTAGGGTAATGTGCTTGTCTTCGAACTAGATAAAGGTTCTAGTTGCACAACAGTGAATGTACTAACTGCCTGATTTGTTCAGTTTAAAATGTTTTATGGATTTTACTTCTAGTAAAAAAAATCAATGCAAGGGCACGGATTTTGTGTGTGTGTGTGTCAGGTTTTTTTTGTACTCCTTAGTTATATAATGGAATAGTAGTAAATATTGGATAAATTGATGGCAATTAAAATATACATATTGGACTGGGGATTTAGCTCATTGGTATAATCTCTTGCCTGGCAAGTGCAAGGTCGTGAGTTTGATCTGGGTACCAAAATAAAAAAAACAATACACATATAATCAAATGTGGTAGTACATGTCTGTAATTGTAACTACTTGGGAACCTCAGGGAGAAGTATTATAAATTAGGTAAGCCTAGGCAACTTAGTGAGACTTGTCTCAAAAATAAATAAAACACACATAAAAGTTCATTAATGGATCGCTTTCTGTGCTTTTTCCTGGTCATATCAATGGCTAGATACTCACATAGTGTTGTAAAATGCTTTCCCAATTTATTTTTTTGTAGATAGAAGATGGTGAAATTTTTGCAAGTATTAACCAGAAGGATGGTATGGTCAGTTTCCATGATAATCCTGAAAAATATAATAACCCAGCCATGCTTCATAATATCGATCAGGAGGTAAACATGCTGTCAGGTTTTGGCTTTCTTTCTTTCCTTTTCTCTTTCTTTCTTTTTTTCTTTTTTAAGCTTTCTTGATTGAATACTTCTGTATTTGAAGTGCTGCTCTATGCTGTGGCATAATTTTAGTTTTAAATACAGATAGTTTCAAACCTATAAATACTTCCTTCCTAGAGAGTTCATTTCAAAATGGCCTGCTTAAAACCCTTCCAGATTGTGTGACTATAAATAAATGGTGATTAGATTTCCCAACTGGCTCATTCTGAAAATACTTAAAACGGTCTGGTATAATCTTAGCCATACCCCACACCGTGCACTTACCAGAGAGTCGGGCAAGGAGGATAAGAGCAAGGTTTGGCACATTGCAAAGAAGGGCAAAGCCAGCCTGGAGTGGCAACAATGTGGGCCACAGCTGAGGCCCCCTGTGTGCCTCCGGAAGGCAGACATGCTGTTCAGGGTTGGCTCCTGGGGCTGAGGGGTCATCCGGACAGTCTGTGTCTTTTACTATGAGCAGGAAAATGGTTGAGCCAACATTACATACAGAAGCCTAAAAGCAACACATGGTAATTAACACAGGATAGCTCTAGAGTCCATTTTTTGCAGTTTTAAAATTGAAAAAAAATGTATAAATAGCCTGAAAACTGGAAGTTTATTTAGTAATTCATTTGGTGACAAAAGTAACCTGAAACAGTGTTTAGGTTTTATTTATGACTTTGTATGAATATACTTGTTTCATTGTAAAAAACATTGAATGTGTTTGACTATGGGTGCTTCCTTGACCTTGCTGGGGTATTAGGTCACATATGGTAGTGATAACTTTCTAAATCCAAAACAATTCTCCCAAACCCACTAGCTAAGGGAATTCAGATGAGGATTGTGAATCTGGCTCCAACACTGACAGTCAGAATCACAGAAGATGTGATTGACCAAGTCTACTGCTCACCATGTTCACTGGGTCTGTTGTGCAGATGCTGAAGTGCATAGAGCTGGACGAGCGGCTGAAGGCTATGGACCAGGAGATCACAGTCAATCCCCAGTTCGTGCAAAAGGTGAGTAGGGGTTCTCCTTCAAGAAGTGGGATTGAGTGGAGAAGGAGAAATACTGTCCTATAGCAAGGGAATTTGGTTTCAAGTTGTAAAGTTGTCCATTGTTCTTGAAACCCATCATAAGTAAGTTCATAGAGAAGCATTTGTCACCAGCATTTCCAGCAGTGACCTAGGAGTATGCTTAGGGCTGCTGAGGGGGGTGGTGGTTCTTGCTGTCCTCAGGGCAGCTTTGCCCTGGCCTTAGGCATGGGGTGATAGTGGGGGTGCTTGTTTGGAGCTGGGCAACCCTTGAAAAAGGTAACCAGAGATGCTCTGCCTCACTCTCCCCTGCACAGAGTATGGGCTCACAAGAAGATGATTCAGGAAACAAACCCTCCAGTTATTCCTGAAACTAACAGCCATCCTGAGTGCAGCAGGAGGAACAGTCACTGGTCGGCGGCGAACGAGTGAGAGGAGGGCAGCAGGGAGCAGCAGCCCGTGCCACCCGGACATTCAGAAACGCAACTTTGTTTTGACATCTTCAGTCCTATGTGCTTTCGGAAAACCACTCTCTGCAAAGAAAGGAAAAAATTTGCAAACTTTAGAGTCTGTTGTGGATTTATTTATCCTCAGATTATTGTTAATGCATTAAATTTACTTTTTTGTTTTAGTCCTTGAACACTGATGTGTCTTTATCACTTTTTCCCCTTTGGAATTTAAAAATTCAATCATTACGAACAGCAGTAGTTGGATTTTAGGGATATTTGAAAGAATCGAATCTAAAAGTGAATGTCAGGGTCCAAAGAAGAAAAGCACTCTGGGAGGCTAAAGGAGGAGGGTGGTAAATTCAAGCCCACCCAGGCATCTTGGCAACTTGATGAGACTCTCAGGCAAGAGTTGCGGATATAGTTCAGGGTGAAGGTCGTAGGTACAGTACCCAGCACCACAGACAAACGAACGAAAGAATCCATAAGATTTGAGCTAGTTTTTAAAGTTTGAATTACCATGCATGTTAGTGACAGTATAAATTAAAATCAACAGACTCCTGGTTCCTAAACACTCTAAATTTTGCTGTGCGCTACCCTCTGGTCATTTGACTAGCTTCCCCACCCACCTCTGCTTATAGCCGCCTTCTCCACTCTTAAAGCATTGGTCTGTAAGCTGCACAGACACATTTGAATTGTGTTCAGAGGTCCTCCTCCTCTGGCACTTTGTACTGGGATTCACTGAGTTGTCCCTGGAGTAGTGTGGAGCCTTTGTAAAGTGTGGTCAGATTAAAACACAGTTAAATTTAGTTTTTGAAATACATTTTTTTTTTTTTTTTTTTTTTGCTAGGAATGTAGCTCTGGTGGTGTGCTTGACTAGCATGCAGAAGGAGACCCTGGGTTCCATCACTAGGTCCTAAAAAGTGTTCTCATTAGTAGCATTCCCTCTTTTTTTTTTTTCTCTTTTTGGTATGGGGATCAAACTCATGACCTTGTGCTTACCAGGCAGGCGCTTACACCACTGAGCTAAATCCCCGGCCCCAAGCATTCTCTCAACTGTGTCACATTGGATAGTGAATCACTTTTTCATTACTGTTTTTATTTTTGGCAATTTTGGGGATCAGATCCAGGGCCTTTGCACTGAACTACATTCCTATCCTTTTTATTTTTTGAGACAGGAGGCTTTAACTGCTGCTGAGTTACCCAGACCTGGCTTGAACTTTTGATCCTCCTGCTTCAGCCTCCCAGAATGCTGGGATTACAAACATGGAGTACTACACCTGGCTACATTGTCATTTTAAAATAGAAAATTAGACCTAGCAAGTGTTATAAAAAGTGACCCCAATAGAACCACACTTAGGTTAGACCATACTTAGGTTTCTCAGTCTTGTCTGGTGTAACTGTCCTGCATTGGTTCTGAAAGCAGCTATAGACAGTATAGTATGTGACTGAGTGTTTCACTAAAACATTCATGCAAAAATAGGCACCTGACTGAATTTGCCTGGGAGCCTGGGTTTGACCGGAAGCCTGAGCTTTTAAAGTCTCAGTCTTTCAAGTTACTCCTGCATCAGTGGTGGGTTGCATCACTTTCACTGAGGTTTACATGTACCTACAATTAGGAGAAGAGGAAGCACTATATTTAAAAGAAATTTGGGCAGGGGATTTAGCTCAGTGGCATAAGTGCCTGCCTGGCAAGCACATGGTCCTGAGTTTGATTTCCGGTACCAAAAAAAAAAAAAGTTTGTATAGTGAATTACAGACCCTATTTTAAAAATAGGGTTTATCTGGATCTAAAATTAAAATTAACTAAAAATGTACAGGAATCCCTGCTAGCTATTTGTGGTATCTACGTAAAAGTAATGCGTGGGAACTTCATGATTACAATTTTTCCCAAGGTTGACTCATTAGAATACTACATTATTATTAGAAGCTTGGAACTTGAAGGGGTATGGAACGTAAGGCCTCATCCTCTTGCTGCAAACCACTAATTTTGGCCAGTGTTTGGGGGCGGTGCTGTTACTGTGTCAGCTTTAAATGCCCCTTCTGTATTCTGCTTTGTGATTCTGAGGCCACAGCTTCAATGTGGCTGGAGAGTAACTAGAAAGCTAGGGAGTACAGAGCAATATATTCTTTGTTTGCCACTTAACACTAGCCCAGCAAGAATGCTTCCAGTAAGAACTTTCCCTCCATGTCACCAGAAAGGGCTTCAACTCGCCCTGAGAAATGCAGGCCCCAGGAAGCAGGATGCCCATCTCCCTATACACAAATCAGGACACAGCTTCCTTGCCCCCTTCCAGACCCAAATTCTACTAATCCTGGTCCCTTCCATTTATTCCCCAGCTGTAAAGGAGGAGAGACTTTCTTCTACAAAACCTGGTTGATGACTCTTAGCAAATTCTTTTCCATTAAACCTGCAGAGCCCAGTGGCACATGCCAGTAGACCCAGCTACTTGAGAGGCTGACACAGGAGGATCACAAGTTTGAGGCCAGCTTAGACAGTTTGATGAGACTCAAAAAAAGGGGGGTGGTGATGGTAAGAATTAGTTCACTAGCAAGAGTGCCAAACATCTGAAGCCCCTGATTCAATCCCCATTGTTAAAAACAACAATAAAAAACTGCAAAAAAAAACAAAAAACAAACCCTGGTGAGTGGTTTCCCTCCTGACATCAGTTTCTTTTGAGAACCTTCCAGGTCAAGGAGATGTATACATGTCATTTATTTCGAAGAAGAAAATATTTTAAGATTATATCTGCCATCTCTGATAGCTACAGTGCCTAGGCTCTGATGTGTCTTGGCTTGGCAAGTTATCAGGCTCTTTCACTGCATGAGTCGCAAAGATAGATGTAGCTCTTCAATTCTCAGCAGCAAATGATGCTTTGTGAAAATACTGACCTTGAAGAGCTGTGGCATTTTGATGGCGCCAGAAATGGTAAGTTTGTTCTTAATCAGTTAGGGCCATTTCTGAGGTCCCAGGATGTATGCAGCCTTGGGTTAGTGCTCACCAGGGGACCTACCAGTCCTGTGAGGACTTTTTCCAAGTTTGTCTTTTCGTGATAGTCTGAAATGTTAATACTTTTGCTTATCAAGAGTTATTAACTGCAGCCGGGCGTGGTGGCTCATGCCTGTAATCCCAGCACTCGGGAGGCTGAGGTGGGAGGATGGTTGTGAGTTCGAGACCAGCCTGGGCTACAAAGTGAGCTCAAGGCCAGCCGGAACTGCATAGAGAGACCCTGTCTCAAAACGACAAAAAAGAAAAAAAAATTATTAATTGCCCTCTGAATCCAGTACTTGCATTATATATTAGTATTTATGAGCCACTCAAAATGACTGCTTAACTCTAGTTGGGAATATATTGATATAAGTTATTCTCTAAAGAAACATCTGGGTGTCTTCTTTTGAAATGGCAGTGTTTTCTGAGGCAGAGTGGCACGAATGGGCAATAAAGCAGTGGGTTTTTTTCTGCCCCATGTGGATGACACCATCTTGACTTTGTTCAATACATTGAAATCCCAGCCAAAACTAGGTAGGTAATACAGAACATCTGTAGAATTTCGAGTAGCCACCATCAATATAAAATGCCGGTAGAATCCAATCACGGACATTTAACTTTTGTAGCAGGTAATATGGCAGGAGAAGAAAGTTAAATCTGAGTTTTCTGAGGGTTCCAAACTGTTGGTGTTCACTGGTGAACCTGACCGTTCTGTTTCCTGTTGTCTATGCCATGGTTACCATGTATGCTAATGCTCTACTGTTAACTTGCTTTTCAAAGACAGTTTTGCATGTACAAGCTCTTAAAGTTTTTGTGAGTTGCAAAGGGTCCAGAGAAAGGAGATGGCTGGGTAATCAGACATTTGTGAGTAGGAAAATGTAATGGCAATATTTTCAGGCAGTTGAATTACTTCAGGATGGTAAAAATGACAAATGTAACCTTTCCTAATATCAAAAGCTGACTGACACAAGAGAACTTTGCTAATTACAAAAGGCATTTATTATGTCTGGACCCAAAGCTGATTAGAAACCACTTGGCATTTAAAAAGGCAGCTATAGTTTCAGAATAAAATTCTAAAGCCTAGCAGTAGAATTTGAATTGGGAGAGGAAGATTTTCTTTTTTTTTTCTTTGTCTTTTTCCTTTTTATTGGTACCGGGAAGGAAGATTAATTTTCAAAGGCTTCTTGAAATTATGGTGAAAATACTACCTTAGTCTTAATACCCTTTTAAAACATTTTTAAATTTTTTATCTTTTTGAGACAGGGTCTCACAATGCAGTTCAAGTTGGCTTTGAACTCACATTGTGGCCCAGGCTGGTTTTGAACTTGCAACGATTCTCCTGTCTCAGCCTCCTGACTGCTAGGATTATAGACATGCACCACACTCAAGGAATAGTGCCCTTTTAAAAAAGGTTTCTTAGGGGCTAGAGGTTTAGCTCAGTGGCATAAGCACTGAAAAGGTTTCTTTGTTCATTGTGGTGCTGGAGATCAAACCCAGGGCCTTGTGCATTCAAGGCAAGACCTCGACCACTGAGCCACATCCCCAGCCCAGTCCTAGCACCCTTTTAAAAAAAATTATTGGACTAGTGAGTCAAACCTTACGACTGGCTGCACACATGTAGTCTAATTACCTAAAGTTAGCATAAATTTCAGTGTGACTCAGAAATTGTACATCAGTTCCATTTGAACTTTTTGTCTTTTTGAGACAAGGTCTCTCTATGCAGTCCAGGCTGGCCTTGAGCTCACTTTGTAGGCTAAGCTGGTCTCAAACTCGCAGCCATCCTCCTGCCTCAGCCTCCCAAGTGTTGGGATTACAGGCGTGAGCCACCACACCTGGTTTCTATTACCACTTGCTTCCTTCTAGCAGCAGGAAAGACCACCCTAAACTGGTAAACATAGCTGACATACAAGAGAATGTTTTCTTGCTCAAAACAAAAGTTTAGGTTTTTAAGCCAGGGAGCCCATAACCTTAAATGATGTGATTAAAAATACTGAGATCCAATTGCTTTAGAAAATGTCTGTAAACTGGCCAGTGAATCAAGTTTTTGTGCTGTTCAGAATCAGGCAGAATTGGACTGGCATCTGTGCCAGGCCAGTAAATGAAAGTAGAAAACACAAGTTATAATTTTATTTTTTTCTTACAGGCCCTTTTCAACAGACATGCAATTCACAGCGAGAAAGTAATCTCCGTGACTTGGAAAACAAAACCATCCACTTTTATTTCGAAGTTGCTAAAGCTTTTCCCCAGCACTGCCTGATAGTTACATTGTGTACACTGTGCTGGAACCACCTCTCCGAGGTCATCTACGAAGTTGCGCACAGCCAAGGGTGGCGGTCTCAGCTCCCACTGAGCACTGAGTCCCGCGCCCAAAATGCCATATGGATGCTGGCACCGCCAGGCCTACCTCTCATCTCTCCAGCTCTTCCTGGAAGGACCCAGATTACATAATGCAATAATGCCTTTAAAATTAATTTTTAAGTAGCAAAACAATAACAGGCCTACAGGCTTAAAACATTCACCCTTCTGTAATTTTTAAAAATCTTGTATGTACTGTCTTGTCCAGTGAGCGGAAAGCAGACTGAGCCCCGCGCGAGCGCAGCATAGTCCCGCCCATCTCGAGTTACGTAACTAGTGGCCAGGCCGCGACACGTGACGACCTCCTCCCAGCTACCTGACCGCACGTTCCACTCCGTCTACAATTTAACTAAAGTCATTGCTGAATCCAAAAGCAAACGCAGGGCTCTTAGAAAGTTATTCTTTTATCTCGTTTCTTTTATGTGTGGCCAGTGAGTAGTACTGATTATATTTTCCCACAAATCTCTTTTCAAAACGACTTTTACATTTTGACTTCTCCTTGCCCTTGGAATGGTTTCTTCCAGGAGTTCCCGCAAGCTCCTCGGTTTGAACCATTCTGTACTCCTGGCGGGGTGAAGAGTGGTATAGGGGCGGGTAAGAGGGAGGTTTCTGGCAGTTGTGCCTTATTTCGCATCTGTCTCAGAGGAGTTTGGGGACCTTATATATGTTCCTGAATGCGGGTTTGGAGAGACTTGCATGTATCGCGGTGCAGGGCGCGATCGGGCGTTTCCTGCATCCCTCGCAGCGGTGGACTGATGGTATGGCCCTGCCAAGTCACGCGCTTTGGGTTTAGCACTGGCTGCTGCAGTTGAAGGCACCGTGGGTGAATGCTCCTACTTTGATTTCGGCCAGCCCCTCTCGACGGTCAGAACCAGGCTGATGTTTCCCCTGCGGGGTCTGGGACAAGGGTGGCTCCCGCTGCGCTCTTGTGAGGCTGGGGCTGACAGTCACAATCTTACCTGGCGCAGTTAGGGGCGGGGCTGCTGCGTCGTGTTGGGGGAAGACCCTGTGTTCCCTAGGCAGAGGTCTGGCCAGAGAACTGATGGAGGGGCTCGGGCTTAGTTTGGGTTGGTCCGAGGTGGGTGAGTCATTGGAGGGTAAGGGCTGGGTGGGTGATGTTACTGAACCCTGAGATGTGGAGGGACGGTGACATACATCGATAAACTACCGGGATGAGTGAAGTGACTTGGTTCGAGCCGCCAGTCAGAGTCACTGAGTTCCTGGAGTGGGTACTCTCTCACCATCCTGCACGCCATCCACATTTTATCTTACGTAGTTTGGGGTAGACGGTGTGTGTTTTCCTTTTCTCCCTGGCTGGCCTTCCCAGAAGGGCCTTTGATGAGTGATAGGCCTAACTCATTATCCAGGATGGAGAGAATTCCTCGCTTCTCTTCCGTTTGGAGGCTATTGTCAGGCCCATCTTTATGCCCTGGCAAGAATATTTAGACCTTTGGCTCGTTGTGGATTGAGGTCCGCATGATTACCAGCAGCCATGGGAGGCAGAGGGCAAAGAGGGGCTTGTTGGAAGTAGGTCCTGGTTCTCCAGCTCTTAGATGCCTGGCACTACCCATGGTGCCAGGCACTACCCATGTGGCTGGATAAACTTTGTTATAGCAGAAAAAGGCCACAGCCAGTCTGCTGCTGGAGGTACTACATTATCATTGTTGTCACTAAGTCGTTGAGCAACAGTGGCACATGACACTGTTCGCCTTTTTAGTGTCGTATGTTAGGAAGCTCAGTTATTGGAAATGCAGGTGAAATCAGTAGATGCAGTAGAGTTGGAAGTGAGTCGGAGCTGGAAGGAATCTCCTGCAGAACTTTTCACCCAGGGAGCACTCTGACTTAGGCTTTCTGTGGAGACTGCATAGTGCTAGTAGGTGCTTGCGTATTACTGGATAAGATCCATTATAATAACCATATTTACCTACAGAGTGCTCTTAGCCTTTTTTGTATTTACTTTTGTGGTACCAGGGATTGAACCCAGGGCCTTTGCACTGAACTACATCCCCAGCCCGGTGTTTTTTTTTTTTTTTTTTTTTTTTTTTTGAGAGAAGGTCTTGGTAAGTTGCTGATTCCCAGGGTGGGCTCAAGATCAAATTTGATCTTGCTTCAGCCTCACAGGACTGCACTACCACACATGGTTTATTGGCCTCTTTAATCCTCCATGGCCCAATGAGAAGAAAGTAAAGATGAAGAGAACCCAGGGCCGGGTCTGTGGCTCAGCCACTGTAAGGGGGGACATGGACAGGTACCCAGCTCTTGGAGGAATTTACATACTCACTTCAAGTTTGATAATGGCAATCAGGCGGCTGAGGGTTTCTGCCTGTTCCTTGTGTTCAATAAAGCTTGTTAGGGCAATTTTTAGGCATGAATTTATTGAACATGCATCTTAGAATTGGAGAGCGACTGAAAACTGATGTCATGCTGCCCAAAATTCAGATGTGATGTGTAGTTCCATCCTGAGAAGCCTGTTTCTCAGCTCTGTGGTGGTATTCAGAGCGACTGAGTAACATTTGATGCCGTATGGCTGCCAAGCGCTGCAGACCAGGTTATAGGTCTGTGTGACTTCTGAGCAAGACGTGGTCTAGAGTTCCTCCCCAGTGGCTGCCTGAGGCTGTGGTGTGTGTGATCCAGAGGTTGGAATTCTTGTTGAACGATATTTTTCATCAAACCAAAACTGATTAATAGAGTAGCACATGTCAATCCTGGATGCTGGGAAATAGCAGTGTTGCCTCTGGTTTCCCATTAGAAAGGGCAGCTAACTTCTAGACTTGGCTTGATGTGTGTGCTTCCAGAGCAGCCTGCTTACAGTTTTACAACTATATGTTTTAAAAATATTTTTTAGTGCTGGGTGTGGTGGTATATGCCTGTAATTCCAGCACTGAAGAGGCTGAGGCAGGAGAGTCACTGTGAACTTGAGGCCAGTCTGGGCAACTACACAGTAAGACCTTGTCTCAAAAGATATTTTAAGTATTTGTTTAAGTGATCTTTTTTCCAGTTTTTATTTTTTTTTATTAGTACATGTTTGCAGTACATAATGATTATGTTCTTCTTAGGGAGTTGAGAGATTTTTTTTTTCAAATATTGCAGTAGAGATGTAAGGTTTTAGCTAAAACTTCAGGTGTAATGTTAGCTTGCCGTCAGCTGTGACTTAGAAGGTGAGAGGGCTGCTGAGCTATTCAGAACCATCCACAGAGAGCTGGAGATGTATGTAGCTCAGTGGTAGAGTGTTTGCCTAGCATAAGTGAACTTCAGACTTTTGATTCCCAGCTGGAGAGTGAGGACCACAGATGTCTTAGTTTTCCACAACTGTGACAAAATACTTAAGATAATCAACTTAGGAAAGATTTATTTTGGTTCAGGGTTTCAGTCCGTGGTTGCTTGGCTCTGTTGCTTTGGGCCTGGGATAGGGAAGTACATCGCAGTTGGACCATGTCAGGGAGTAGAGCTGCATGCCTCAGTGGCGTATGGGAAGCAGAGAGAGAGGGACAGAGGTCCCAGTGTCCCCCTCAAGGGCATGGCTCAGTGACCTAACTTCCTCCTACTAACCCTCACCTTCTAAAAATTTTACCATTTCCCACTTGGCAACACTGAGCACCAAACCTTCAACATATGTGATGCTGTGATTTGAGACTGGCTGTAAGCTGCTTTGAAATTTTTTTTTTTTTTTTTAATGCTACACTGCTCCTAGAATTACCTGTGATTTCATTTTCCCTTCCCTAGAAAATGTCGAGTCTTCACATATGACTGCTGTTGGGATGGCTGACTTCCGTGGCAGGTCTTCGTGTGCGCTAGTCTAGGTGGACTGGTGGAGGTGTGATTCTGCTAAGTGTAAGGTTAGTGTCAATTCTGGAAGGAACCTTACTTCTCTTCCCTTTCTACCTCAGGTGAGGATGTGATCTCCTTTTCCGGGGTTATTGCCTCTGTCTTTATTTTGGGTCCTGTTTTCCCTTCTGCCTTCCTCAACCTCTTTATTCTATCTGTGGTCATTTTATCTCGTCCACAGTGAATGCTTAAATGTAGTGCTGGGAGTGGAACCCAGGGCCTCATGCATGTTGGGCCTGTACTGTACCGTGGAGTCACACCCCAAGCCCACCCCCAGCCCATCATTGTCCTTGACCTTCCTGTGGAGAGCCTCTATTTAAACTCAGTATGCTTGGTTCCTGTCCCGCTAGGCTTTCAGATTGTGAACATTCCATGGTTATGACCTTGAATCTTTTCTGTCCATGGATACATTCATTTACTCTTGTATCAAATGTCATCTCTCTGTGGGCAACTCCAAATCCATTCATTTGTCCAGCATCTGCTAATTTGGTCTCTCTTCTGTGTCAGGAACTATTTCTGATGCTGGTGTACAGCAGTTAACTAGGTGGACCTTTCATCTGTAAAGAGGAAGCACAAACACACTTGTCATGTGAAGAGTACTAGGACTCAACCCAGGGGGATGGAGAATGCAAGGGGAGGGGTATCTTTCTCATATGCTGATTAGGCAGGTTCTGAGCAGGGACCGCGGAGAAGGGGATGAGTGGTGAGGAGAAACAGCCAGACCTGGGGTGTCGTGAGCCTTCACCCTTAGCTGCACCCTCTGTGATAGTGTAGCTGGCATTTCTTTGGCACTCCTAGGGGTCTGTCCATACCTGGCCAGTTGCATGGATTAACACCGAATCTCTGCTTTAATTTCAAAATCCCAGGCAGACCATCTCACTGGCCCAGCCTTGCTCATATCCGTGTCTGGCTACCAGGAGAGGACATTTCGGTGGTGGTGCTGGGAACTCTCCAAAGCAAGAGCATTTGGGCCCTGGCCAGTGTCCATTGTGCAGTCTCACGCTTAGAAATGTGAATGGTTCTCTGTTGTCTTAAACAAGGTGCTCAGTGGAGCTTCCTATGATGGTGGATGTCCCATAACCTGTGCTGCTCAGGTGGTGACCATGAGCCCTGTGTACGACAAGCATTGAAAAACTGTCAGGACTGAGGAGCTGAGCTTTACTCTAGTTAGTCTAAGTTGTCACATATGGCTTTTGTCATCATGGGTCTGGAGAGTTCAGGGCCTTTCTGACTTGGTTTCAGACTTAGCCATCAGCCAGTGTGGCCTGCAGTGTCCACACATCAGAAATGGTAGGAATGCTGGCTGACACTGTCCCCACCTCTGTTGTGGTGTTGGGGATGGATTCTAGGCACGCAGAGCTGTACCCTGGTTCCCACCCCTGCCTGGCCTGCCGTGGTCTACACATGGTGGCCTCCTCCACACACATGGGGCTATGCCCAGTCTTTAAAGCCTTCCCTGATTTTCCTTAACAAGATTCCCCTTCATCTGCCAGCCTTGCTATGAAGAGGGATAAGTTGCCCATAATTCACGACCAGCCTCCACCTCTGATGGCATTAGGTGCTGTGGACTTTAACATGTTCCTGCTGCCTTGAACCACTGGTGGTATGTGAATGATTTTCCCATCGGGCAGCTTGAGCTACAGGCCATTCAACGGGACAGTCATGCATGTAGGGCTCCATTGTGAACATGTTAAATTGTTCTGTTGGTACCCAAGCTTGAGGAGAGGACTTTCCTTGATTCCATGTCCTTGCCAGATTCACCCTGTTCCTGGCACTTGCTCAGAATAAGTGCTGGCTGAGTAAATGACTTGCCTCTGCTGTCAAAAGATCTGTCAGTGATACTTGTTGAGTCCAGTGCTCCTGAGACAAAGGGGAGATTTTGGAGTATGGCAGGTATAAGTCTGCTGATGTTGTCCCTGCCCCCCACAGGCCTCTTCACTACAAGTCACCATGAATGCCATCGTCGCCCTCTGTCACTTCTGTGAGCTCCATGGCCCTCGAACTCTGTTCTGCACGGAGGTTCTTCACGCACCCCTGCCCCAGGGTGCTGGGAACGGGGACAGCTCTGGCCAGGGGGAGCAGGCTGAGGAGGAGGAAGGCGGCATTCAGATGAGCAGTCGGGTCCGTGCCCACAGCCCAGCCGAAGGAGCCAGTGCTGAGTCTAGCAGCCCAGGGCCCAAAAAGTCGGACATGTGCGAGGCAAGTGTCTTTGGGATCCGGGGACATTTTGCCCTCTACTGGAGGTGGGATAGGAGTTGTGAGAACAGGAGACCTAGGGTCCTGAGAACACTGGGTGAGCCTTCAGATGGTGACTCAGTAGGCTCTCTGAATGTGCTTGTCCCCAGGTAACTTTTGGTTCTCTCCATTCATCCATACTTCAGCTTTTGTGTGGTTTCATTTTACCTTGTTTTGTCTTTTTTAGTACTGGGGATGGACCCCAGGATCTTGTGCATGCTGGCAAGCACTGTGGTGCTGACTTACCTCCACAACCCCTATTTAAAAATTTTTTTGAAATCTTACTGAGACAGGTCTTGCTAAGTTGCCTAAGCTGGCCTGAACTCATTATCCTACTGCCTCGGTCTCCCAAGTAGTGCGGGTTACAGGCATGCATCACACATACCAGCCCAGGTTTTAGACTTTTTGATCCATTCTGTTCTAGCAGACATTTGTCACCCCAGCATGGCATTTACTTTTCTTTTTGCAATACCCCAGCTATAACTGGCTTGGGTCCCTTCAGTCCAGTGTCCTCTGGAGTGCCTTTTTCACAAGAGTCTTGGCATTCATTGTTGTGATGGTTTGTGAGCTCTGGGGAATAGTTTCCCAGTGGTCCACTTTAGTGGTTGCTATGGGTTGGGCTTAAAATCTGGGATGAGGGTTAAACCTGCTATTTTAGGGCAAATGGGACTCTAGACTCCTTTTCTGGTTATGCCAAGAACTAGGCAATGTGCAATTGCTAGAAATCCCTGCAGGGGAGCCAGAGGCAATGTAGGGAGATCATTTGGGCCTGAGAGGGAAGAATCTTTGGGGCCTCTGCTGAGCCACCTGGTTAGAGTCCGACTGCCATGGATCCCTGCATCTGCCCCTTGGGAGAGGCTGGCTGCAGTGCCTTGAGACATGCACGGCCTCAGCACTAGTGTGGCAGAGCTGTGGCCGGATGTGGTCCTCCACTTCCTCAAGCAAATGGTCTGAGTAGTATCTTCTTAGGCTTCCACACCAGCATTCTGAAGGCCAGCTCTCTGTGGTTGCTCTCAGTCCCTTGACTGGCCAATCCCCCTGCTACATGTTATTCAGGACCAAGGACAGAAACCAGAGGGGATTATTACTGGAGACATTATTCAGAAGAGGCATGGCTCTGGTGGTTGGGACCAGCTCTTCTCAGCTCAGTTTTGTCTTCTGTAAACTGGCATCACCTCATAGTGTTGTACTTTGAATTGAGTAAGGTAAAGCATGCAATAACTTCATAATATCTGCTACATAAATGCTCAGTAAATACATCTTTTGGCCTCTGGCAACCCTTATGAACCCTGGGTCCTAGGTCCTGGTTATCCTACTTAGGAAACATTTAAGTCATCAGATGAGTATAGATGTAGGAGCCACTTATCTTTATCTTCGTACAGCATAAGGAAAACAGTTTGTAACCTAACTAGTAAGTTCTTTTCCTTCTTATGGATAGGGCTGCCGGTCACTCGCTGCAGGGCACCCAGGCTATATCAGCCACGATAAAGAGACTTCGATTAAGTACGTCAGTCACCAGCATCCCAACCACCCACAGCTCTTCAGCATTGTCCGCCAGGCCTGTGTCCGGAGCCTGAGCTGCGAGGTGAGCCTGGGGCCATATGCAGGTTCAGCACTGGAGTTAGACACGGAGACAAAAGGTTGGCTTCTCTCAGGAGGCCCAGCAGTCCCTATGGACTGCAGTATGGCACTCTTGGTTGCCTTGAACTTAAAAGAACATCGTGGGCTGGGGATTTAGCTCAGAGGCATAAGCACCTGCCTTGCAAGCAGGCAGTCATGAGTTCGATCCCTGGTACCGATTTAAAAAAAAAAAATGTTAAAAAAAAAAAAGAACATCGTTATGGGCTCTGGTTTTCTAAATATGTGCTAGATTTCCTTCTTTTTTCCTTCCCCCCTCTTTCTCTCTTTCTCTCTGTCTCTCTGTCTCTGTCTCTGTCTCTCTCTCTGTCTCTCCAGGCTGGCCTTGAACTCACTGGGTAGTGCAGGCTAAGCTTGAACATGCAGCTCTTCTTCTTTTTTTTTTTTTTTTTATCGGTACTGAGGATCGAACTCACGACCGCCTGCTTGCAAGGCAGGCGCTTATGCCGCTGAGCTAAATCCCCAGCCCCTCTTTTTTTTTTTTTTTTTTTTTTAATCTTTTTATCGGTACTGGGGATCGAACTCACGACCGCCTGCTTGCAAGGCCGTTTGTGCCACTGAGCTAAATCCCCAGCCCCAAACATGCAGCTCTTCTCCCAAGCGTTGAGATTGTGGACGTGTACCACCATACCCAACCTGCATTTTTACTTTAAGCACTGCTTTTTATCTATTCTTGTTGGATATACTTCTGAGATATGAATGATTTCTGGGATATGTAGTTGTTGTATCAGACATTACTTTCTGTATTGTCTGAGTCATCACTCAGGGTCCATCATGTGTTGCTCCAGATATCTCCTAAAGAGTGAACTGATTTGCTCCTAAACTCTGGCTTGCTGCCATTTCACTTGAGTCTTGGCTTGTAGTTTTTTTTTTAGGAACTCATGACACAGAAGCCTTTCTGTGACGGTACTCCCGTCAGACCCTGAGGCCTTTCTTCTGACTGTCACTATTGTTCTGTGCCCACTGTCAGTAATTCTTCTTAATTTCTTGCTGTGCCTCTGCTGCCAGGCAGATGGTCATGTGTACTTCAAGTGTGTGTTAAGAGTTAAAATGTCACAGGGGTGGGACTGAAACTCTCTTAAGGACCGAGCATGCAGATTTGACTTAGTGGCTGTTTGACCTGTTGGTTCTTCAGTCAACTCAGACAAACAGGTTGGCACATTTGAGTGGAGGAGGGTAGATGAAGTATTTGTTAACGGGCATTTATGGCTTAAGGTGGAAAAAAGTAAGGGGCCCTACTGTACTGACCCCAGTACCAAATGTTAACTTCTAGAAAGTTTGCTGCCCTAAATGCCAACAGAAAGTTTGCTGGGATTGGGAGCTGTCAGTTGGTGATAGTTGTGTTCTTAGCACGCATAAAGCCCTGGGTTCCATTCCCAGCACCAGGAAAAGAAACAACAGTGAGTTTGCACACAAGCGCTTCCCGCTCTCACTGCGTCCTCCCATTCTCCCTGTGAGTATTGCTGGCTGACGTATGCCAACAGAGTTCGGAGGAGTGCCTGGAGGTATAACTCTGTGGGGAATGTAGCTGGCTTAGCATACACAAGGCCTTGGGTTCCATCCCAGGCACTGGGAAAAAAGATGTGGTGGGGAACTTGTGACCTGGTGTCACTGAAGCAAGGAGAGAACTATCCTTTGAATTGTTGTGGTTTCCTCCCAGGTGTGCCCTGGCCGTGAAGGGCCCATCTTCTTTGGGGATGAGCAGCACGGTTTTGTGTTCAGCCATACCTTCTTCATTAAAGACAGCCTGGCCAGGGGCTTCCAGCGCTGGTACAGCATCATTGCCATCATGATGGACCGGATTTACCTCATCAATTCCTGGCCCTTCCTTCTTGGAAAGATCCGAGGGATCATTGATGAGCTCCAGGGGAAGGCCCTCAAGGTAACATCTGAGGGAGGCGTTGGCACTGCTGGAGTCTCTTTGCTCTGGTGGGCGTGCCAGCAGCTCAGTGAGCTTTGATCCTGTAACTCCTGTGCTGCTGAGCTGCCTCTTGGCTTCAGAGTTGGGTGGTCCTGTAATGGGCATCTAGGCTGGCTGCCTGCTGTGTTAAGTCTCCCCTGCACCCACTGTCCTGGGTCATCTTCATTTCTGGTTTCCTTGCAGCAGTCAGGTCGCTGGCTTCGTCCTTTCTGTGTTTGTTCCCTTGCCCTTCGTGTCAGGTACTGCCTATTAGTCTTGATGAGAGCCCACCCAGCCCAAGCAGAGACGTCCCACTGTGCTGCCATGTCTCAGGGTAGGACAGGACGCTGTGGTGAGAGGTTGCAGGGTCCCCACAGAGCCTGTTTTCCCCAGTGGTGAAATGGTGTGGAGGGACCTTCCTCTCCTCTGGTTGCTGAAGGTAGCCACATGGCCCTTGTGTAGAGGTCTGCATAGAGGGCCCGCCAGGGGAGGGTCAGAGCACCTGGAGATAGATAATTGGCTTCTGCAAGGCATGTGTGGCCCGAGGACCCAGTAGGTTCCTAAAGAGCCAGTGGTGGGAAGGAGAGCAGACCAGAGAAATTTCTGCCCATTCCTGTCACAAGAGGGCAGAACCATTCAGTGTATGATGGTCAGACTGCAGGTGCTTTCTGTGTTGGGTGTCAGGAGGACAGAGTGAGAGCCTCTGTGGGGAGGAATGTGGGCCCAGTGGCTGCCTGATTGTAGGCTGTTCCCCTGGCACCGCAGGTGTTCGAGGCGGAGCAGTTTGGATGCCCCCAGCGTGCTCAGAGGATGAACACGGCATTCACACCTTTCCTGCACCAGAGGAACGGCAATGCGGCCCGCTCTCTCACTTCCTTGACCAGTGATGACAACTTGTGGGCCTGTCTGCATACCTCCTTTGCCTGGTATGAGTGCCTCACAGCTTTTGGCCACTGTTAGAATGAAAACTGTCACTGATGTTGGTTGGATTACCCTTGGATTTGGCCGGGCTGCCTACTGGTGGAGCTGGGTCCTGTATGTACGACTTGGTGAGTGTGGAACTAACCAGTGAGTGCCCTCTGGGCCTGTTTCCCCTGTCAAAGGGAAGACAATTTTAGGTGGAACGGTGTTTCTGTATCAAGACCAATAATCCCCTCCTTTAAAAAAAGCAACCAAAATATTCATCTCATGGTTCCTGCGGGTTGGGAGGTCAGAATTGGCTTAGCTGGGTCTTCTGGCTCAGGTCACGGGGAGGATTTTTGGCCAGGGCTGCAGTCAGCTGAGGCCTAACTGGAGGAGGGCAGCATGAGTGGAGCTGGCTGTGGGCAGTGAAGAATGGAGTTGGCACTCCCCAGAGTGTGCAGTTGAAGAGAATGGGGTGGAATCTACACGGTTTTATGGCCCTGGGCTGGCAGGGCCCTGCTGTCCCATGTGACCCTCAGTGCTAGGTGAAGTGTGTGCTGCTGCTGAGCCCAGGCCTGGTGGGGAGGCTTAGCCTCCAGCACGTGAAGGGGAAGAGTATCCGTGCATTTGTGGGCTTATGAAACCGCTAGTGAGTTTCTGTCTGTGCATTGTTTCTGTCTTCCCACAGCAGGGTGTCTTCTGCCAGAATCCCCAACCCTTAGCTAGTTCCCATGTAGCATCAGCTTAAAGTCCATGTCGTGTAGTATAGATCTGTTCTGGTATGGAAGAATCCTGTGGTGGACCCACGTTTACCTCCTAAGATCACACAAGTTCCCTACCTGTCATATAGTCTCTTAAAATTTGTGATGGCTTACTCCTGTAATCCCAGTGCTCAGGAGGTTGAAGCAGGAGGATTGTGTGAGTTTGAGGCCAGCCTGAACTAGATAGCGAGTTCATGGCCAATCTGAACTACACAATGAGTATGTATTATGGTATCTCTGTTCATGAACTTAATTTGTTCTGTGATTCTGGGGAAGATGGTCACAGTTGTCCAAAATGTTGCCAAATGCTTCTCTGAATGAGATTGTTCGCAAATAGAAATGTCATGAACTGAGTTCTACTGTATATGTATATATATAGACTCCTGTGAAAAAATGTATATACACTTCAGGAAAAGAAAATATGAAATGTCTGGAAGCTGATGGCCGTTACTTCAGGTACCTCATAGCTGTGGAGGCCAAAGGTAACTCATATTAATCTCATGATGTCTCAATAAATTTAGTATTAAATATTTATGTAAGTTCTTTTCCTAAAATGTATATACATTTTTATGGCAGATGCTATACTTTTTTTTTGTTTGTTTGTTTTTTGGTATCAGGGCTTAAACTCAGCACCTTGTGCATCCTAGGCAAGCACTCTACCACTGAGCTACATCCCCGGCCCTCTGTATTCTTTCTTAGTGGTGTACAGTGTGATGTGTTGATAAGTCACTTGCCACAAAGACTTCTTTCTTAGTCAAACTGGGTGTGATGGTGCATGTCTGTAGTCCAGCATTCAGGACACGAAAGCAGGAGGATTGCAGTGAGTTTGCGGCCAACCTGGGCTGTGTTAGGGAGATACTGTCTCAAAACAAGACGACATCTTAGCAGTGCACTGTATCTCGAGCAGTGCTTGCGTAGGATGCTGCCCAAATGATGTCATGGCATGCTAGTGACGTGTCTTTCTGCAGCTGTTTTTTGTTTTTTGTTTTTCGTTTTTCTTTTTGGTACTGGAAATGGAACTCAGAACCTTACATTGTTTTGTTTGTTTATTTGTTTATTTATTTTGGTGGGCTGTTGAGACTAGTTCTCACTATATGGTTCAGGTGGTCTTGAACTTACTGTGTAGCCCAGGCTGGTCTTGAACTCACGCAGACCTTCTGGCTCAGCCTCCCAAGTCCCTGGATTACAGGTGTGCCACCACAGCCTCACATATTTATCAGTTAATTTTTGGTGACAACAATTAAAAGTCTGTTCTTTTAACTTACTCCTGTATTTTAAAAGCCACTTTTATTACAGGGATTTGAGACAGACCCAAAGTGGAATAAAAGTTACCATCTTCCATTTAGCCCTAGCAGTCACTAAAATTGTACTATATTCTCTTTTTCTACTTTTATTTTATTGAGACAGGATCTTATGTGGCTGACCATGAACTTACTATGTAGCCCAGGCTGGCCTTGAACTTTTGTAATCCTCCTGCCTCAGCCTCCTAAGTGCTGGGATTACAGGTGTAATTCATACCCTGCTAGAATATTTTTAAAACAAATATTGGTGTGTCATTTCAAGTATCAGTATAACCATAATAATGTTATTCTTTCCAACACAATAGAGTAATTCCTAGTATGTGGTGCATGCTCGGTATTCCTTTTGGTCTCAGAGGTGATGTTTTTACAATGCTAGGGATAGAGCCCAGGGCCTTGTGCATGCAGGTCACTGAACCACACTCCAAGTTCAAAGATGACTTGAATTAGGATCAGAACAAGCAGTTCTTCTCACTACCCCCCCCTCCCATTTTTCCCTTGCCCTTTCATGAAAGACCTCAGTCGTGTCTTACAGAATGGCTTGCATTCTGGATCAGGCTGTGTCCTTGTGGTGGCAGCGAGGATGTTTTTGTAAGACCAGGTCTATTCATCTATCTGGTCTTGAACTCCAGGGCTCAAGCAGTCCTTTTCCTCAGCCTATGGCCATGGGCCACTGTGCCCAGCCAGCTTGTTCTTTTAGGCCTATGTTTTCTGTAAACTTGCAGTTGGATCAAGGAACTTGATGTGAGGCTTCACCTAGGCCAGAAATCTTACTTGATACTGCCTTCTGTAGGCTCCTGAAAGCATGTGGCAGCCGGCTGACAGAGAAGCTCCTGGAGGGCGCGCCAACAGAGGACACCTTGGTGCAGATGGAGAAGCTCGCTGGTGAGCCCTGGTGCTGCTGGGGGCAGGGGTTGCCTGTGGTGGCTATGGGGCCATCTGGCTCCTGGACTCCAGACAGGGTGGCTTATACAGGAAGACATCTGAGAAAGTCTGCGATGATCCTTCCTAAACTCTAGCCCTTTGCTCTTTATGTTTTTGTTGTGCTATGTTGTCTCACTGTCGTCGATGCTGTTGTTTGTTTTTTTGTTTTGGTACCGGGAATTAAGCCAGGACCTTGCACTTGCCAGGCAAGCATTGTGCCACTGAGCTATGTCCCTGACCCCCTTGATGGTGTTTTGGAATAAGTTATTCCCCAGGTAGATGAATAGAGTTCAATACTAGGTCTGCTCAAGAGAAAATTGACTGAATATTTTCCCGCCTCTGTCTTACAATAATAAGAGCCTGCCCTTATAGACAGTCTTTTAAGACTTTGCTTGAAACAAATCAAGTGGTGTGTCCCTTGGGCCTAAGTTTTCCAGCAGGTGGAATTGTCCCCCAGCCTCCCAAGTCCCTTGCCTCCCCAGGTTCATGGACAGAATCTCTACACCTGTGTGTCCTGTGTGTCAGGCTCACTTCCCAGGGAGCCTGGGGCATTAGAGTAGACCTGAGGTGTGCATTGGGCACAGTTTGTTGCTAATAATGTATCTTGGGCTTTATTTTGTGAAGAATGGGCCTGCTACCCTTTAGAGCTCTTTCAGGCTCATCCTTGCACATACTTGCACTTTAGCAAGCTCTTCCTGGCAGGGACGGTCAGGAGTGAGGTCTCAGCAGGAGCACAATGTGCTCACATTCACCCTCATGTGCCCGTGTCTTCTGTGGCCTGAGCACCATTCATTCTTTTTTTTTTTTTGTCTTTTTCCTTTTTATTGGTACTGGGGATCGAACTCACAACTACCTGCTTGCAAGGCAGGCGCTTATGCCGTTGAGCTAAATCCCCAGCCCCTGCACCATTCATTCTTGTGCCAGTCACAGACTCAGAGGCCAATGTAGGTGGTAGGGTCAGTGTCTTGAGGCGTCTTTGCACAGAGAAATCAGGATTTAGAAGCTTTCAGGGCCGTGAGATGCCAGGTGCTCTAGATCGTGCTGGTCTAGATCGTACTAGGCATGAGGGAACAGCAAGGGCTCGGAATCGCACTTTGGAATCACAGACCCAGCTTCATTGTCACGCACATCCTTCTCCTCAGGTCTTATCATCATGTGGAGCAGGATTGCAATTATGTATGAAGACTCCAAAACAAACCTTTTCTTACCTGAGAAATGGGGGTGGTAGTGTTGACCTCAGGAAGTCAGAGGGCTAGGTGTGTGGAACCCTGGGAGAGCATCTCGTGGAGCACATACTGAGTGTGCAGTGCTACGGTCTCATCAGTGCTGGGGGATCCCCACCAATGAGGAGACAACTTTTAGTAAGTCATCCTAAAACATAATGTTATACCCAGGCTGTGTAAACAGCTTTGAAGCCTTTCTACCTCTCAGGGCTCCAGGGGGAGCAGCCACGGGGACACTGGGAGGAACCAGTGACTTAACCGCACACTGCCTAGGGCTGCAGTGGTCATGGAACAAGTCTGTCACATTCAGGGAGAGACATTCTGTAACTATCCTTACCATCTCCCCTGTAGATTTAGAAGAGGAATCAGAAAGCTGGGACAACTCTGAGGCTGAAGAAGAGGAGAAGGCCCCTGTATTGCCAGAGAGCACGGAAGGGCGGGAGCTGAGCAAGTGTCTGACAGATTCATCCTTGTTGTCAGACTGTGGAAACTGGCAACCCCGGAAGCTATCTGTGTTCAAATCCCTTCGGCACATGAGACAGGTAAGCAGCAGAGGCTAGAGCTGCCCTTGTCAGAACCAGGAGAAGAGCGCAGGCCTCTCTGACCATTACGCCATCCTCTGGCCTGACCTCTTCCAAGAGAGTAGCCAAGAACCTTCTCAGCCGCTGAAGGTACATGAGCATCCTGGGTGTGTATCAGCTGTAGGATCACTGCACTTATCTTATTTTACTGTACTTTGCTTTTATTTTATAGTGAGGATTGAACCCAGGACCTTTCCACTAATTACATCCCCAGCTCTTTTTAAGAAGTATTTATGCTGTAGCTGGGTGTGGTGGTGCATGCCTGTGATCCTAGCACTTGGGAGAGTGAGGCAGGAGAATTGCTGTGAGTTTGAGGCCAGCCTGAACTATGTAATGAGACTGTATCTTGAACTCCTCCTGCAAAAGACACCTTATTTATTTTTTATTAGCACATATTTGCAATAATATAATGATTGCCTTTACTGTGTTATGTTTTAAGATTGTCTTCCTAAGTTGCCTAGGCTGGACTTGAACTTGCAATCCTCTTGCCTTAGCTTCCCAGAGTGCTAGGATTATAGGCATGCGCCACCATGCCTGGCTGTGTGTTCTCCCTTTTGGTAACAGTGTAGGATCTGTGTTCAAACAGAGGCCTGGATAGGTAGATCTTTTTTTTTTTTTTTTTTTTTTTTTTTTGGTGCTGGGAGTTGAACTCAGGACCTCATGCTTGCCAGGCAGGCACTGTGCTACTGAGTTAAATCCCAGCGCTGGCCTCTGATCTTGACATTCTAGAAGAGCCTCTTCATTGTTGTCATTTTTAGACAGTGTCTCACTATATAGTTCAGACTGACCTTGAACTTCCTATCCCACACTGGCCTGGATCCTCTTGCTTCATCCTCCCAAGTGCTGGGATTACAGGCATGCACCACCATGCCTGACTTTCTAGAACCTTCTAAAGGGTTTGAATAGCACTGTTGGAGACAGAGTTGAAAGTGATGGTTATTTTTAGAGAAAACTGAGAACAACTTAAATGTCCAAACACAGCAGTCGGGGTATGCCAGAACAGTGAAATGTCATGAGCGTGGCACAGGGGATCCGTGTGTGCAGCAGGCAGTCTTAACACACCAGAACAGCTGTGGTATGTTAGATCAGATGAGAGGCCAGGGTTGCTTGATATGGAGACAGAGTGTTCATTTTAAAATATCTTTCTGTATTCATTTTTATAATGAACATTAAATTTACTTCTGTTTTGGAAAATGGAGGAGACGAGTGATTTAATGTCAGAAGCCCACCTGGGTTCCTTCCATGTCTTGGACTGAAATGCCTTATCGAGTGTTTACATGGATTAATGTTTGAAAGAATTTTGAGTTCCACCAGGGGCCAGGGTACTTTGAGGTTGGTGGAGTTTGGTAAGATGTGTAATTGTCACGTCTTTTTTGTTTGTTTGTTTGTTTAGTTTTGTTTCAGAGTCCTGTTTGGGTTCTCAGAAGGCACAAGATAATAGACTATCCTTCTCTAAAATGTCAGGATTCTGGGAGTGAATAAGGAAATATTTAGAGTAGACAGTAAAAGGCCTGACAGCTGAAAGAAGCCTTGGCCCTGTATTGACACCAGGATCCAAAGAATTGCAGCTGTAAGGGACGCACTAAGAGCACGGCACAGTATGTGGCCGGCTGTCACGTCTCAGGTGGAGGCGTGGGCTGGGCTGTGGGGTGCAGCCCATGGTCTTGGGTACCGTCATGTTGTGCTATCTGCAGCTTGCCTCAGATGGCTCAGTAACGTACAGCATGTCTAGAGAGAGAAGGTACATGTTGGGAAAGCTAATACTTCGCTACTTCATATTTTAAAAGTAAAATTAGGGGGAAAGCTCTTAAGGGTGCAAGAGCTTTGGAATGTAGCCCGTAGGTACAGATCTGGAGACTTTCCTCATCTCCTGACAACCTCAGGGAAGTCGCCCAGGTTCCTGAGAAGTGCATTTCTCTTTTCTGATTCCATACTCCTTTGTCATTCAGAGTTTCCAAATGAAGAAGGTAACTTCCTTCCGAAGGCGGTGAGACACGACTGCTGCTCTAGGCAGACAGCTGTGTGTGTTGTTTCAGGTGCTAGGGGCCCCGTCCTTCCGCATGTTGGCCTGGCATGTTCTCATGGGGAACCAGGTGATCTGGAAAAGCAGAGACGTGGACCTGGTCCAGTCAGCATTTGAAGTTCTTAGGGTAAGAGTGCTTTTTTATCATCTGTTGTGGGGACCAACCACGTGGGCCTAGTGCCTGACTGAAAGCGAGGCTGTCACAGCACACTTGCCACTTGGTGCAAGGCCTGTGACGTGTCCATGCTGGAGACCAAGACCAGTATCTTCTCGTCTCTTATAAGTGGCAATCAGCAGTGGCAGGGAGTTTGTGCTGTCCTGATAGACAGCTGCCCTGCCTGGCCCTCCCCACGCCTTCAGTCCTCTAAGAAGCCACAGGATGGGTCTGGCCCATGTCCTCTGCACAGCGTTCTTCTCCTTGGGCAAGGCTGGGTGGCAGGCTCAGGGCACAGAGGCCGGGCCTGGTGTTTTCAGTCCTAGAAGGTGCGTGCCTCCCTGCTGCCTACTGAGCTGTGTGAATGTAGAAAGGAGCAGACCATCTCGCAAAGCTTATCAGCTCTTCAGGCAGGGGAAGAGGCAAACACGCTCGAAGGCAACATACCATAGCAGTTCACACTGTAAAGCAAGGGGCAGAGGGGGCAGTGTGTGACCGATGGCCAGGAGAGGACCTGGGGCCTTGTGGAGGGAGGTGACCTTGCAGAGAAGGCTTTAGGCTAGCTACAGAGGGCATGTGGGTGTGGGTTCCTTGCAGTGGCAGGTTCTAAGTCACCTGTCCCCTGCAGACCATGCTGCCCGTAGGCTGCGTCCGCATCATCCCATATAGCAACCAGTATGAGGAGGCCTATCGGTGCAACTTCTTGGGGCTCAGCCCGCACGTGCAGATCCCCGTCCATGTGCTGTCCTCAGGTGCGTACTGCCCACGGCGGAGGCTCCTGGGAGGGGCCCATACTTCAGCCCAGAGATGGCATTCGATCTCGGTCATGGATTCTAGGGTGCAGCCTGCTGTTTTGAGGCAGGGGGACTCATGTGTAGAACCATTTTTCCTACTGGCTTTGGGCCTTCACTTTTTGCCTTCAGAATGGGTGGTGATGCTAGCAGGGGCTGTGGTTCTCAGAGGGTAGCAGTCTGGGGGTTGGGGGTGTGTGTGGGACCACAGAAATAGGCAGCTGGAGACCCTTGTCCTGGTAAATCTGCCTTGGACTCACAAGGCTTGCTGGGCTAGGGCCAGGCCCAGTGCAGTGCAGGAGTGTTGCTGGCTGCCTTTTCCTGGTGGTCTCCCACCCACTTCTGGTCCCTGCTGGCTTTGCTGTCCTTGTGTGTACTGCAAATGAAGTTGCGCCCTGCTCCATGATGACTGGTCTCCTTCATGGGCAGAGCCACGGATGTGTTGGCCCTTCATGCTTGACTTGGGGATACTCAGGAGCCAGTTTGAATGAAATCCTGGCCTTGTAGGCAGGACAGTGACTCCAGTGCATGTCAGTGAGGGGATGGCCATGCACATTATTGCATGATGTGGAAGAGCTGGCAGAGGGACCATCAGAGCTCTGAACTGATTGTCACTGTAGACCAGGTCCCCTAAGACCCACAGGGTGGGGCCTGTAATCTGGGTGGTGGGAGAGTTCCAGAGGTGGATTTGAAATTCCTATCATCACTAGCCGTATGACTGTGGCTACTGAACTTCTCAGAGTCCGCCTCACAATTGTAAGATAGGGGGACAAGACCACTCTTATAGTGCCACTTAGTATGAAGTGATAGATGTATGATAATTGTATGTTATTATAATACAGAAATTACTAGTTTTAGAGCTGGGGATTTTGCTCAGTGGCTCAAGTGCTTGTCTGGTAAGCATGAGGTTGTGAGTTCGATCCCCAGTACAAAAAAAAAAAAAAAAAAAAAATACTAGTTTAATGGAGGCAGAAGCAGCCTATCAGTTCTGTTTTCACATGGCAAAATTTTTACCTGGAGAGCATCACTTTCAGGAGACCTCTGCTTGGTGGTGGCTCCTGGCTGATGTGCAGTAATGTGGTACAATGGGATGATGGTGGGCTTGTCAGCAGTGAAACGAGGATGCTGTATTTTGCTTTGCCTCAGAGTTTGTCGTCATCGTGGAGGTCCACACAGCTACGCGTTCCACCCTCCATCCAGTTGGGTATGAGGATGACCAGTCTCTCAGCAAGTATGAATTTGTAGTGACCAGTGGGAGCCCAGTGGCTGCAGACCGAGGTAGGTGCCATTGCTGGGTCCACCTTCTATCAGAACAGGCAGGGCTTGCCCCTGAGCCCAGCACTGAGGGCCCTCTGCCTCTGCTTTGTCCCCAGTTGGTCCCACCATCCTGAATAAGATTGAAGCAGCGCTGACCAATCAGAACCTGTCTGTGGATGTGGTGGACCAGTGCCTTGTCTGCCTGAAGGAGGAGTGGATGAAGTAAGCACGAGCTGTGAGACTGTCCGGCCTTCCTACCCATGGGGGTGGAGCTGCCCATGACAGCAGATTTGCTGAGGAAAAGCAGGAGCTGGTTCTGCAGAAGGCCAGGCTTGGCTGTGTGGAGCTGGTTGGAGTAGTGGTTTTGAGTGGGGCTCAGACACCATTCGTGCCATTTAACAACCGTGGTGGCCTTGGGAAGTGCCAGCGTGTCCTGTTGCTCTCAGCATCTGTGAGGTAGGGGCAGCTTCTGTCTTCAGCAGCTGTTGAGGGCAAAGCAGGATGCCCACGTGCAGAGAAGGTTCTTAACTGAAGTTCTGTTACTTTATTGCTTAGTGAACTTTTAAAACCCTAAGTGAGATACACCCAGACAACCCCAGCATGTTTCATTTCATTCTGTTTCTTTTCTTAAGCAAATTACTTTGTTTTTCTTTTGTCTTGCTTTTAGTGATTTTTCTAATCAAATTTTATTAGTCAGATGCCCTGTAACCTGTTTTTTTAAACATGAATTTAAGGATACCTCTGCCCCGTTTCCTTTTTTTTTTTTAAATGGATCTCAGTATGTTCAGGGTGACCTCAAAGCCCTATTTTTTTTTTTTTTTTTTTTTTTTTTTGTCTTTTTCCTTTTTATCAGTACTGGGGATCGAACTCACGACTGCCTGCTTGCAAGGCAGGCGCTTATGCCGCTGAGCTAAATCCCCAGCCCCTCAAACTCCTATGTTTAAAACAGTCCTCCTGCCTCAGCCTCCTGAGTTATGGGAGCTGCTGGTGCCCCGTCCTTCTCTTAGCTGTATTGACAGACTGGTGTGCCTGTGTGCCTGCTGTGATGATGCTGCTGCCTCCTCCCAGAGTGGGATCCCAGCTGGGCCTGCAGAGCTCCCACTGGTCTTGAAACCGGTTATGCCCTATGAGCTCTGGTGCTTCGGCTGAGTGTTGTGTTTTTGGTTTTTTGCAGCAAAGTGAAAGTCCTCTTTAAATTCACCAAGGTGGACAGTCGGCCCAAGGAGGACACACAGAAGCTCCTGAGTGTGCTCGGTGCATCAGAGGAAGACAATGTCAAGCTGTTGAAATTCTGGATGACAGGCCTGAGCAAGACCTACAAGTCGCACCTCATGTCCACAGTCCGCAGCCCCATTGCCTCTGAGTCTCGTAACTGACCCTGGTGGGTTTTGTCTCCATGTGTACTTCTGGGAACCATGGTGGCAGTGCACAGGCTGTCTTCCAGCTCTTTGAGAGGAGAGACTGCTGCTGAGTTTCTGAACTGCAGGCGTACAGTCGGGTCCTGGCTTGGGATGGAAACTGCTGGGCTGGGCTTTGTCTTGTGGCTCAGGGCATGTGTGGTTCTTGGCACATTCCGTAGCTGTCAGCCGCCTGCCTGAAGAATTCAGCAGGGACTGTGCGCAGCTCCATGAAGGAGACTCAGGAGCACGGAACTGTTGTGCCTCAGGGATGCAGTCTCAGGACTGAGTGGAGGACCCAGGTGTTCAGCTGCAGTAACCTATCCTGTCTTGGGGTCAGCATCTGAACCTTTTCATTTTGAAATGCAGCAGGTTCCCTGCACTTTGTGTTTATGTGTATGATTTGCTGTTTGTGAATATTGTTGACAAACTCCTATCTGGTCAGTTTTAGACATCTGCTTTTAGGTTGAGGACCTGCAAAGGCTTTGGGAGGTGAAGTGGCTGTTCTCCGTGTCACTGGGTCCTCTGAAATTCATGCTCTAAGACAGCACGGAGCCATGCTGCCAAGAATACACTCTTGTGAGTGTATTCCCCTGTGTTGCTGTGGAGTTAACCTGTGGCTTAACGGACGCAGCCCTTGGCTTTACACAAAGATGGACCTTTGCTGAGGCATTGGGTTGCCCTGACCTGACCAACTCATCATAGACAGCGAAACCCACCATGGCTTCCTGGTGAGTTGCTTTCCTCTATATCATACAGCTTTAACAAGGAGTCATAGCTTGGAAGGATTTTTGGCAGTTTTCTCCATTTGTTTATAGGTTTTTTTGGGTTCATTTAATTTATATTTAACACAAAGACTTAAGTGTATTGTGATGAAGTCTCTGTATAATACATGCACATTGAAACATAATAAATATCTATTTTTGTAACCTGTTGACTACATGGTTTTTATACCTTATATTTATTTGTGCTCACTTGCAGAAAATACACTTGTTCACTGTTTACTCATGGTGACACAGAGAAGTGTGTTTTTTTTTTTTTTTTTTTTTTTTTTGCAGAACACTGCCATGGGAGAGAAGTGTGTTGTTAGGTGACTTTGTCACGAGCATCAGTGTGTGCTTTGGCATACTCTGGCTACAGTGACACTAGGCAACCACATATGGGGCCTAGGGTTGACTGAAACTTGTCACATGGTACATGCCTGCTGTGGTTAAAATGACAGCAGTTCTCAGTGGTATGACAATTTAAGCTGCTATAGGTTAGCAGGAAAGAAGAGACATGAGCTCAGCTTTAAAGCACGTTTATTGCTAAAGCTGAGTGAACTCTCTGGCTAAGTCTCATACAGGCAAAGAGGCTTTTTCTAAAATAACACTTTTTGGCAAGCTTTTGAGGAGATGGGTCAGAGAAACACCAGGCTTGTGCCTTGCGATGTGTCTTCTGTGACCTAAGTAAAATAAAATCTCCATTTCTTTTAAGATGGTGGGTGGGCTCATTCGAGCTGGTGGTGTTCCCTGGCTAGGCTCTGTATCAGTAGTGATTTTGGACAGGCTTCTCAAAAGTTAAGTCTCTGGAACTGATGTCTCTGGAATTGACAGTAAAGGCAGCTCAGAGTGGGTGCAGCTGTGTGCCAGCATTTGTGTCCAACTTCAGGAAATAGTTCAGTCCTGTAGATGCAGGGAACATATATCCATCTGGGAAGTGTCAGGAAGCATGCGTCTGTGAAGCTAAACTTACATTAAATCATCTGATTGGAGTGGGAGAGATACCAGCGTGTGGGGGCCAGGGGTCAGTGAAGGAAAGAGATGACTGTCTTCTGTCGTTAGGTCTTTGGGTGTGGATTCCAATGCATGGCATTCCTTGAGTATACCATCTTTATATCCAGGTCTAACTGTCTAATTTTTCTGACTAAGGTTCTAGAATGACTAAGATTTTTCTGACTAAGGTTCTAGAATGATACTGAGTAAGAGTCATGACAGTGGGCATTCTTATGTTGTTCCTAATGTTAGAGTGAAAGCTTTCAGGTTTTGACCATTTAGTATGATGTTGGCTGTTGGTTTGTCATAGATGGTTTTTATCAGATTGTGATAAAGACTGTCTATTTGAATTTTCTATAGAGCTTTTTGCCATGAATCGGTGTTGGGTTTTGTCAAATGTCTTTTCTCGGAGCTGGAGATTTAGTTCAGTGGCATAAGTACCTGCCTTGCAAGCAGGCAGTCGTGAGTTCGATCCCCGGTACCAATAAAAATGAAAAAGACCAAAAAAAAAAGGTTAAAAAAAATGTCTTTTCTGCATCTGTTGAGATGATCGTGTGGTTCTGTTGTTGACTCTGTTAATATGGTATATTGCACTTACTGATTTGCCTATGTTGAACCAACTCTGCATTCCTTGCATGAATCCTACTTGATCGTGGGGTGCAATCTTCTGGATGAGGTTTGCTGCATTCTGTTTACCAGTATCTCATTGAAAACTTCTATGTCTAGGTTCTTTAAGGAGACTGGCCTATAGTTCTCTTTCTTAGTTGGATTCTTCTCTGGTTTTGGTGTGAGTGTAATTCTTGCTTGCAGGAATGAATTTGGGAGCAGGGACAGGGAATTCCCTGTCAGTTCCATTAAAAAGTTTGAGGAGCAGTGGTGTTAGGTCTTTCCTACATTTCTTGTAGAATTCAGCAGTAAATCCATCAGAGCCTGGGCTTTTCTTTGTAGGTGTTTAATTACATCTTAAATTTCACTGATCATACTTAGCATCTTCTTGATTCAGCTTAGGTAATTCATATGTATCTAGAAATCTGTTTTTTTTTGTTTTGCATTTTTCCATCTCATTAGAACACAGGTTCTCACAGTGTAGGTATTGATGATCTGCATTTCTGCAGAATCTGTTGTGATTTCATCCTTTTCATTCCTAATTGCATGGATTTGAGTCTTTCATTTTTTTTTGGATAAAGTTGACTAAGGGTTTGTTGATTTGATTTAATCTTTCAAGGAACCAACTCTTTGACTCATTCTTTGTATTATTTTCTTAGTCTCCATTGCATTGATTTCTTTGATCTTTATGATTTCTTCCTTTATACAAGCTTTGGGCTTGACTTGCCCTTCTTTTTCTAGGAGCTTGTGGTTCAGCATTTTTTTATTTGAGCTCTTTTCCTAATACGGGTATTCACTGCTATAAATTTCCCTCATGGGACTGGTTGCATTGTGTCCCATAAATTCTGTGTATGTTGTATTGCCTTTATTGTTTAATTGTAGAAACTGTCTGACTTTAATTTTATTTCATCTGTGACTCATTGGTTGTTCAGGAGTGGGTTATTTAATTTCTATATGTTTATGTAGTTGTTTTTTTTTTTTTTTTGGTCTTTTTCATTTTTATTGGTACCAGGGATCAAACTCACGATTGCCTGCTTGCAAGGCAGGTGCTTATGCCGCTGAGCTAAATTCCCAGCCCCATGTATTTATGTAGTTTTTATGCTTTATTTTGCCATTGATTTCCAATTTCATTGCACTATAGTCTGATAATATGCATTTGTATTTACTTAAGCTTTGTATTTACTTAAGCATGTTTTGTGAGCTAGTTTGTGATCTGTTTTGGAGAATGTCCTTTGTGCAGCTTAGAGGAATATATATTCAGATGTTGTGAAATGGAATACTCTGTAGACATCTACTAAGCATGTTTGATTTAGTTCTAATATTCCATTGTTAATTATTGTCTAGTTGATCTATTTGTAACGGTGGGTATTGGTTTTTTTTTTTTTTTACCATGACTGTGTCTTCCAAAACGGTGGGTATTGTAATCCTCCAGTATAATTATATTAATGCTGTATTTGATTTTTCATATCTGATAATATTTTAGGAACACTGGTATTTGTTGCATATATATTTATGATTGTTATCTATTCCTTTTAGATTGTTTCCTTTATAAGGATGTAGTGACCTTTTTGTCTCTCTTAATCAGTCTTGGCTTGAAATCTATTTTGTCTGAAAACAGAATAGCTACCCCAGCTTTTTTCTGGGTTCCTGCTGCATGAATATTGTTTTCTACCCTTTGGCTTTCAGTCTGAATTTCTTTTTGAATTACATGTGTTTCTTATATGCAGCATATTGTTGCGTCTTGCTTCCTGATACATTCTGACAGTCTGATTATTGAATTGAAACCATTAATATTGATGGTTATAACATATGTATTCTCTTTGTCTTTTTGAGACAGGGTCTTGCTATGCAGTTGAGGCTGACCTTGAGCTCACTTTGTAGTAGCTCAGGTTGGTCTCGAACTCATAACGATCCTCTTGTCTCAGCCTCCTATGATATGTATTCTCTTTTCCAGTTGTTATTCTTCTGTTGTTGGCTCCTTTCCCTTGCCTGCGTCCACTCCTAATTGTTTGCCTTGACTGGTGGATTCATTTTGTTGGTGTTCATGGAGTTGTAGTCCATGGTATCTCTTTTTAAAATGTCTTCAGAATATTTTGCAGTGTTGGTTTGGTGTTGATGAATTTCTTCAGGTGTTTTTGTTATAGAAGTATTTTATTTCTCCATCAACTTTGAAAGATAGTTTTGTGGGCTACATAAATCTGGGCTGGAGATAGTTTTCTTTTAGGGTTTGAGATACTCAACTCCAGCTCTCCTTAGCCTGAGGGTTTGTGTGAAAAGGCAGCTGTGATTCTGATGGGCTTGCCTTATAATTTGTTTCTTTTTTCTAACAGTTTTCAATATTCTGTTCTTGTGTTGAATTTCTGGAATCTTGATTTTTATATGCCTTGCTATAGATTTGATCATGGCTATTTGGAATTCTGTATGCCTCATTTATTTTCATGTAAGATCTTCTTCCCTGCCAGGGAAATTTTCTTCCATCACATCTATGAACAGGTTGAACAGGTTTTTAAAATATCATTTGTGCCATCTCTTGCTTTTTCACTGATTTCAACAAATCATATGTTATTCTACCAGCTGCTGAGCTGATTTCTCACGGTCACTTTTTTTTTTCCCCATGCTGGAATCGAACTCACGACCTTGCACTTGCCAGGCAGGCACTCGGGCCACTGAGCTATATACCCAGCTCTCCCTCGCTATGTTTTAGAAAATTTTTTTCTCATGATCACTAACCACAAACCTGTCTTCTATATCTGAGGTTATCTCCTCTTAGGTTTATTCTGCTTCAGGTACTTTCGATGGAATTTTGAATCTCCTGGATAGCTGCTTGAATCTGTTTTATGAATTCCATTTCTTGCCTATATTGGGCATTCATGGTTTCCATCATTTTCCTAAGCATGTCTGGTTTTGTTTTTTTAATCTGTATGTTCTCTAGAGTCACTAATCATGTCTTTCATTATGGTTACCATTTATGTGGTTATCTGAGAAAACTAATTTTTAATTTTTTTCTAGACCTCCTTTGCCTATGGCCTCTCACTTCAGAGAGGCCAGGTGGGCAGCTTTTGGATTGTCCCACTTCATTACCTTCTGAGTTTTCCTTTGCTGAACTGGATGTCTTGCATTTTGTTTAAGTTTCTTCTCATTTTCTTTTTTAGTTTATTTCCTGAGTTGATGCTTAAAGATTGCCTATGATGAGTGGCTTGTTAGTATTTAGAACCATTAGTTAGTGACTACTTCCCAGAAGTCTTCCCAGTAGTCTTGTGGGCATAGCTGGCTGCTGGGGTTTGGGTCTGTTGGAAGATCGTATCTCTCTAATTGATAGGGTATGAGAAGGTGCTGCCTACTTGGCCCAGCCCTTGGTTCTTAGGCACTGGCTCACAGTATTTTTATGACTCTTAGGCAATCTCAGTCTTAGTATACCAGGATGAATAGTATACCATGATGAACAATTATGTCACTTTCCCTAAATTGATACAATCAGCAATAACAAGCATCAAACACAGCCTAGAAATTGACAAACTGAAGTAACCATTAATTTGCCATCTTTAACCATAAGAACTAGATTTGTGGTTATGTACCGAAATCTAAAACACACCAGAAAACTGTATGCAGCAAATAAGCCCTCAATATGCCAGTTTTACCCTGAAGGGAGAAACTTTAAAAGGGAGGAAGGGGAAGATTAGAGAAGTAAAAGGAGAGGAAGAGATTAGAAGCAAGGCTGGAGGTCAAAGGATCATGAAGATTTTGGGAAACTGATGCAGAAGGCAGGAAGAAAAGAGATAATGTTGCAGAAATCTGGTATGAAACCAAATGGAAGACACTTTGCACTGAGTTTACAAGGCAATGATTTACTATTCTAGCAGACTGGTGGAAAACAGTTCCGAATCACCAGCCCCAACTGAGAGTGAAACAGAGACTTACATACATTTTGTAAGCAGGACATACAAAAGCTGATAGCAGGTTATCATATAACTGGTTACATGAATCAAGCCGTATGTTGTCAGGCAGGTTAGTCAGAAGGGTTGTCTGTTGGAAGGAAGGAGAAAATAGGGAGCAGTTGCTGAGGGGATGGTTGAAACTAAGCATATCATTGACTAACTTATCTCAGATAGTCCTTAAAAATAAAGTATGTTTATATGTCAGACAGTACAGGCAGTCCAGATGGATGTGGTCAGGCTGAGTCAGGTTGGACTATCTTAAGTTTCAGCTGGCATGGTGAGTCAAGGCTGAATCTAATGGTCTGTGTAGTGAGCTGGATGAGCACATCTTAATAGCATAGGACTATTGATTTTTAACTTTTCTATTACAATAAGTAAAGGAAGAACAGAACAGAACCACCACCACCACAAAAAAAAAAACCAGAAACCACTTTCACACTCACCAAAACAAGCTCAATCCTCTCAAAAAACAAACGAAAACCAAACAAAATTTAAAAAGAGAAGGAAAAAAGTCCATTTGAAGTTGTCTTTGCTGCCACTGGTAGACAGTGTGTGGAGACAGAGTCCAGGTCTGTGTTGATTTATTCCAGGACACCAGCAGCTTTAAGGGTGGGGGAGTGGAGCATCTCGGTGAGCTTACATCTTTGTTTTCCCTGAAGTTCAGACTGGTTTCTATCAGCGCACCTTCTGTGGGATTGAATTCAGCTGGGAGTCATTAGGTGGCGCCTGCAGTTGTTCTGAGTTTTGAGCTCAACTGAGGTATTTGAAGCCAGGCTATGGCCTAGGTGTTCTCATGGTCACTGCTAGGGTATTTGCTCCAGTGTTTTCTAAAGGGACAGAGGCAGGTCATACATGTAGGTCAGAATGCACATTTATACACAAGTCCCTGTTGAATCTCTGAAATGCACATGGGTCACTCCTGTCTTTCTCTTGTCTCCCTGAAGTCCTACCCTGCAATACAAGTTCAGGCTCTTAGGACCCCTTGCTGTTCACTGTGGGTGGCTGGTCAATGCCTTCCTCCCCTTCCAGGCCTCCTGGTAACCTTCAGGTGGTCACAAGTAGGTGCTTGCTGAGAAGCTGTCTTTTCCACTTAAAGTGCAGAGGCTCCACTGAGCCAGATAAATCCTTGACCAGGAATCAGGAACAAAGACATGAAAGACATGACCTTCTGTATGAAAATAAAATCTGCTTATGGTAAATAAACCTTCAAGCCACGTGGGACACTGGCTGAATGTGGGAGTCCAGCTGAGCTCCCAGACCCTCCTCCAATCCTGCCCAGCAGTTCCCTCAGCCCTAAGCACCACAGAGGTACACCTTGAGATGCCAGGAGAAACTCACCACACCTGGATCCGGGAAAGCCGGACGTGCTCAAAGAGAAGTCCAGCTTGACAGGGTCACGCACGCGTGGCCCTGGAGGCAGGGTGGGGGCAGGGCCGGTCACGTGGCCCCGAAGGGGCACGATCCAGTACGGAGTCCAAAGGCCAAGGTACTGTTGACTGTTGGGCGCGCGGCCGGGCACGTGAGGGCGTGGCCAGGCACGTGGCGGGTATACAGCAGGCTGCGCAGGCGCAGTGTCGTGCAATGCGAGTTTTACATGGCGGCGCTATGAGGCGGTTGAGTTGGAGGATGGTAGTGTCGGGGGTAGTGGGCCTCACGGTGGCCCTCGAGGCACTGCCCTGGCTCCTGAACTGGCTGCAGGTCCGGCGGCGGCGGCGGCCACGCCGTGACGTGCTGTTTTTTCCCTCACAGGTGACCTGCACCGAGGCCCTGCTTCAGGCCCTGGTCAAGGCGCCTGACGGGCCTACTGCGAGTTGCCCCTGCAACCTCCCGCACTGTGAGAGCTCCCTGAGCCGCCTGCTGCGCGCCCTGCTGGCAGCCCAGGACAGCCTGGAGCTCTGCCTCTTTGCCTTCTCCAGCCCGCAGCTGGGGCGCGCCGTGCGACTGCTGCACCAGCGCGGGGTGCGCGTACGCGTGGTCACCGACTGCGACTACATGGCGCTCAACGGCTCACAGATAGGCCTGCTGCGCAAGGCAGGTGAGTGGGCTGCGGATGACGCGGGCCCTTCCTCCGGTCACCGAATGCCTTCTGTCGTGTGTCCCATGTGAGGTCCGTGTGATGAAGATACGGTAGTCCCTGCTCAGGTCCCTGAAGGGAAACCCTCAGAGTCATGCATGTCTGAGGAACCAGGAAAAGTTTGGAAGACATGGGCATATGGAGGAAGTGTTGGTCAGGACACTGTCCAGAGACCACTACCTTAACTGAGTGAGGCTCTGGAAGGAACAGGGAGCATACGTGCCCTCAGTCACAGATGAGTGTCACAGAGAAATAGCAAAAGGCCCTCTGTGGCTCCAGGTGGGTAGTAGTGGTCATGGTGGATGGGGTGGGAGTCCTGTGTCGTCAGGCTGGAGTGACACGTGGAGCTGAGGGACAGGAAGTGGGTGGCAGAGGATGGCGCAGGACCAGTGGGAACTGGTCAAGGTGGAGGCCCTCCCAAAGGGTTGAGTTCAGATCTGTTTGAAGTTACAGCTGACAGGACTTGTGGGTGGCTTGGTCCTCGGCTTCAAGAAGTGTTGTTGGATAGGATCCCCAGTGATAAGGGAGTCACCATTTTCCAAAGCAGGGCTGGGAGGGATGACACGGGTTGTGCAGTTGAATTTGAATTTCACACGAAGGAGTAATGTGTAGTATGTGGCACAAGTACTCCATGGGACATATGGATCTTCCAAACGTGCTCTTTGTCCATCTCAGTTTGAGTGTTCTGTGTTTTTGGTAAAATCTGTTGACCCACTTCCACAGCAGCTCATTTTAAATTCTCTTATGTCCATTTCTAATGGTTTCCCTCTGTGGGCAGATGACGCTGGCCTGAGGTAGCATCCTGGAGACGGGGTTTCTGTCCTTCAGAGTGATGTTTGGGAGAGGAGCTGGGGGTTTAGTTCAGTGGCACAGCACCTGCTTGACAAGAATGAGGCCCTGAGTTCTGTTCCCAGTACCTCTCACCCCCATCCAAAAAAAAAAAAAAAAAAAACAAAAAACAAAAACCCAAACCAAAACAGACATATCAAAAATATTCAGGGGAAGAGGTGGACACTGTGGTGGAAGGCAGATCTCTTCAGGTGGACACTGTGGTGGAAGGCAGATCTCTGCTTCAGAATGCCAGAGTCACCCTTGAACATTTTGGCAGAAGTTAGCCATGTGATATGAGGCTCCTTCCAGAGCCTCAGTTAAGGTAGTGGTCTCTGGATAGTGGTCCTGACCTGCCTCATCTCTGCCTAGGCCTCTCTGTCCTTCTCAGCTTGTCTCTTCTTCGAAAAGTGGCCATGGAAAATTGAGAGTGGGAAGGGGAGTGCTACCACACTCTGCTAGGCATGCCTGGCCGAGTGTGTGCTCTGATGTACCATCTTGGTTGGTTTAGACCCCAGTCCTGGGGTGGGGCTGGCTTGTGATGGTCTGATGCACGGAATGAAGTGACTGGTGTCCAGGTTGGTGGTGTCTACAGTCCCTCTGTCCATCCCATCAGGGCCAGCTGCTCCTCTGGCTGGCTAGCCTTGTGACATAATGCTATTCTGAATGAGAAACAGCTGGTCATCTTACTGACCAGAAACAGCAGCATCAGCAGCTCCTGAGAATGAGTTGCTTGCCATGTATGGCAGGCTAGTAAAAAACTGCCTTGGCCCTACAGGTATTCAGGTTCGGCATGACCAGGACCTGGGCTACATGCACCACAAGTTTGCCATTGTAGACAAGAAGGTGCTCATCACTGGCTCCCTCAACTGGACCACGCAGGCCATCCAGAACAACAGAGAAAATGTGCTGATCATGGAGGATGAGGAGTACGTGCAGCTGTTCCTGGAGGAGTTTGAGCGCATCTGGGAAGAGTTCAACCCTAGAAAGTACAGCTTCTTCCCACAGAAAAAGCAAGGCCTCTAAAGCCGCCCTTCTCTTCTTCAGAGCCGCAGAAGCACAGCGTGCAGTGAAACCAGACACCCTCAGAGAATGGGTCTGGAGACTACATGCTGTCCCTAGGGGCTGCTGAGCTGTGGAGAGGCCATGATGCCATGAAGTCCTGAAGCTGGGTTGCAGAGGAGCACACCTGTAACCTCAGCTACTTGAGAGGCTAAAGCAGGGGACTTTGAGGCCAGTTTGAGGCCAGCCTGGGCAACTTAGCAAGACTCTCAAAAAAGACTGGCAGTATAGTTCAGTGTAGGGTGCACCGAGCAGTGATAAGTCTCTGGTTTCCAGCATGGAAAAAGAAAATGTATACTTAGAAGTGACCTCACTTTTAACACCTCGACGTGGTATACTTCTTTTGGCCATGTAATGGATGATGAGTTCCCTGATCACAAGAGGCAAGGTGAGGCAACTCCCTTCCAGCTGTGGCATCCTTCACAGGTAGTTAGGGGAACAGGTATCTGCATGTATTTATCTTGCATGTATTGTGAAAAGTTTAAAGTTTTGCTTTTTTATAATGTGTATGCTATGTAACTTAAATGACTTCTGAAGCTAGTCTTGGTGACTGTTCAAGGTCTTTAAAGTGTTACTGGTGACAGTGTTGGGTGTGAAAACTGAAGTTAATTTTTAAAAAAATTACCCAAAAGGGATTACAATGTGTTCTTTCCCAAGTTTGAATTTGCAGTGTGTTCTAGAATGCAGTGAAGTCACTCAGTGTGGTACAGCAGCGGGACCCTGGGCTTCCAGCATGTTTGAATAAATATGTTCATTCTCGAGTGTGAATGTTATCTTTTCCTTTGTGTACTATATTCAAACAGTGGCTGCTCTTTGTTAAAACTTTGGTGGGGATATTTTGCTCTTTAGACACTGATGGTCACAGTAGGAGCAATGCAAAAAGTTACTTGGGTTTCTGTTTACTTCCAAAGTATGTCACTTAGGTCCCTGCTGACTTAAAACAGTGCTTTCAAAATATTCCAGCTTCTTTTGATAATAGTTGTAGATCTACAAGGCAGAAGCACAATTCCCAGCCATTTCTTCTTTTCCATTTGCCTGACTTGTGATGTGCATGTGTGTGGGGAGACCCTGAGGCTTCACCTAAGTTCCTTTTTCTCTTCCAGGGAGCAAGATGCATGATAATCTAGTCTAGCTGAGCTATCTATAGGATATTGGAAGACTTGTGAAATTATTTATTTTGTATATTTTTATATAATACAGTTAATTACTTATTTTTATCATCTTAGCTGCAGAAGAAAGTTGGCCTTCCCAAAAACTTTCAGACACTAACCTTTCTGAAAACAACTTACAGTAAGGTTAAACATCTCCTGAGGAAACAGAGCACTAAAATCTTTCTCAGAAGTGGAGGCTGTTCTCTTTACCTACAAGTGTCTCTCAGCTGTGGCACAAATGTCCACAAGCCTCCGAACAGTGAGGCGGCTTCAGGGGCAAGCCCAGAGCCCATGTGACTGTGCCACGCTGTCCAGGCTGGCAGGTGAGTGCCATGGGGACCTTATGGTGGAGAAAGGCAATTTAAGTGCTTTTTCTTCAGCTAAGAGCCTTCACACAGTAACTGGTTCACAGCTGTATGTCAGTGACAGGCAGCAGAGCTGAGGTTGTTATCTCAGCTGAGCCTTTGTCTGCAAGATTCAGTTATTTCCCTGTTAGGTGAACTTTAAATTCCTCCAGGAGGCTCATTGGTTCCTTCAGTCTAGATTTCCCTTCCAATCCTGGCTGCAGCCTCATCAGTGTAGTAGTTAAGAGCCATGACCCATTTTGAGTTAATTTTGTGTATGATTTAAAGTGGTGACCAATTTGTTTTTGCATATTGCATGTTGATATCCGCTTCTCATAGCACTGTTTGTTGAAAAGGTTTTCCCCCAGTGGGTTGAGTTTACATCCTTGTTCAAAATCAGAGGGCCCATCTCTATAGACTTATCAGTTATGTGTCTATCCTAATGCCAGTACCATTCTGTCTTCATTAATAAAGCTTTGTAGTAAGTTTTGGAACCTGGTAGCATGTTTCTTTTTTTTTTTTTTTTTTTTTCAATAATGAATGGCATATTCTGGGTCTCTGTAGATGTAGCTGGAGAGTCTTGCCATTTTAAGCCTTCTAATCCACTGAACACACGAGATGTCTTCCCATGTATTTAAATCTTTAAACCTTTGTTTTTTTATTAGCATATGCTTGTGATAGGTAATTACATTATTTGGGGTATATATATAATTAAAATTATATACATAATTAAATTATTTTTATTGTTGCTTTCCCTCCCCTGCCCTCCTCTCACAGCTCGTTTTCAGATACTGTTTTGTGTTAGGTAAACTTGCAAACTTATTCAAACAAGTTTCATTGGATTCCTTAGAATTTCCCACATACACAATTTCATTTGCAAGTAGTTTTACTATTTCTTGTTCAGTCTGGATGCCTTTCAATATTATTCTCTTGCCTAATAGCTCTGGCTGTACCCCTGTTTCATGTTGAATAGAAGAGGAGAGAACCAACATCCTTACCTTGTTCTGAGTTTTACAGGAAGCTTTCCATTTTTCATGATGGCATGAGCTAAGGGCTTTCACAGATTGTTAAAAAAACTAGTTTGCAAGTGCCTGCTGATTTTAAATTGCATTTAGGTTATCTTAAAGAAAGAAAGAAAGAAAGAAAGAAAGAGGAAGGAAAAAGGAAGAAAGAAAAAGGAAAAAGGAAGGAAGGAAGAAAGAAAAAAAAGAAAAAAGAAGGAAGGAAAGAAGCATGTGGCCATTCGGGAGACAGAGGCAAGTGGATAGCAATTTTGAGTCCAGGCTGTGCAATTTAGTGAGATGCTGTCTGAAAATTAAAAAGGCTGGGATATAGGTCAGTGCTTCCTGGGTTCAAACCCCATGTAACATGTGCACTCACACACACAGTGTACATGCACAAACAAGCAAACAACACAGCACTGTCAGGCCAGTAAAAAAGGTTGTTGGATTTATGTGTATGTGTGTATTTGACTCTTTTAAATGGGTAAAACATTACTGAAAAATCTCAACTAGAACACACTAAAAATACTTACCTTTTTATGTCTGTACTTTCTGGTAATTTTTACTCCTTAAACTCAACTCTAATTGGTAGAAACTCTTCTATATTTTTTGGACTAAAATTTGGATCCTCAATCATTTTCACACATTTTATTGGTAAAGACTGTGACAATACTGAAATTCAGTTTTAAATTTATTCAACCAAAAGTTTTTAAAAATGAAACTGACCAGAAACACCAGAGTATATCCATTGTAAAGGAAGATTACTTTAAGTTTTGGGTGGTAGTTGTGTATTTCGGATCATGACATAGAATGCACCTCTTTTAAAAAGGCACTTTTACTGTAAATAAACCCATTAAATTGTGTGCGGTGGTGCATGCCCATCCCTTTACTTGGGAGGCTGAGGCAGGAGGTTCGCTGGGATGTGGGCAGCCTGGACTATAGAGTGAGACCTTGTCTCAAAAAAAAAATTCATTAAGTGGAGCAGAAAAGTAGCTATAGTTCCTTCATTAATGAAAGCATATCATTAATATTTGTTATTGTTCTGTTAGCACCTTAAGACTTAAGGAAATGTACCTCAATTAGATTCTGGATGTAAAATATTTCTTACTATTACTTGTGTATGTATAAACATGTAAAATCTGGATTTTTATGGGAAATTTCCCAATTTTAAAATGCTTAAAATTAGTCGAAAACTTTGAAAACCACTGTTTAAAAAAAAAAATGATAATCAGCCCACTGTCTATTGCTCAAAATTGTGACCTGAATGCATGATTTGCACATACCTCTCCATGAATCAACACTTTCTTACACAGCATGCAAAGGAGGATGCAAAAATAGTTTATTGTGATGTAGTTCATGTGAAGTTAAGTAATATTTACAAAATAAAAATGGCTAGCTACATCCATGGGCATCTAGCATGTCACACGAATAAATATTTTGACAAAGTTAACACTTCAATTGTAATGAATACTTGATTACAAACATAAAAAAAGTGCCTCAATCCTAACCATAAAGTCAAACTGTGTGTGTGGGGTGGCGGGGAATGAGATGCGTAGTTCTATCACTGTGTCTGGTGGAAGGTGACTGTTTTGGGTCATGGGGTCCAGGGGCCTCTCAGACCTCAGACCCAAGCTGACCCTGGGGAAGCTGTGCACACTGATCTACCTGGTTCATCAGGCCTCGGCTTTTTACTGCACACACTTCTGGGTTTGGGGAGCATGATCATTTAGCACCAGGACAGAACTAAACAGTTAAAATGACACATGCCTGTTCTCTGAATGTTTATCATGTGACTGAAGTGATTAGCTGTGGTAGAAATGGTTCTCTGGATTCTCCCGACACTGCAGCAAACAGAAATCACTTGCATGTCTTCCTCTGTTAATGGATCAGCTTCCCAAGCAGTCTGGCAGAATGTTTTGTCTTTGACAACTGAACTAAGACAGTCACCCTGTTAGCAGGAGGGTGTATCTGTGAGAATACTGAGAATTCTGATTGTTAAGGAGCTGCATGGATACATTTCATAAATATTACCTTAGGAAAACCACATGAGTTAATTATAACTTAACTGGTTTTGAATCCTAATATTAAATCAGTAAATCTGCCATTAATACTAAAGGTAAATCCTAAAATCCTTTTAAACCCATTTTACTTGAAGTTTTGTGATAAATATAGTAGTGATTTAGTGTTCTTTATAATCTATCTTAGCTAAAATAAAATGTGATTACTACCTTGTACCAGGGTGAAGAGCCAAGAACATGTTGGCCATGGGAGGCTGCAGGGAGCTGTGTCTAGTGACAGCCACCTCTCCCCAGACTTCTCCTCATGGGGAATGTGAGTTGCATGCTTCATCACAGAAGGTGCAACCTTAGCTCACTGCTTTGAATGACAGGACACAATGGTGTCCCTCCCGGTCACCCTGAAGTACTGGGCTGTCCAATCCATACTCTTGTGTGACTGTTTCCCCACCAATTTCACAGAAACAGATATTGCTAAGATGCAATTCTGAGGGTAGCAGTCTCAGTGGGGTTACATAATACAGCCAGACAGCTCTGAACACATCCCTGAATTTGGAGGAGTCCTAAATGCTGTAGAAACCAAGGATTTGTACTTGACAGGAAATTGTGACTTCAGCCACACCTGCCAATGGAAGGCCTGCAACTACTGTGCAGAACAGACTGATGGAGACATAGCTGTCATTTTCCTGCTTTTCCTTGAGGCCTCTGACTGGCTCTACCAAGAGGGGGTTATCGAATACTTTTAATGCAAAGCTATAGGTGGGGGACTACTACTGTTTCAGGTGCTATACATTCTTTAAAACCATTTGTTATATGACCAAGGCTTTTAAAAAGATACAACAGTCATTAAAAAAATCTACTTATGATGCTGGGCAGAGTTCCAATGTGTACTCAAAGATGTCCTCCTCCATATAAGTTTTTAAAAAATCCACAAAACTTCTTCATAAAAGTACAGTCGCTTGTCAGTAATATTTACACTGCTTGCTCTGAATCATATACAAAGAATTCTGAAGAAATAAAAGACAGCAGCCCCACTCTTCTGAGCACCTGAGGACCCAACCCCCTGTGCGTGCAGATGGCCAGCAGCTTGTCCTGTCTCTGGGCCAGTGGTCTGTACTGACTCCCCTGCTCTGGTCAGAAGGAACCAAGGCAGTCATTTTCACTTTGCAAACACACCTGAGATGTCTGGAAGGTACAAAGAGGCAGGTGGTGGCTTTCTGTGACAAGCCCATAAGAGGTGTGGGTGCGTGCTGGCTTGTTCCTTCTTCCTGCTGAAGCGCCTGCAGGCAGCGCTATCACTGTGCCTCCCCTGCAGCTGGCTCTTACTGTGTTCAATGTGGAAAGCATTGCTTGCTGGAAGGTGCATGGTGGTCCCCACTTGATGTGCAGAGGCACAGCAATGAACACTCTATACCCGTCCCTGACATTAGGCTGCATGGGGCTGGAGGTTGCTCATCTAGCCCTGGTATTTTGGAAACGGGACAGCTGGAAGCCAGGGAAAGCCTCCGTGCTGGTGGGACAGACACACTGCTGGGACCCTGCACATTCCACCTAGGAGGCCCTGGTTAGGGCGTGACAGATTCAGCAGGCCACGTGCTACCCTGTTCCCCCCTCACAGCCAGGCATTAGTGATGAAAAAGACCTTGTTCAATTCTCAGCACTTCCACGTGGACAAGAGCAAGTGTTCTGTGTACCTCTGTGGGAGGTGAACGGCAGTACAGACATTCCTTAATGGCTTTCAAGCCACCAATTTTGACTTCTGGTCCTCTCGGGATTCCTTCTGGGCATGCTCTGAGGTTTGTAACTGCATTCTTTTAAAAACTAAGCTTCTTTTCCCTGAGTCTGGCCTGCAGGAGCTGTCGGTCAGTGAGTGAGACTTCGGATCCAAGGCCACTGCACAAGCAGGTTCTTACCGTGCCTGCTGCTTCCTGCCCAGTGTGTGGGCCTTTGTCTGGGGCTCTTCTCCTTTACACACGCTGAATCTGAAGGAGGATCTACTCTGACTTTAGCACTTACTTGATAAATGCTTGTGTTTCTGATTCACTCCCTGGCCTTTGGGATATGGGCTGTTTCATGTAAGCCGAGGGCCCTTTTAGAGTGCCCAGTCTGCTTTGGGCTATAGCCTACCTGAGATACACATGTATCTGGGTGGCTACAGGTGGTACCCTCTGCAGTACCCGTGGCCATCTGCATAGGTGCTGGGTACCACATGTGCTTACAGCACGACTAGAAGAAAATGGCTCCACTGTGTGTGGGTTTGGGTGTGCAGATGATGCCATTTGCCCAGAAGACGTTCATACTAAAAGTTGTCAAGACAAATGGTTTCCCCATTAATCTTTAGCCTGATTTGCTTGCATGTACTGGCAGTTATACGATAAATATGTATAGGAAAATAATCAAAACTGTGCAGTATGCCCATTTTCACATTTCCTCACTATGAAGTGGGGAAAGTTTGCCATTGCTTGTTTGTGCTGCGTGTGGCCCAAGGCTCCCAGGAATCAACAGAGCTCTGAGCACAGACCCTGCCACCTGCAGCTGGTCCACAAAGGACTGAAATCTACCAGTGCACAAACCAGCTCCTCTTCTTGTTTTATTTCTCCTCTTTGTGTAATGTATGTGCCTGTGGCAGTGTGGTCACCAGGCAGCTCCTGCTCCTGGGACACATCTAGTGACACAGCAAGAATATTCATTCTCTTTTTTGCCTGGTTCACTCTGGTTGAAGTACAGAACCCAACAGCAGGAAGGTCCGACTCACTCCAGCCCAGAGTGACTACTCTACTGATACTGCTCAGAATTGCCTGGCAGGCGCAGGTGACACTAGGAAGCTGTGACGGAGCAGCCCTTTATAGGAGCCAGAGCAACCCGCACATCTGCCAGCTCCGTGTTTAGTCTGTTTTCCTGGACACACACACACACACACACACCCAAACCACACACACACACACACACACACACACACACACACACACACACACACAAACCAGCCACAGGGTAGGAAGTCCTGTTGTCTCATGTCACATGTCAAATATGGGGCCTTCACCAAGAAATGCTAGTGATGAGAGAAGTTAAGGTGTCCACTTGCCTGTCTCTCTGGTCTCTCCTTTCTACATCCAAATCCTCACTCAACAAGTTTATTTCTTAGGAGTTCTGAGGTCCAGCCTCAAGGGATAGAAAATGATAAAGAAAAACAAATAAGATGCTCTTTTGCCCTGTAGGCCAACCTGCTTTTATTCAAAGTGCTGTGCAGATGAAGCTCCTTTCCTGCAGGATCTAGGAGACATAGGTAAGGGGCTGCCTGAAGCAGGGCTAGAGGGTCCTTAGGACACTAAGGATGGTCACAAGGAAACCATGCTAGACCAAGAGATCAAAGAAGAGGTGAAATCACAGTGCCTGGAAACCAGGCACAGCCTGCCCCAGCCATATCCCAGGGAACAGCTGTCTCACATTCCCACTGAGCACAACACAGAAAGGTCAAGGCTGTTTCTCAAAGTGCTGCCAATCTGCTTGGGAGCTGTGTCTAAAAAGCAGATTTTTAAAATATTTAATTGTTCTTTCTGTTGAAATCATGGAACAATAAGCAGCACTGGGGCAACAGTGTGGGTGAGGACGCAAAAGCTTGTGACAAAGGGCAGATTAGAGCTTGTGCAGGGCCACACACATCCCAAAAGGGCACAGCAGGCAAGCCGCAGACCAGTTACTCCTCAGCCTTTGTCCTTCCTGTTCATCCACAGGGGTTGGTGACACAATCTGATGCCTTTGCCCATTAACTGATCTAAAAACTGAGCAAGGGGATTTCTATATTTTTATTTCCAAAGCATCCACGTATCCAGAGACCATGCAACCAACTCAAGAATTAGCACAAAGCAGAAGCTTTGGCAATGGAGCCAGTGGACATGGAGGAGGGGTCCTCCAGGCATGCACTTCTGACTCTCCCACCTCACTCTTGCATAGCAGGAACTCTCTTAATATGCCAATCTTAATGAAACAAAGTTTTTACAAGACTAGACTACAGATCCCAATGCAAGAGATTTTCAGGAAGTGCTGCAGAACATTTTAGCGCAGTGCAAGAACAAAACAAGTCTTAAGATTGTTAAAAAAAACAAACTTTTTTGTACAGGTTCACTTCAATGAGGTCCACTGGAGTTACTTGGCTCCACTGGAAGTTTAGAGCTCAGACTGAGCACAGTCCTAAGCATGTACTGCTGGCTGTTCTCCCCAGGATCCGACATCCTCTGGACTTCCTCTTGACTTAACATAGGGGCCTGCTCTCAGTCTTTCCAAAGCAACATGACAATTTCTTTTCTGAAAGATTTTTTAAAACAGCACCTTATTTCCCTTTGGAGGACTACCTCAGGAAATCCAACCTTTTTTGCAATCAGTGTGAAGCCCCAGGCAGCAGGTCACCAATCCTGACTAATGCAGAACAGGGAGGCACGAGCGGAGGAAGGAATGAGAGGGATCTGGGGTTTTGTGCAAGATTTAATAAAAAACAAACAAAATAGGAATGGTTGCTTTCCACATTTTCCAGGTCGTGAAAGATAGCCAGGATTATCTAGGGCGTGGTTCTAACTGCATTAGTGGAGCAAATACAAAATGCCATTGTCCTTCCAGGCCGAAAGGCGAGTGCACAGGCTGCACACCCATCTGGATTGTTGCCTCCTCCAGCAACCAGGCAGGCCAATCAGCTGCACCATGGTACAGGCCAAACCAGGACATCAAGGTGGCTTTCTCTGACCAACAGGGATTGTGCCCACCTCGAGGTGCTTGGCTGTGAGCAGCAGAGCTGGAGCATGGCCGGACCTCCACACTGCACTCTGAGACAGGGCTAGCTTATTGACAGGCTGCTGAGCCTTAATACTGACAGTGAGTGCGGTGGACATCGAGAAAGGCTCTACTCAAGACGTGGGTGGCTGCTATACTACCCCACTGCTGGAGCTTGACCAATCTCAGAATACCATGGAAAGAAAGTGGTGATAAACACAACAGGAAGTTAGAATGGTGTGGACAACCCCACACCAGTCTCTCATGTATCCATTCCCACAGTTAATGATAATAACAACAATGATAAAAATAAAGATACAGACAAAAAGCCGCGCTCAGGTTGTACTGTCACCAGCCAAGAAAGGTGTGTTGAGTGGCACAGGATACACCTAGTCTTTCTTCAAGTCCCTGGATTCAAAGAGCTTCAGCCGTTCCTGCACTGTCAGGCCTTCCTTCAGACTCTGGGCAGAGGAAAGAAAGAAAGGTTAGATCCAGGCAGGGCGGGCTTTGGCTTCCATCAAGGGGATAGAGGTGGAGGCAGAGGCAGGGTGAGGAGGGTGGGCTCCGGAGATTAGTGGGCATGCTAGGACAAGAAACTCTGTGAGATGGTGTTATTGGAATATGATTCCCCCTGAAGCAACTTGCTTAGATGAAAAAGGGAAAAAATTAGAGAAACAAGATCACGTCTTATGTAGCTCAATTCTAGATTCAGGGCGCTTTAGTAAGAGATCAGACTGACCCAGACTGGAAAAGAAGACCTAAGAACTACATGCCTGCCCAACTATGTCTCTCCCCCTACATGTGATTTGTGAATACCTGTTTCCTTTGAGTGTATGAATCCAAACAACTTCAGGAAGAGTGCCCTCGCCCTCAGTGCTGTGAGCACCCTCTTCCTGAGTGGAAGCCTATGAGACTACTGGATGGTGGGGGGTCAGAAACATGCTGGTGTGGGGCCAGTGCTCTGCTCCCATCCCAAGATGATGAATGTTCTCCTAACTGGGGGACAGGCTACTTCCCACTTGACGCCTCAGAGACTTTGCCCAAAGACTTCATGTCTGGAAGAGAAAAGAAGCACTGCTTCCAGAGAACAGCTGGAAATGTATGGGTTCTGGCCATTTCCTGGCCTGCTTCTCCAGCTGCCACCTTTCTCCTGTGCAGTGAGTGTCAGCCCTGTGGGGCTCTCTTACATCAGAGCTGACAGGCACAGGCTTTACTAGGAAACAGGACACCTCAAGGGTGGCTTCTGGCTCTGCATCCCACACAACTGTGTCAGTTTTAGCCACAATTCTGAATAGTGTGAAGTGCCTGCTGGGACCCACAAGTGGGACCTGCAATGCCGTGCAGCTCATGAGGGGCCCAGTGCTTTCCAAGGTCTGGGGTCAGCTCTGCATAACACAACACAGCACAGGACAGCACAGCACAGCACAGCATAGTCCGGCACAGCCTGTCTGTGGTATATACTGGGAGCCCTGTGTGTGAATAAGTGAATAAACACCCAGACTGGCCTCAGGGTATCACTGCCTGAGCCTAAGTATCCAGCAGTGGCAGCCAGGCTCCTACAAAGTACTGAGCATAGGGGCTGGCACAGTGGCATAAGCACCTGCCTTGCAAAGTGTGTGGTTGTGAGTTCGATCCCTGGTACCGATAACAAAGAAAAAGAAAAAAAGAAAAGAAAAGAATGACTTGCTATGATTTGGGGCTGGGGATTTAGCTCAGCGGCATAAGCACCTGCCTTGCAAGCAGGCAGTCATGAGTTCGATCCCTGGTACCGGTAAAAAGGAAAAAGACAAAAAAAAAAAAAAAAAAAAAAAAAAAAAAACACAAAGCACTGGGCAGATATCTAGTTGCCACCCAGACAGGCTTGAACCAAGTGCCCCTGTAGGACAGCTGGTGGGTGTTTAGCATTGCCACACCTGTTCCATTCCAGCTGGGAACTTCCTTCCAGGACCTTAGTAACCCAGCTGCTCCTAAGTCCTGTGTGAGCAGCAAGGTATCAAAGATTGTGGGACTGCCCCTGTGTGCATCACAAGAGGCTCATGTGACAGCCAGACTGTAGCAGGTCCTGCCTAGACCACAGGGTCCTCTGCCTTCCACCCTGCAGAACGGGGCTGAAAGGGCTCAGGTGAGGCCATGCTTACCCAGACAGAAGAGCAGACAGGAGGCAAGGCCTCTGCATTCCCTTTCCCTGGCAAGGGCTATCTCTCCTTCTAAAGCCTTTGTCTCCTCTCCTGGTTGCGGCTCAGCCTGAAGACAGGGCCACACAAAGACTGTTCCTTATGGGGCCTGAGGTGCAGCCAGCTGCCTTTGGGGCGTATCTCCTTCCCCAGCCACAGATCACAGACATGGAGCTCCTATGAGGGGCCCAAGGAGGAGAATACTCTGCTTTTTTGATCCCTGAAAAGGTTGTGCTGCTGTTAAAGTGCTGCTGTTTGCTGTACCAAGCAGGAAATAAAAACAACAGACATGACTAACACCAATCACTACACAGCAGAGGACGTTATCAACAAGCACCAATCAGAGGCTCAGTTTCTGGCCAACATCATTCGTGTCTTCTTGAGGGGTTGAGAGGGGCTCCAAATGCACTCAGAGAAACACAGTGATATACCTTGAGACCAGCCCCAGCCCTCCCCAACTGTGGTACTGCAGTATCCCTAAGGATGCCTATGAAGCTCCCATCTTTCTGTTTGGGCCCACAGGACTGCTCTGCACACTGAGAACTTTCTTTTTTTACCAGAACGTGGTCATCTCAAATATCTGAGAAAATACTTTGACTAACACCCCATCCTAGGTTGCGTTCTGCCTTGTTTCTCCCCGAGTTTCCTTATGTCCTATCTGTGCTGTAGCAATTCCCCAGGTAGTGCAAAGACTCCCACCCACTGGCATGATGCACCAGCGCCACCTCACCAAGGTCCATGGTGGTGAGTCCTGTTTGTTTTTGTGTCCCACAGGAACTCCCATGAACTGGGCACTAGTGCAGGACTGTTTCCTCAGGGTCCTGTCGAAGCTCTGCCCCACTCCTGACTGTCATAGCCCTGCCATATTGAGTCAAAGGCTCAACTCACTGAGTGAACTCCAAATGTACACAGGAAAGGCCTTAAGACAGAAACTAGAGTGCAGCTTCAGCAAATGCAATCTTCAATATGAAAACCATGAGCAAGTTTCCTTTTGCTAAACAAAACATTTTCATGTTTAAGGAAAAAAAATCCCAAACTTTTTTTATTGAACCTAATCATATTTGAGAGTAAGTGATTTGGGATGAGGGAAAGTAAACAAAACCAAACTGACTAGGTAAAAACCTTTGGATTTTCTTTGTATTCTATCTAAGGCAAACATCTCAGACCAACATCTGTGGACTACTAAGATATGCTAGAAGGTGAATGTGTTTGCTTACTATGCTGTGGCCAGCAGGGAACAAGACAGGCCAGCATCCCTAACCTATTCCTCCTCTTCACTGTACAGGAGCAGTCAAAGCTGCTGTGCCAGCAACCGTTACACAGTATATCCCTGTTCACACTCAAACAAGCAGCTACGTCCTATCTTTCGGCCAGGACAAAGACTCCCCCATGGGACCATGATAGAAGCTTGTGTTGTTTTTTAAGAAGTGCTGGCAGATAATGAGTTGAGTGACCAGGCACAGACTACAACATGCTGACCCAGAGCCCTAGAGAACAAGGAGGCCTGAGAAGGGCTGTGAGGAACCAGAGCAGCAGGCACCTGCTCCATCTGCAGGGAGGTTCCCGGGTAGCCTGGACTGCAAACTAGTAAGTGAAGCCTTCAGTGAAGTCAGACTTTGCTGGCCTGGGGCAGCAGGTGTCTGTCACCACTACCTCTTTACAGAGGATAAGACAGAGTTTTTTCCCAGGGAGGGTGGTGTGAGCTAATCACCGTGCACAGATCACCCAGCATGCATGCCACCCTGCCTGCTCAAGGCTGGCTCTAAGGGCCGTCCTGCCAAGCTGGGAGAGTGCTCTGGACAAGGATCAGCTCAAGAGGTTAGAGTGCCAATCAACTAACTGGCAGGCCAGGTTATAGAACCTCACAGGGATTTGTATGTGCTTGCTGGAGTAGGATGAATTAAAATAAAGTAACAACACAGGCGTGTGCTATGGAGATGTGAGCAGTACATGCAGAGAGCCACCCCGCATTTGCGGGCAGGTGGGCAGTGGTAAGAGGCAGTTTACCTATACGACAGGGGACCGGGAAGCGGGCGCGAGTCAGTTATCCCATGAGACCTGCTCAATAACGGACTGTCAGAGGAAAGAGCAAAAATAAGACACATACACAATCAATCCTAAATGCACCCCGTCCGCCCATTCTGCCTCTGGAGACGCACACCCATTCTGGGAAGGTATGGGGACTTGCTATAGTGCGCCGGGAAGGCAAGCAGACGGCTTGTTCTCTGGAAGGCAGGCGGCATCAGTACTACAACAGGGACGTGCAAAGACAATACAGACAGCAACTGACACAGATGGGCAGGATGAGCCTGTCCTCAGAGGTAAAGAACTCAACAGGTCTTACAGCTCAGCAGGGTGACTGCGTGGGTGGGCTGGGGGGCAGAATCTGGGGACTCTGCCACTCTGTGGTAGGCTGAGCTTTGGCCTTGATTCTCACCACCCCCTCCACTGTCCTGGAGAGCCACCTACCAGGGGCCAGGCCCAACTCACCTTGGACCTAATATTTCTGAGTTGCCGGGTGACACAGGATCTGTCTTTCTTCAGAAAGTCAGGGTTGCTTTTAGACTTCATTATGTCTGAAGGAAAAAAAGCCCCATTTTCTTTGCTTTATAAAACCTTCTAGAATAGGATGATGTTAAAAGCTTCTGAACTTCCTACTGTAGCACCTCATGGGATGTCCTTCAGTGGCTCTACGGGAACCTAAAGCCAGTAAGCAGCAAAAAGCTGCCCTTTTTCAGAACACTGCCAAGCACCAGAGCTTTGGGAATGGCTAACGGTTTTAGCTATGTGGCCATGCCTGCTTTCTCAGGTGGGTGCAGGACTTCTTGCTCCTGGTGCTGGACTTCAGCAGCTGAGCAGACCAAGTAGTCCTATGACCCGCTCATTCCCAGCTACTTCTTGAAGACTAGGGAATGGCATGAAACAGGGTGAGACCAAACCCTCGCCTCTCCCCGGCCCTGTAAGTCTGCCTCAACACAAACGAGCAGACATACACTGTCTCCCCATACATGTGGGGTTTGGTTGAGTATTTGTTTATTTATTTATTTTTGAGGAGCTAGGGGTGAACCTAAGGTCTTGCAGATGCCAAGGCAGGCATTCTACCGCTACCATCTGAAGCTATTTTTAAAAAAAATTTTAAAATACGGGTTTCTGTCTATGTCAAAACACAAATATCTGTCTGGCCTCTCTGAATTACTGCGGGTCAGCTCTTGTGTGGCTGTGCTGCAAGCCTGCAGTCCTCAGCTTGCTTCCAATGGCAGGATGCTGCTTTCAGCTCTGGTATACAAATGTTCACTAACCTGTTTGCTTATCTCTGTGCAACTGTTTTTTCTGATCTGGTAAATCAAAGGCATACAAACTTCCTTGTATTTCTACGTTTTTCTTTCTCCCTGTGCTCTGGATGTCTTGGGTTCTTCCTTAGAAGGAACTACTGATACCTCTTCAGAGTTGCTCTGTAGTCTGATTTTAAATCTTGCTGCATACTGCCTGATGTTTTCCAGAAAGAGGGCTAATTTGTACCCCCATCAGCAATGTACAAGGCCTCCTCCAAGTGTGTGTCAGTACTGCTACAGTGTGTGGCTCCAAGTGTGTGTCAGTATTCCTTGGTTAACTGACAGAGGAAATAGAGTATTTTGACTATTAGGGAGTCTAAACAGCTTTTCACACATCTGTCTTTTTTAAAAGTCAACATGTACTGAGTGTGGAGGTACATGCCTGTCTATAATCCCAGCTATTCGGGAGTCAGAGGCAGGTGGATCATATATTTGAGGCCAGCCTGGGCAATGAAGGAAGACTGTCTTTCAAAATTTAAAGGGAGAGGTAGGCTAGGGCTGTACAGTTTAGTGGTATCTAGCAGATCTGAGACCCTGGGCTCCATCCCCAGCATGGGAAAAAAGTCAACATCGAAGTCAGATGGAGTCTTGGATTATCTGCAAGGGCTTGACAATATGGCTCCGCAGCCAACCTGAGATCTGTCTTCATGGGTTTGTGTATATTTTTAACCAATAACCAAGATGGGAGCTTCCTTCCCTGTCCAACCTGGGGCCATTACTGGTTTTATGGTTAATCCCTGAGATCAAGTTTCTATCAAGAGTTCTTCCCAGCTGCTGAGATTTTCAGGAAAACAAAAAAATAAAGCCTGATATATTATGCACATATGTGTGGGCAGAGCATCTTCTCCTCAGAGCTGTGGCCAGGAGCGGTGTGGGAGGTAGTCCTCATTATTGTACCTCTACTTGTTGACTAACAAGCCTTTGGCTCCTTGGTTCTGAGTCAAACACCCAGAAAGCTCTATAAATATCACTCCAAGTACTCACCATATCCTGCCACAGCAGTACTCTCAGGGGACTTTTCCCCCAGTGCTTCTGTAGCTGCTTTCAATTGCTCTTTCAACCTGCTGATATCACAGTCTGCCTTGGCCTTTGCAATGCTGAGCTCTGTGTAAATGTCTTTGTATTTGTCACTAGCATATTTTTTGTCCTACGAAGAAAGGGATACAAGCAAATAGTAGATACAAACTGAAGAAGAAGTTCATATTGGTCCCCAGCCTGCCCATCCTTAGTACTGCCACACAGTAGGAGAACTAGCTGGGGCCTGGGGTCTGGCCCTGGCACTGCAAAGGGCAAAAATAAGCAGGCCTGCATTTCCCAGAGGGAACAACTGGACACAAAAGAAAACAAATAGGGTCTGTGGATATGAGCATGGCAGATTCTCTGCCTGTATGTGGTACCGGAATTCTGGGGCCAGTGCACATAAAAGCACAGGACCTTGGTTGCTTAGCATACTTCCTGTGGACTCCAGCTAGCATAACCCCCACTATCTTGGTTTTTCTAAGTGACTGGATGCTGCCAAGGATTCTATCACCTCCTTTTATCATTCTAGGAGCCACCTGGAGGAGACACATTAGACCTGATCTGAATGGCAAGTCAGGACTTCCTTCATAACCAGGACACTCTTCTGGGCATCATTATTCCCACCAACCCCCACAGGAAACATGACAAGAACCACCTGGCCAGCCTGTGGGCTACACATTTCCAGGGCACCTGCTTGGAGGATAGTATCTTAAAAGAATCTGAACTTGAGACTGCCACCTCATGAAAGTGGGATCTACTATCCAGCAGCTAACATGGAGCCATAGGGCCTACAGCCTGCCCAAGACCCACCTTCCCTTGGGATAGCTCTTACCCGTAGTGCTGTCTGGAGCTCATCCTTGAGAGAGCTGATCTCCTGTTTGAGATACTGTATTTCTGATTCCTTGACCCGCAATAAGACCTACAATGTGAGAGAAGTTAGGGACCCGAGGAACCTCAGGAGAGCACAGACGAAAGTAATCAAAAAGTGCCTCAGCCCACCTCCCCACCACAGTAGGGCGCAACAGCTGTGTCCACTCTCACAATGTGCAACTGGAAATATGATTTCAGTATTAGTCTACACTTCCACATTACATGTAGAAATAGAAAGGGAGGAAGGAACTGTTACTATGCTTCCTATTCCTGAGAACCCCTGCATCAGCTGGAGGAGGGGAGCAACAAGACCTGCTACTGGCAACCTGTTGATCTCCTGAGTTGAAGCTATCAAGGTTTAGCAAATGCTATACAAACTTCGGTCAAGCTGGCTCAGCCTTTTCCTATCCATCTTGTCAGGAAACTATTCATTACTGAGACATTTTTCAAATGAAACTTGGGCTGGGGATATAGCTCAATGGCACAGTGCCTGCTTGGCAAGAGCAAGGTCCTAATTTGATTCCCAGAACCTAGGGGGGCGGGGGGAAGAAGCTGTAATCTAATGGGAGAGAAATATGTATTTTTTTCAAAAAGAATACCTTATACCAACAGAACCACCTTATACATGAACTTGCACTGACCCTGAGAAGCAGAATGTAATGTAACTTCAGGCGGCTGCAGCACTGACATAGCTATGCAATGGGTCATTTATAGGTCCAGTGTCTGGGGTATGCTAGAAATGGAGTTGAGCCTGGCAGGCAGGTGGAGGGAGGGATGGGGTTAAGTTCCCCATGGCCACTTGAGGACTTTTCTACTGCTGCCTGAGGACCTCAGGCTAACTGTTTGCTAACCATCTTGGGTGGTCTTTGTATTTCTCCCAGCCTTTTTATCCTTTGTGGTGCTGGAGATGGAACCCGAATTGTGAACATGCTAGGTGAGCACTTTTCCACTCAGCTACACCTCCAGTGCCTATCTTCAAGTCATGTCCCTTCAATGTTATATAAGCTGAGGGTCCATCTTGCCTCCCCAGGGGCTCCCGTGTGGCACAGATGAGGAGGGCAAGCCTGGCTGGTGACACTACCTCTAGCTCGTAGGCATCCTTTCCCTGTGTGAGGGGTGAGCTGGCAGCCTCTCCATCACCATCCCCAGTCAGTAGTGTCCGTAACCGTGTGATCTCTGCAGCTAGCCGGTTGTTCAGTTCCTGGGAGACAGCAACAAAATGCATTACACTCCACAGAGCTGTCTCAGAGTCAAACAGCACAACGCAACTTGGAATGATTGGAATTACCATTTCCCACCCACATCATGCCAATACTCAAACATGAGGCCTGTGAGTGGTGTGTCAGCCCATGATGTCTGAGAATGGTACCACAGAACCCCTCAAAGATACCAAAGTTCATGGAGGGTTCAGTGCCTTATACCAAATGGCATAGCATTGGCATAACGCTGCACATATCCACATGTATGTATCACTTATAGTACTCAAAACAGTTATCAGTGCCATGTGTAGTACTGTACTGTATTATATAGGGAATAATGACCTGAAGAGAAAAGCATGTAATATTCAGTGCAGGTGAAGTTTTTTTTCTGAATATTTCCCACTTGAGTTGGTTTAAACTGTGGGTGTATAACCTGTGGACACAGGGCTGTCGACATGTGTAGTTATGTGAGGATGTCACAATTCCTATGTCCTTCTGTTATGACAAACAGCATGTGCTTGCTCTAGTTCATCCTACTGAGTTTCTACAGGACTTGGCTACTCTGCCTCCTAACCCTGCCACCCCTTTCTGGACCTTGCTTCCAGCTGACAAGTGTTTGTTGTAAAGCCACTCCAGCTGTCAGATGGATCTGGTCCCACCTTGAGCAATCTCACACCCAGTCCTGAGGCCCCACAGAGGGCTCACACTATATCACTAACTCAAACCCTCTCATTAGCCAGGATTGAAATGCACCTCAACTTCTTGAGCAGCAAGAGAGATCTCAGGGGTGGCTCTTATTTTAGGGTCTAGGAAAACCCGCTTATTTTATGAACTCAGGTTTGAATTTATCACCGACATTTATCTAATCAGTTTGGGTTCTTCCTAACACTAAAAATAATATAACTTCATTTGCTAAGAGAGATCTCAGGGGTGAGCATCCATGCCCTGCAAGCAATGAGTCAGATATTCACAGAATCGTTAGACTTCTGTCTCAGAAAGGGCTGAAGCAAGAGTGACCCTACAGTTGGATATGCACAGGGTAGTCTCTTTGGCCACCTAGAGTAAGTTTCTGTCACATTCCATGGCTCGGGGACCCTCAGTGTACTTGAGGGTACAGCCTGATCTTGAGCTCACCTGGTTGTGGGCGTTGAGCTCCTGGTTCTCGCGCTGGCACTGCCGCAGGGCCTGCCGCTCAGCCTCCAGTGCCTGGGCCAGGTGAGCATTCTCCAGGCACTTCTGCGAGTACTGCTCTGAGAGGACCTCCAGTTCCCGCTGCACCGACTGCAGCTCTTCCCTGGGGAAAGGTGAGCTGTCAGCCCTCTGCCCTACTCTGGGACCCAGGGATGAGTCAACCCACTAACCACATGAGTGCAGCCCTTATGTGTTGGCAGCTCATTGAACATGAGGGTCCTTTTTGGCGTCCCCCAAAGCCCAGTGTGCAGGAATCCTATAACAGACACTTCCCTGAGGATGCCACTTGAGACAGAATTTAGTTACAGTGGGTACACTCAGATTCTGAGAGTTGATCTGGGAGTTGTAAGTAAGCCTACTTTTTTATGTCATCTGAAAGCTCAGATTCTGGACACAAAAACCTAGCCCCTGAAATGCTGTCTTCGGCTATCTTAGATTCAGAGGGACAGCTCCCTAGCGGTAGACCTAGGATGAGAGGCCTCTCTCTCCCTATATGAACTGTAGGGGCCAGAACACCTGTCAGCCCATCCCAGCCAGCTAACTGCAGCCACTTCATGGGACACCAGCTGAACTGTCATGGCTTTGGGCCTATTTCCATGAATCCTCCTGGGACCTGGCTCCCAGCCTAGTTCTGGAACCCTCACAATAGCAATCCTCATCAGGGAAAACCAAGAGTTGCCACTTTGGTGCACACTCTTTATCGCCTATGCAGGAGTTGGCAAGGTCAAGATGTTAGAACACAGTAACTGTGGTCACTTCTGTCATAGACAGCCACAGGGTTTGGCATGCTGAGCACTGAACACCAGTCAGATGCTCCACTCCCCACGAGAAACTGAGGCAGTTCCTATAAAGAAAGAGCCAACTGGGATGGCCTCTATTATCAGCCCTAGGGCAGTTAAAATGTACAGTTTTCATTTGTAGTATCTTTTTCTTTGCATTTTAAGAGATCTGTCTTTAACACAGGAAGCCCCAGACAGGTCAGCTTCATCACTGAAGAGGAAAGGATCTGGGCTGCCCTAAGTACCATGGTCTCCTCTGGGATCAGCCCGAGGGCTCACAGAGATGCAGTGAGCTGGGGGAACTCACAGGTATTGCCGCCTCAGGGCTTCAATATCTGAGTTGATGCTGCTGATTTGGGACCGCTGGCTCTTCTCCAGCTCACGCTCCATTTCCTCTCGGTGGGCATTCTTCATGGCTTCGATGGCTATAGGCAGGACATGGCCCTCAGTACCAAGATTATAGGGCTGTATAGCTGACGGGCCCTCCCCAACTACCATGCCCTCTCTGTGAGGCCAAGGTAGACAGGAAGCTTAACATTTGTCCACTGCTAATGCTGAATCCATCTGCAGTGGAACTCTACGACAGATTGGCCCCACACAAAAGCACTCTTGGGGTGGATATGGAACTCCCATCCCACTCCCCATAAAGCAAATGAAGTTATATTATTTTTAGTGTTAGGAAGAACCCAAACTGATTAGATAAATGTCAGTGATAAATTCAAACCTGAGTTCATAAAATAAGCGGGTTTTCCTAGACCCTAAAATAAGAGCCACCATGAAGTGATTAGGCATACAAGGTAAGCCAGCACCAGATGGCTGGATGTGCTTGCTCTGGGGTCCAGGGCACAGTGTGTCACAGGGCAGGAACTGTGGCATCTTCCTGCTCTGGCTGGAGGCTGACAGTGTTGGAGGGTTGATGAGGTGGGGCAGGTCCTTTAGGGGCTGGGGGCTGATGTACCAGTGTCATCAAACTTGGTGCACTGGCTTTTAGGCTGGAGGTCTCAAAGGCTCCTCAAAGCAGCCTTTTCTCAGAAATGCCAAACTATTCTCTTGAAAATGAAACTTAAATCTCAGCCAAAAGGATACCGAAACGTCAGTCATTTTTCTGAGTTGTAGACCAGCCTAGGGAGTGCATCACTTGCTACCCCCAGGTCCAGCCCCACCTGAGATGGTGGCAGCAGTCTCCTCAGCCAGGAGACGGTCCTTTTCTTCCCGCAGTTTCTCCAGCTCCCGCTGGTGCTGCCTCTGCAGGTCTTCAATCTTCTTCTGGTGTGTTTCTTCCATTGCAGCAAAGCCCCGCTCACATGTGGCCTGCAGAAGCAAAAGAGGCATACTGTATTTCTTTCGAGGTCTCGTAGCTGGAGATCCTGCATAAAGAATCGCAGCAACTCTGCCTGTCCAGACGCAGTGATTAACTCGGACTCACTGGACTTGGACTTGAGCTTGAGTGGAAAGCAGACTCCTGACGCTGTGTGAAGGTTCACTGCACTGGACACCTGAAGGATGTTTTACCACAAACTATTTTCTGTGGCTGATATGAACCCTAACTCTTCATAGGAAAGGCTGGTATTGTGAGTGCAAAGAGGGTGCAGTGGAATTTAAAACTAGCCAGTCCTGGACCTGTGTAGTGTCACAGCAGGAAGGTGGAGGACAGAGTACTTGGGCTGACAGTGTCTGCATTAGAGTTATGTCAGATTCCCTTGGTGCTGTCACAAACAGGGATGACCGATTTGTCAGCTGCAGAAAGCTGAGGTCATTGCAAGACAGGTAACCTAAAAAAAAAAAAAAAAAAAAAGACAGGTAACCTAGCTGGGAGGCTCCTAGTATCCTCTATGTGTTGGGGTCAGACAGAGCCCATTTCTGAGAGCAAAGAGCCTGTTCTACTGCTAGCTACACTGACCAATGCCTCTCAGGTGTCCACAAAGGGAGTAAGACAGGTTATAGGATCTCTTTCTACTGTCCTTCAACTCCTTAGTTCCTGTCTTGAGTAAGAATATGCAGGAGCACTAATCAAGGAGGGCCTCCACTAACTTTAATAAGGTGCCTAAGAGACAGGCTACACTGTAACTGTGCAGGACACCTAGAGATCAAATAACCCTACATAGCTATAGGAAAACCAGGTCTGGCCTGTTAGAGCTTTTCTCACCATCAAATAGGAGATTGCCTTACAGCTGCAGCTTCAAATGGCAGGAACATGCAGCTACTTTGAGAACAGAGTCATACTTTCTGTCCAAACTTCAGGGAAGGGATCAGGGCTGATTTTTAAAAACTGGGAGAATATCCCAGATATTATATCTAAGTATGCAGGGCTTACCCCTGGCAGCTCTGACTCTATGCTACCAAGAATCAAATAACCATGCTCTGTATCTTTCTCTGAGCCCTACAACCCTGTAGGGGCCTCCAGAACCTTGAGTCCTATTTTCTAACTTCTAGTGATAGGCTGGACCTCACTACTACTTACCTGCTGAACTGGCAAAGGCCTTAACTGCTGTTTCCCACTAACAGGGCACATTGTCGCCTGGCTGAATCCTAGCAGATGCCTTCACGGGAGCCCTCTCCTCTTCCTGCCTTCACATTATAGTAGGGCTGCAAGACACCTCAGGTCCCAGCCAAGGTCTGCATACAGCGCACCAGGGCTGAGACCTCAGCAGTGTATTCGCCCTGCTTGGTCTGTACAAGGCTTTTCAGTCAACACACATAACTATGGGCTGAGAACATCTTACCTAAAATGCTTGGATCAGAAGGTTTCTTAAGTAAGGATTTTTTATATTTTGATATATATGCACACATATATCTGCATATATTATATATTTATTTATTTTAGGGATGGGATCCAAGTGTAAACATGAAATTATTTATAAATGTTTCATAGATGGGGCTGAGGATTTAGCTCAGCGGCATAAGCGGCTTCCTTGCAAGTGTGCAGTCGGGAGTTCAATCCCTGGTACCAATAAAAACGAAAAAAGACAAAAAAAAAAAAGTTTCATAGATGGCTTATACACATAGCCTAAATTTATACAGTAATTCAGAGCTCTTGCATTCTATGACCCTGTCACATGAAGAGAGATATGTAATTTTCCACTTGTAGAATCATATTGGCACTCAAAAATTTTCAATTTCAGATTTTGGAACATCTTAGACTTTTAGATTTTCAGATAAAGGATGCTTACCCTTATCCCTTCTTCCCTTTTTTGTGATACTGGGGACAGAACCCAGGACCTTGCATATGGTAGGCATGTGTTCTATCAGAGTAACATCCTCTGCCCTCTTATAAATCTTACTTTGAGTGCTTGGGAATATATGAAAATAAAAGTCAAAATTCTAATAGAAACAGTGAAATATCTTAAACTTCCTTGCTAAATGTATATGTAAAAATAGTTAATCTGAAACAAATCATGATTTCTAGGTTAATCATCTTGGGATCAAAAAATTCCTCAATGAATTTGATGCAGAATTGTGGCTAGTGATGGGAAGACACTGACCTGCGGGTAATGACTATGATACAGAATTGTGGCAGGTAGTGGGGACTCTGGCTTGAAGGTGTCAAAAGGGGGCTGTCAAGCCAGCATCTCTAGTCTCCCTGACCCAGACAGAAGTCTGTATAAAGTAACTGACACCAGTTAGACTCTTCAGAGGTTGTGTGGTTATAAATTTTGCAGGCATCCAAGGACTGAGAAGAATGACACATAGGCAGGATAGAGGTACTATTCAGTGGGGGCTTGTCCAAGCTCCTAATGTCCTCTTCAACCTGTGTCACTTGCATCTGAGCATCCCTGGGCCTGGCACAATCATTCTGATGTCTTGTGAACTGCTCATATGTCATCAAGACTGACTCATGCACAGGAGGCTAACTCACTCAGGCCTGGAACATGGCGGAAGCTTTTATAGATGCAAGGAGAAAGTAGGTACCTGTAACTGCTACCTGGGGTCTGCACACAGGCACCTGCAGCAAAGGGCACTAGGAAGTAAGTGGATGTGGGGGTCAAAGCCAAGGCCTGTGCCATTTACTGTTAAATATGCACCTAGACCCATCAGGAAGTATGCTCAGTGAACTGACCACAGGGTCATCAAGCATGTACTTTGGGAAAACAGCCACTGAAACTTTCTCACAGTTCACGATGGTTTCTAAAAGGTTTGGACTGAGCGGAAAGAAAAAAAAATGGCAAGAAGGTGCCCAATGCCAATACCCGTTTGTCTCTGGGTGAGGTTGTCAATCACAGAAGCAAAGCAGCATCTGTGGAGTATATTTTTTTTGTCACAGCCCTAGAGGGGAAAAGTACTGGGAAACAGCCGTAGGTGTCCTGCTAAGTAGCAGGTGTGTAGCAGGATAGCAAGTGTCAATACAACTGAACTTGACAAGCACCACATGCCCTATCAGAAGAGGAAGAAAATGAGGGGACAGACACTGGGACAAACTTCTGAGTCTCAGGAATGATGAGACCCTCCAAGATGATGCAGTGTGAAGTGATGAGGAGGTGGCTAGAGTCTGGACTGTTCTTGTCTTCTTGGCCGGAGGGAGCTGGGATGCATTCTACGGGCCACAGCCTATAAGGCAGAATGTAAAAAGGGTGGAAGCAGGGGACAGCTCTTTGGACAAAGCCACCTTTCACAGGTCCCAGGGAAGGGAAAAGGAGCAGCTAAAAACCATTTCTGAAGAAAAGCCTTCTTACACCAGCGCCTACCCCGGCTGGGTCCTCATACTGGGAGCTGGGAAAGGAAAGGGCCTTTGAACGCAAAATTCAACTCTGCTCTTCTAGGTTGGTCAAAAGGGGACTGTTCTCCCAGAATGTGAAACTGTTCTGGGCAAATGCCTCAGGTTGGGTAAAGGAGGAGGGAAAAGGCAGAGCAGGGGCTGCTCTGGGGACACAGAGAGGAAGGGAAGATACTCCTCTCTTCCACAAGGATACTGCCTTCCTTCTGCCAGGCCTCCTTTGGGATGGGTGACCCCACAGCCAGCAAAAAGAGGGACAGCACAATGTCCTCTTGATTATGCCTGCACAGTATCTAAGAGCCAAGAACCAGTCCCAGCTATACTAAGAGCCTCAGATGCCACCACAGTTCTCCCTCCCCAACAAGGAGAATTGCCTTTACAAAGAAAATGGTGCTGAGGACCTTGAGGTTCTCAAAGTCCCGTTGGTACTTCTCCCGCAGTGTGGCCGAGTCACCCTCCAGCTCCTTATGGCCTAGCTCTTCCCGCATGCTGTCCATCTGGGCTTCCAGTTCCTGGATGCGCTCCCGAAGCCCTATCATGGAGTCAGCCTCTCCAAAGGCAGTCTGTGGGACAGCCTGATGTGGTACAGCCCTGGACTCAGATCCCCACTGGAGGGAGGTGACGGGCAAGGCCTCAGGCTGCTGCTGCCGACATAGGCTAAGGGTCTCCTGCAGGTGCTGAAGGCTCTGTGAGTAGTGCTCCTGCAGGGCTCTCAGCTCTTCCTCATGGATGAGCTGCAGCTCTTTGATCTTAAGCTGGAACCTGTCCTCCAGTGTCTGCATCTGCTGCACGTGCTGCCGTTCCATGTCCTGCTTGTCTCTGACTGAGGCATCCAGCTGGCTCAAGACTCGGCTGCGCTCAGCCTGCAGTGTGTTCTCAGTGCGGTTCAGCTGCTCCACCACGCATCTGATCTCTTCCTCGTACCTGCCCTGTAAAGCAAACATGCTCTCACTGTGTTTGCTTTCCACTTCTTCCAGACGCCTCTGCTGATGGTCCAACTGGTTCATTTTTGCCTTGAGTTCGGCATTTTCCCTTTCAATGAGGGAAATCACCTCCAGATATTCACTCTTCTGCTTGTGGAGCAGTTCTTCGTACTCTTCCTGCAGCACTCCAATTGCTCTAGCCTGCTCCTGGCAAGAAGTCCCCTTTGCCTGCCAAGACTCCTTATAAAATTGGAGCTCCTTTTCATACTCCAGTCGAATTCTACAGGCTGCATAGCACACCTGAGCCTGAATAATTGCATCTTGAACCAATAATGAAGAATACTGACCAAGGCCTCCCAAACAAGCATTATATGAGAGATTCTGGGACTTCTGCAAAAGCTTCTGGCAATCCCTCAATGACTCTGCAGGTGGCAGAGCAGGCAAGGCAGCAGAGATCTCTTCTAGGATGCTGGCCTTCTCTCTCAGCTGCTGGGCAAGCTCTTCTTGAATAGCAACAAGAGCCCTGGGGCTCTGGTGAGAGATATGCAAGGGCTCCCGGGAGCCACCTGCTGTGCCTGGACTCAGCACTTTTTTCAGTGGACTTAGGTTCGAGGGTATGTGCACACCATCCTCACCACCTGCTGGACCCCTGAGGGCTTCTGAAACCTGCTGTATCACTCTCTCGAAGTCTGGGGTTTGGTAGGCCCCCAGGATTTCCTCCAGTGCGCATTTGTGCTGCTGGAGGGCTGCCTGAGTTCCTTGCAGGGTCTCTTGGACGGTCTGCAGCCTACGCTGTAGTGACTCCCTTACTGACTGTGTAGCAAAACTGAGCTCTGCCCGGACCCATGTGTTGTCAGCTATGATTTGGGGAACACGTTGCTGTTCGCTTTCTGATGTGCTGGTTGCCTCTCTTCCCAGCGTCTCCAGGTGCTTGCTCAGGGATTCAACTTGGCTCCAAAATTCACTGTCCACCAGAACTTTCCTGGCCCAGGCCTCTGCTGAAGCTGTGGAAGAGACACTGGCATCTTCTCCCTCCAGAAGCCGTTCTCCTGACTGAGCAATCTCATGGAGAACATGAGACACATCTGAGGTGGTGTTCTTAAGAGAGTCTGCTATTTGGTTGATCAGAGAGGCCTCCAGGGCTATCTGATTAGAAAGCAGTTTCACTTGCTCCTCCTCACTCAGACCAGGCTGGCAGGGCTGTTGTGCAAGGGCTGCCACCTTGCTGTCCATGCAGTGCTCCTCCACCTGCCTGACGGGGGCTGTGCTGTCTGTAGGGGCTGGCCAGGCCTGCAGGGCCTGGATAGCGCTCATGAGTGCACTCTCCACGCTGGCCAGAGAGGCTGCACATGTGTCCTGTTTGTCCTCCTGATTAGCCCATGGCAGAGACCTTAGTTGTTCTCGGCAGTTTTCTAAGCACATCAGAGCCTGGCTGTTTTTCGCCTGAAAGCCTCCTAGCTCTCCAACATGGTTCCCAATGCTTGTGGCCCTTTCCTGTCTCTCCTGTTCCAGCTGGGAGGCTAGGGCACCAGCCTGCAGCAGGCTGGCGCGGAGTTGTTCTCGTAGCTGTGCCTCAGTGCCAGCCCACTGGTGGTGCAATGCAAGCAAAGCCTCTCGGCTCTGACCCTGTTGGCTTTCCAACCTCAGGGTCACATCCTTGAGCTTCTCCTCTGTGACGTAGAGTTTGGTCTCCAAAGAATGGATGATGGAGAGGTATGTCTCTGAGTCTCCAGCTGTAGGCAGGGTGCTGGGAGACATGCTCTCCTCTGAGGGTGACCGGTCCTGGCTGGTGTCCGAGGATGTGCTGCTGGTCCAGGTCTTCTCAGACCCCTCAGGGTGGATATATCTTTGGCACTGGATAGTAGAGAATCGGATTCTTTGCCTTTTAAAACCAGGTGCTCCCCGGTCAGGCTTGGCTGTGCTCTGCAGATGTGCCTCCTTGTCAATCACTTCAATGGTCATTGGGGGCACTGTGACTTCTCTGCTGGGACTGCTGTCACCACATTCTTCCACTAGACTAGTTCCCACATTGTCAACACCCAGCTGTGTGTGTGGTACGCCTGGAGTTGCTCCCGTAACTGGTAGCTGCTGGCTCACGAGTAAAACATCCTGCTCCTCGGTTTCTTCTTGGGCAGTCTGTGATTCTTCCATATCCTTTGCAGACTCATTTGCAAATTTCCTTAAAATCTCTTCTTTTACCTGCAGCTTTATTTCTGTCTGCTCTAAGCTGCTCCCCAATGCAACCATTTTAACCAAAGCCTCATTAAGGTCTTGATCTTTCTTTTCCAGAACTCTCTCATGTACTTCCTTGATGTGCTTCAGCTCTTCCTCCTTCTCTCTCAGAAGAGTGCGCATGCTCTGCAGTTGGTCAGAGACCCTGTGATGTGAATGCTCTAGGTTCTGGTAGTCAGCCTCTCTTCCCCTCAGCTTCTCCTGAAGCTCAGCCACGTCCCCATCAGAAGCAGCCACACGCTCCATTAGTTCTTGGAACCGCTGCCTGATGAGATCTCGCTCATCACGGAGGCTCTGCACATGCTCGGCAAGCTGGCGGATACTGGCCTCCCGGGCCTCCAGCTGTTCTTCCAGGTGGTGCACTTGCTCACTACCCTCACACTTGGCACTCAGTTTCTCCTTCTGGAGGGTCTCCACTTGCTGCGCATGTCCCTGCAGCTGGTCCTCATAGGCAATAGCCTTGTCCTCTACTTCCTTCAGGTTTTGCAGCAGTGCCTGCTTCTCCTGCTCACAGCTCTCCAGCAGCAGTGCATAGTTCCTCTGCAGCTTCTCCTCCATCAGCTGCTGGGCCTGCTCACTGGCACCCAGCTGCTGGCTGAGGTCAGCAATGCGCTCCTGGAGCCTCTGCACCTCCTTCTGACGGTCTCGCTGCAGCGCCTGCTGTGTCTCCAAGTCCCGAAGCTCCTGTGTCTTCTCCAGCAGGAGGGCCTCAGCACTCTTAAGCTTCTGCTCACTGGCCCTCAGCTGACCACTGAGTGCAGCCTCACTGTGCTGTCGCTCCTCCAGCTGTTCACGAACCCTGTTCTGCTCCAGCTTCAGCTCACCCTTGAGCTTGGCCAGCGCCTGCTCCTTGATGGCCAGCTCAGCAGCGGCATTGCTGAGCCTTGCCTGAAGGCTCCGGATCTCGGCCTCATGGTGCCGGATTGCATCCTTGGCCTCCCCATAGCTACGTTTCAGGGTCTGAATCTGCTGTGTGATCAGCTCCTGCCGCTGGCACTGGGCTTCCAACTCACTTTGGAGGTCTTGGTTGACTTTATGGAGCCTCTGCCAGGCACCCGATGGGGAGGAGGCCACTTCAGTCTTAAAAAAATTGATTAAATAGTGGTTAGTAACACTCGGGCCTCCCCATTCTGAGTGTCACACCTCTGGCCAGGATCAACCAAAGAAAAGCTCCATGGTGACTTTGGATTTTATTCTTTGTACATTTTTTTTTTCCCATTTAAGAAAAATCCAACAAATTATATTAATTTTTTTTTTGGTAAGTGTTTGCTTCTAGATAAACGGAAAACATGGACAATAACATCAAAAAACAGTTCTAGTTCAACAGTTTCTAAGAGAAATAAATCAAAACTGAATAATGGAATACACAGAGAAGCAAAACGGAGACTGAAGGACAAGAGGACGCTGGGAAGCGGGACAAGGGAGCAGAGCAATTGTATCTGTTTATTTTGCAAAAACAAAAAGAAAATGGTTCTAGACCACAGAGTCTAAGTAAGTGCAGGACACAAGGAGCAGGTAAGTGATGTCACTTCCTTCCAAGGGAGGAAGGGAAGGAAGGAAGGTAACTGATCAGGAGATGTCAGTGAGGTAACATCTACAACATTTTCCTTTGGAAAGTGTAGTCAGGCCTCCACAGTAACAGGAAGAACTAATCTCTACCTGTAAGAAGACAAAACGAGGGGGAACGAAAACCAAGGAGTGAAATATGATAATCAACACAAACCTTTGTGGAGTGAAGCATGCAAAAAACAAAACACAAATGAAAGAAAACTCCCCGAACTGAAAGGCATGCAGAATAGAGCTAATGGAACGCAGAGGAAACAGCAGGAATGAACACAAATGAAGAGAGGCCCCCATCTAGACCGCGGCCTGCTCAGTGCCCTCTCCGTCTGCTTGTGGGAAGCCACAGATGTGACACTCAGTTAAGATCAAGTTAAATCCAAGCTCAATGTTCAAACCATGCAAGCTCCTCCCAGCAGTTAGTGAAGTGCTCCTATGCTCAATCTTGTGACCCTCGGCCCCCAGGTCCTGCCCCCTTCTGACTTCTAGACCTCAGGTTCACTAGGGTAGCCTGGCTGCTTTGACCAACAGGCCTTTGGTGCAGGCTGCAATGGCTGTCTACAGAGGCAGGCTCCCAAGATAGCAATGTGCAAAGCCGTAGGCAGTGTAGGTCAGTTCTTGTTAGGATAAGGGCCAATCAACACTTTAAAAAAGATGCTCCCAAACCAGAAGGGCCTGCAAAGACGATCTAAAGGCTACCTGAGTGAGATGTAAAGGAAGTTGATATCCTTCAAGGATGGTTCCCTGGCCCAAGGATCTGAACTGAGCATGATAATATGTTTGCTGGAAGGGGATAGGGAGTAACAGAAGACCAAGGGCACGTGCAGCAGAAGAGACAGTACAGAAAAAGGCAGGCAGGCAGGCAGGCTCTAGTCAGAGGGCAGCCATGCAATCCCAGGCCACCTGCTGCCCAGGACAGCTTGGTACACGATGGTCTAGAATGCTGACAGTCAACTCATCAAGGAGACTAGTATCTGAGAGCCAAAGGGATCTTGGGGGTCAATAGGTCTAAGTGTACACAGGCAGAGGGTTGTCAATGCAGTATTAAGGGATATCTGCTTCTGGGGTCAGTGGCAGGGTCAAGACTCAAAACCAGAACTGTTAAACCAATGTCCCATTTTCAGCTTTGTCAGAGCTTAGGTTTCAGATTTGGCACCCTATTCTACTCTTCTCTTAGCATTTAGTGGTCAACTGTGCCAGTATGATAACACCACTGGGGCAGGGGCATGTTTGTGTTGTGTCCTGGAACTAGCATAGGACTTGGAATGCCACAGGACAGTGACAAATACTGCTTGCTTTCCGTCATTCATGGCTACCTCCTGCCTTGTGACATACCCACATCAGGGCTGCCATACACTGGAAATCTGGTTGTGGCCAGGACTCTGGCGGATACTTCTGGCAGAGGGATTCTGGGCTAGGGCTGTCAGCTTAGGACCCAGGCTGCATTCTACGCATGTCCCTCCCAAGTTGGGCTGGCTGGCCACATCCTCCTGAACCATCAGCCTGGGCGGAAAATAAAAAGTAGAGTGATGACAAGTAGATCCACCTGCAGCTGTAGATGAGCTATATGGGATTGAGTGGGGTCTAGTTCTAGCCACTAACCTGCTACTACGAGCAGGCATCTGGGTCACTGTGTGATTCAATTCTCCAGTTTACACAATAGGCCTAATCCTGTTATTATAAATACAATGGAAAATGACATGCAGATGGATGGTGTCCCCAAGAAATGTAACTGGCTACCTTGAAAGCCTACAGGAGAGATCACAGTGATTTCATTACAAACAAAACAAAACAAAACAAAACAAAACAAAACAAAAATTCTTAAATGTAGGGGATTCAGGCCCATTCCTCAAAACATCAGAGCAGAAGAAAAAAACAAAACACAGAACTCCTGCATACTAAATGCCTGTGTCCTTAGGGCAGAGGAACTGATGCCAACCTCTGCCAGGTTTGCACATTCCTAGCCTGTGGGCCATGCCTGTACCCCTTCCATTGAAGCCCCAGGTGCACATGTGCTTTGGCAGCTGCCCCATCCTACCTGTAGCACGTAGCCCTCCCGGGCACTCTGCTCACGGCCCAGTGCCACCCTCAGCTGGTCCTGTAAGAGCCGGTTCTGCTCCAGAAGGTCTGAGGCTTCTTTTTGGCTCTGCTCCAGCTGTTGGTAAAAAGACATGTTCTTAAGCAACATGACGGGGGCTGGAGATTTAGCTCAGTGGCATAAACGCCTGCCTTGCAAGCAGGCAGTTGTGAGTTCGATCCCTGGTACTGATAAAAAGGAAAAAGACAAAAAAAAAAAAAAAAAAAAAAAAAAAAAAAGCAACATGACAACGGAGAGAAGCAGCTGCACAGTATAGGCATTTCTGACTGTAGCACATGTGATACCTTTTCTGGCCCATAACTTTTGGGTCTCTGCATTTCAGGATGGGCAGAAGTGGTCTGTATCTGCAGCTCAAGCTATAAATGACACTGATACGCTTGCCTCTCTCTGGGGGCTGAGGGATAGCCTGGTCCTTAAGGTAGTCCTGGGTGCCCACACAAATTCTGTATGTGCTCATGGTTCCACTGTGAGGGCCCCATACAGGTCAAGGCCCGTGAGGGAAATTTATTTATTTTCTTTTTTCTTTTAAAAAACAAAACAAACAAACAAAAAGGATAGAAATGATGTAGAATTTCAAAAAAAAAAAGTAGAAAATCAACACTAGTTAATATATTGCATATTGGTATCTTAGAAACTGTTCAGGTTATAAGATGTCAGCATAAAAAATGATCAATCCAACAATGATAGCACAACTGTTCTTTTTGATGAACTAACAGAGAGTAGTATAGTTATCTATCTTGTATACATATACATACATACATTTTTATATATGTATAACCATGTACATATAATCTTTGCCTTTCTGGGAAATTTCTGAGAAGTAAAGGCTTTGCATCTTTGCAGAAAGATCAGCCTGTGGGGGTCTCCTGGGGGTTCTCTACATGTCACACTAATCTGTATAGGGGCTACTGTGGGTTGTGTGTGTGTGGGATCCTCAAGCAAGCCTCAGTCTGGACCCAGCTGTGGCTTCATCTGAAAATACCAAACCAGGTATGCATGGTGGATTTGGATCCCACAGAGCTCTGTCTGCAAAAAGGGTTCCTGTAGTCCCCTCAAACAAGATGTGGAAATCTGTAAGCTATTTTACACTCATCTTGCTTTCAACAGCTTAAAGATTTATTCACCCATTCATCTGTCTGCCTCTTCACCACATTTTCCATAGGTCCTGCCTGATGCTCAGCTGTATGTGGGGCTGTCTACCCCGTTGCCCAGAGGTTGGTGGTCAGGGAGCTGGGATGCAGCTGAGTAGTCAAGGCACTGCGAGCGTGGGCTGTGAGAAGCAGGGAGATCTGTGACTATGAAACACGGAAGACTGCTCTAAGAGATTGCTGTCAAAACACAAACTAATGATTTTGAGTGTGGCTGTTGGGCCCATCTAATAGCTTAGAATCATGTAAATTTGAATTGTTTTATTTCATCATCCTTATTAGTTTTTTAATAGTATTGGAGAAATCAAAGTATTGATACTAATAACTATCAGAATCAAATTTAATATAAAATAGGAAAAAAAAGAGGAGAAGCATGAGGTCAACTGAATAGGAATGCCATGTAATTTTTAATCTACTGCACAGGTACAAAAAGAATATGTTCAAGGCTTTCTGTTGAAGGGCATCCTTGAGGGGAAGGTGTGACAAGGTATTTCATAAAAAGCAGAGCAATAGCCAGGCTGAGAACCCTTTATCCAAATATTTGAGGTCACAGTGTTTTAGATTTCAGATTTTTTTATAAGTTTGGGTTACCTGCATAGACATAGGATACAATATATGTGGTCTGTGCATGTTTGCGTGCACACATGTGTACATGCATGTGCATGTTCTGCAGCACTAGGGGCAGAACTTAGGGCACTGTGCATGCTATGCATACACTCTACCACAGAGTTGTACCTACAATCTCTTATATGGTATTGTTAATAATTTTGCTCATTAAATAAAATTTCATGGTGTGGAATTTTCCATTTGTAATATCAAGCTGGCATTTAAGAATTAATGTGGGGGGCTGTGGATTTAGCTCAGAGGCATAAGTGCCTGCCTGGCAAGCGCAAGGTCGCAAGTTCAATCCCCAGTACCAAAAAAAAAAAAAAAAAAAAGAAAAAAAAGAAAAAAAAAAGAATTAATGCTGGGACACAATTCCATAAGAACCCCATGTGCTGTGAATGCAGGGGCTGGGTACCCAACTCCTCTAGGTTCCAATTCTTATCTAGCCTCCTCCCACGGCCGTTTCATATCCTAAGCATCAGGGGCACAGCCTTTGCCTCCCGATGTTATCTCTTACCCTAACAGGTCTAAACAACAGATTTACCCCAACAGCTCTGGCTCGTGTCCCCCAGAGCTGCTTCCTGCAGGTAGAAACCTAACTCTACTCACACTCTTCCCCTTAAAATCTAGCTCATGCCCTGTAGCAAGAATAATAGAGCCTACTATCTGGGCCTACTGCCTGGCCACAGGTCTACATGTTCTATAAACTCCATTCTAGAAAGGCTCAATATCCTCACTCTGTCATGACCTGGTTCTCTGTTCTATTTCAGCATCCACCCTAACTGTAAAGACCTGTCTGTACCAGAAGGGAGGACTGCGTGGCTGAACTTACAGGCCACAGCTAGCATAGATGGTGCTCAGGACAGGCTGATGCAGAGGAAGCTGCACTGGTATTACCTCCTTTTCCAGCAGAGAGGTCAGTTCATGTGCAGAGAGCCGATCATTTCTATCCTCAGAGGACAGGTGCAAGGGGGCGATGGGCACCTGCTTTTCCTCTCGGAGAGGGGTGGTCTCCACCTGATGCCACCGCTGCTCAATCTCCACATGGACATTCTGTGTCTTAAGGTCAGCAACTGGCAGTCCTGGGCTCCGGTCCACCTCCATGCGCAGAGCTGCATCCTCAATACTTGGTCCATCCACTGCATCCAGCATCCCAAAGCGCTTACGGCGTTCTTCCCGCCTTCGTGCACGCTCTCGCTCTAGCTCACCTGATTCTACCTCGGGGTATCCAGGGTCACGGGCATCAGAGGTTCCCATGATACTGGCCCTCTCCTGAGCCAGGGCCTGCTGAATGGGGCGGAACTCAGCCCAGTCAAAGGTCTTAGAGCGGCCCTCCCGCCTTCGCTCCCGAGCACGGCTTCTCTTCTGCTCTGGATCTGGCTCCCCGGGCTCTGGCTCTTGCTTTTCACTTGGCCTTGGGCAGGTTTCAAAAGCTGAGCTGTTCTTGCTCTTTTCTTCAGGCAATGAACTATGGGATAAACATAAGGCCAGCAAAGGTAAGCTGTGAACCAGCCCATGCCTGATTCATACTTCCTAACGCTGGGTGACTTCCTGAGTGCTGGGGAAGGAATGCATCTGTCATCAGCTATCCATTCCCAGAGGACCGAAAGCTTGTTTGGGGCTGATGACAGGGTTGAGAAGGTTCATTTCTCCCAAGGTTTCCAGTACACATTCTTCAACTGAGAATATGGCATGGGGTAAGTGTCTTGTGGTCTCATCACTAGGATGACAGAGAGAGGCAAGAGGGGCCCAGCCACTGTATAAACACTTGATAATGGAACCCTGTACTGGGTGGTGACAGAATGAACAAGAACCAGCCATTTCTCTAAAAGGGCTCAGTGGAGTCAATATATAGGTTACACACTCTGCTGTTTTTACTTATTTTTAATTAATTAATTAAGAGACACAGTCTTGCTATGTAGTTTAGGTTGGCCTTGAACTTACTATGTAACCCAGGCTGGCCTTGTATTCATAGTAAACCTCCTGCTTCAATCTCCTGAGTGCTAGGATTACATGGTAGGTATCACCATAACCAGCCTCAGCTATTTTAAAAGCCCACTCTGTCATGACAGGTAAATCACAGTGGAGAGCTGAACTGTCATTTATAGGGAAAGAGACAGTGGCCCAGGTGTCCTGGGAGGAAAAAGTAGTACTGCAACCTGCCACATACTGAGAAGGGAGGTGCCCAACAGTGGCAATGATGTAGCTAGTTAGGTGAGGAATCCCTATCTTCCCCAGTGTGCCCCAAAGATTACATTCCTGATGAGACCCTCACTGAAAGAGAGGAGGGTGGAGCATATCACTGATGGCAACCTGGTCAGAGGCTGGAAATGGGCTCTCCACAGAGACTCTGAGGCACAGAGAAGAGACCTGGTGACTGCAGTCAGGACCAGCTGTAGGCCTTGGTCTTTTTTTTTTTTTTTTTTTTTTTGGTACGGGGGATTGAACTCACGACCTCGTGCTTGCCAGGTAGGTGCTTACGCCACTGACCTAAATCCCCAGCCCTAGGCCTTGGTCTTGAGCAAGCCTCAGATGAGAGTTAGAAGTGATCTGGGACAGAAAGGGCCCAAGAGGAATTGCCAGGGAGAACCTGGGTTTATAATATGGACAAAGAGAAAGGAGCTGGAGTAAAGGGCACCCAATAAAAATAAGAAGTGGCTCCCATCACTCCTATGGGAATCACCTGTCTTAGCAATGAAGAGCAAGAATCCAAGTTTTTAGAACAGCAAAATTGGCAAGAGTTAAATCTAAGACACGCTAACATGTGAGTAAAAACAAACCCAGGTAATCTGTAGGTATCACTAAGACAGCTAGCCGGCTTTGGTGCAGCATGTAGGGTGTCAGAATGATACACAAGAGCAGGCAGGGTGACAGGAATGCTTTTAGGAGAGGAAGCTCCTCCAGATCCAAGGGACAGCAGTGCCGTGGGTCTTTGCCACCACAGACTGCAAGACAAAAATTGAGATGCAGGACAAGACCAGCAGCTGTGACACTACCATTTCTGCTTATTCTGACTTCTTGGGGCTTAGCTTTGTGGCATCAAACAATTCAAGTTTTCCTTATTCTTAGGAGCTGACAGAAGAATACATGCTAAAAACAAATGGGATTCAGGCACTCTACCACCATTAAGATATACTAGATTGTGCAGTAAGCTCTAGTTAAGGAGACAATGGCCGGGCCCAGCTTGGCAGGAAAACACAGTGCCTGACCTCTGTGCTGGTTCCATGTGCCCCTTACTCAGAAAGCAGCAGAGCTGAGCATGTGGGAGGCCACCCCTCCTGAGCCACATGCAAGCATGAGATATGAACCATGCATTCCAACTGACTGTGTCAGGACCTCTCAACACAGGACCCTTGATCTGAGCATGCAGTCAGGCCAGGTAGGGATGCGATGGGCAGGAGAGGACCTCAAGCTACCCATCCTTGCACATCCACTGCTTGCTAGTAAGCAGCGCTGTGATTTTTTCCACTGCTACAGTGTAGATGGGGCAGCTGAGTGCCTTTCTCACTTTGCTGTAGAGCTTTCTATGGGAATAGAGAGAGCCTGGTCTCTGAGCTATTGGCTCTGCTCCCCACTGGGGAGTCATCTGAGGCAGAGGGCCTCTCATCCTGGCCACAACCTTCCTGATTTTAAGACACAGGAACAATTAGATACTGTCTGCTAGTGAATGAAGGAATGAACACATGGTAAGAAAGCAGGCTGAAGAAAAGAGATCAGCTTTCCTCTGCTTATTCAGAGGTGTGGAGTGTCAGTATCCTGGAAAAAGGTGAAGATTTTGATGAAGAGCAGACATGGCCAAGGCTGTCCCAGGCCAGCAAGTGCTGCCACCTCACAGACTCCACATAGCTTAACCTCTGAGGTCAGCAACATGTATTGTCCAAGCTGAGAAAGGCACTAGAGGACCTGAGAACACAAAGAAGCTGGGCCGTAGGTGGTTACAGTGGAGCTCAGCCATCAGAGTCAGTCCCACACAGTAGAACCTTCTCCACTTTCTCTAAAAATGAAATCTAGCCTTCTGGGTAGGAGGAAGACATGCAACAGGTCCCAAGGGATACGAACCACAGAATGCTAACACAGGAGAGAACACACTTTTCCAACTTGGGCTTCAGCACTGCGAGTCTCAGAGAGAAGCTTTTCCTGGTTGCACAGAAATCAAACAGATGCAGGAGTGAGGCAAAAAGAAACCAGGGAAGAGCAAAGCTATGGTGGTCCATAGTTACAGCACCCATATCTGCCCCTACCCAGCCATAGCATAGCTGTCCTAAGGGATAGTTAGAGAGTGTAAGACCAGGCCTTCGTGACCAAGCGCCTGTGATAAACATAAAAGGCTCTCTGCCAAGCTCAGTGCTCACAACAGGCACAGAGGTGACCTTCAGGAATGACACAGCCAGCTCAATGGAGGAAGGTTGGCCTGAGGCAGGAAAACCACAATGCACCAGGTGACAGCATGGGGAACCAGTCCTCAGGAAGACAACAGATGGGGAAGAAGCTGTGCTGGGATGCAGCTGAGCTCAGCCTGAAGTCCCAACCATTGCTCCCATGTGGGAAAGGAACATCCCATGGAAGCAGAAAGTGATCCCTCAGGTATCCCTGTCTGTCTCACCTGGTCACGTCTGGGGTGGTAGTTGGGTGTACGTGCTTCATGATGGTCTGGATCCAGTTCCGTCGGATTCCAGACGTCATGGCTGACAAGGTGAACTCACCTTCCTTAGTCTACAAAAAAGACACAAAAATGTCGTAAGTAACTAGATCTAGGGGTCTTTGTTACTGCCCATCTCCAGTGGCCATCCTTGCACTGTGCATACACAAAGTGCCACATAGAGAAGGGCTGAGGCTGGGACATCTGCCAAGGACTGTGTGCTTTATTTAAGACACTTGAAGTGGGACACACTTTCAAGGGGGTGTGGTAAACTGGCATCTCCTTCCAGAGTAAGCACATGCTTACTACACTCCTATAATGCACCAGATAAGAATGGCATCTACATCTCTTTAGGGCATGCCTAGTCCAAACAGAAGGACAGAACCTCCCTGAAATGGGAGAGATGTCTGGGGAGGTGGAGCAGTGTGAACCTATGCCAGTGTCTTGTGGCCACTGGTACACTGCAGCACGTGTGTAGGGGTGTCCTAGTCAAAGTCCAGAGGTGTCTGCATGAAGGCTACTACCTGAGTAAAACCAGGTGCTGGCAGACAGGCTAGAAGGAGGGCTATGGCAAGAAGCCATAACTACTCGTGTTACCTAGGGTCTCAGCCCGGAAGCCCCTCAGATAGATGAGGGGCATGACACAGGGCCAGAGATTGTCACTGCTTGTGTGTTCAGAAAAGGTGTATTTCAGCACTGTGCTGTAAGCCACCAGACTGCTCACATATGCAACCACATGCCAAGTAGTAGGTGGAAGGTAAAGTTTTGAGGATGGTCTTTGGATGGGCAGTAGGTGGCAAGGGCCTTAATACTTGAGTCTCCGTGCTGACGGAACCTGCCATAATACATTGCTCAGATCTGACCTCTTCCTCCACTGCAAGATACCACATGGACACTGCCAACATTCCTCCCTGGTCAGCTCTTTCTACCCGTAGATGTGACACTTTCTAGGGCCTGGCTGCAGCACTCCATCTCATTTCTCCAGCTGAACTCTTTCCCACTCAGGGCCACACCCACCCATTACAGGTTCTCAAACTGAGCCCGAATCATGGAAACTCAGCCCCAGGTAGCCCCTTCCGACTGCCTCTCCTCTCAGCACTGTGTACCCTTTCCTTCTCCCTGCCCACCACCACCAAGCTGCCTACTTTGTCTCCCTTCCAGTGCCCTGACATTCTGCCTGATATGTTTTACCAGAGTTTGTATCTCCAATACCTGCCAGGCCAAGCCAGGTACTACTCCACTCCCATGGTACTACCCCATCTGCCTCTATTAGATTTCCTCTTCTGCTCTGTCAGATCTAGGACTGAGCTGGGCACTGTATACTCATCCCTCCAGGCTCTAGAAGCTCACAGCTGAAAAGTAACCTCTCCCAACCTAAGACTTGCAAACCCTGGGACTTAAAAGCTTATTGAATCAGAGTAAGCTCACCCCAAGGACAGAGTGAAAGGTCACTGACAGGTGAAAAGGTGACAACTACCATGGGCCCTCAACTACCAGAGGGCAAATGAGATCTCATACACAAAGACGCCCAGCCTAGAGACACGTGATGACCAAGATAGGGCTGAGGTTCACTGAGTGCTCTACATCTTCTACAAGGGGGAACTGACAGCTCAGGCTGCTAAGAACCATCACCTCATGCTGGCCCTGTAGCCAGGTCAATGGAGAATCCTTGATTGTGACATAGCTCCCTCACAGACATGTTGGAAGGGAAGGCAAGAACAGGGTCGGGGACCAGGGTTTTCCTAATATAAACATGCTGGCATTTAGGGATTTAAGTTTGGTGGGTCTAAGTCTCTGAACTCAGCAACAGTTGAGCTTCTGGGTTCAAAGACTGGTAGTTTAAGGGCTGGGATATAGCTCAGCAGTATAAGTGCCTGCCTGACAAGCACAAGGTCCTGAGTTCAATGCCTAGTACAAAAAACCAAAACAAAAACAACAACTAGTAGGTTAATACATGCTATCAGTGAGCTCACAAGAGCCTCAGCCTGGCAGGAGAAACCAACTCTCAGAGCCCGCTTAGGGAGCAAGCTCTTTACCTACTACCACTTAGAAGGCTCTTGTGAGAGAAGACAAAGAGGCTTCACCCACAGAGGGAGCTGTTCTTTGTCCTTGATTTCATGACTAACTGACTGACTGACTGGATGGCACCATGCGAGGGCTGAAACTACCTGGTAACTGATGTCGACAAGATGGCCTTAGGGAAGCAGCCAGCTACGTAAGAAAGACAAACATCACCCATGACCTAAGAGAAATAGAGTTGAGCCTTGTGAAATCAGTGGACATCTGGCCTACAGATGCAGATCAACAACCAGGATGGTCACTCAATCAAGCATAGCAGTCACGAAGCTTCCGTGGAGACAGCACACTGTAGCCCTAGCATGCTTCCTGGAAATACTATACTGCTGCACATTAAACGAGAACCTTCCTGGTCCCAGTTTTTACCTCACAGGTCCACCAATTATAAAAACAGTGCTTTCCTGAGTTCTGAAGCCTTTTTTATTTTTGAGATATAAAATAAATTTATTTTATTTATTTTTCCTTGCTATATAGTCCAGGGTGGCGACCCTCTAGCCTCAGCCTCCTGTGTGCTGGGACTGCAGGTGTGTACCACCATGCCTGGCCTGAAAGGTTTTTGGAATCCCCTGAAGCTGCCACTGGTGTCAGAAGTGAGAGCAAATATGGCAGTCAGGAGGCCCTTAATCCTCGGCCTGGTTGGTTCATAGCAGCCCTGATCTCACAACTTTGATGTAATGGCTAAGAACACTCTGATCTATCCAATTAAGACTATTTTTGTGAGGGCAGGACCATGCCTTGCTCATCTGAGATCTCACAAAAGTTTTTTATTTCTCACAAAATTTCTGAAATTTAAAAAACTCAACAAATGCTTTCATTTTCATTTCTTGCATCTTATATCCTTCCAGTTGACATACACTCAAACATTAAAAAATAAAAGACAAAAGAAAAAGGCCTTTAGCAACAAAAGCCTTTAAAGAGCCTTGAAAAGAAAGATGCTGATTTTTGTTCTGTTTTGTTTCGATAACATATCAGAGTGGGGAGTCCGGAGCTGCAGGACAGATGTGCCACTGAGTGCTGACCACACATCAGGGCAGGCCTATTTATAGGTACGTGGGTAGGACATCGGGTTCTCAAGGAAACATGCCTGCTAGGCAGACCTTTGTTTGGCCCACCTCACCCTTGCACTCACATGTATCTGAAAGCCATAGTTTCTCTGGACTGGATACTCTGTGACATCATAACACGTGGACAAGTCAATTTCTCCATCTAAGTCTGCTGCCTGCAGGAAGAAATGAGAGGGTCATAGATTTAAAAAGAGCCATGGCCTACCTGAACACATTCCATGAATGACTTTCTGTACTGACCACATCTTTAACAGGAGGAGACCTTGACCCACATCCTGCCACTGCAGAGCACAGGACCCCGCCCCTGCTGCGTCCATACTATCATTTCTCTCTGTGTCTGTCCAAAGACAGTACATGTTAACAGTTCCCAGAGGTGCTCGTGTCATAAGTCCTTTATACTCTAAACAACGGATGAACCCAAAGAGATTTTGTGTATCTACTGTTTATCTACTGATGACACAGACAGATAACTCATTTAATGATTGAGTTCCAGTTTTGTGACTAAGTTGTTAAATAAACTGCTTGCTAGCATGTACATTACAATATTTAGAACAAAGAAATGGTCAAAGAGAATTCCATAACAGGAGATAAAACTATAGTTTTATCTGTACTGTACTGTACTGTACTGTACAATCAGCTCACATTACAGTACTATATAAACAAGGTGTATGCTACTAAAAAAAAGAACACTGAAGCTTTATAGACAAGATGTACAGAAAAATATGAAAAAAAGAGATGGATTATAAATCCTAAGTCTAAATACTTGCTAAACAGGTAGGTCCTTAAATGAGGAATATTTTGGCACCACATTAAAAATTAAAATTTTAAGCATCTTTAAGAATAAAAATAATCCATTTCATTTTCAAATTTAAAATAATTAAAAATGGTTTATAAAAGTGGCATGGATTTTTGTGTGTGTTTCTGCATATTTCTTACATGTCTTTCTTTGGAGACAACAGCTAGATTCTCCCACTTCTGGATTTAGTCTTTTCATGTACTGTTTCTGGTTGATGAGTATAAAGACAGAGTCCCTTCATACAATCACACAAAAAAGGAAAGATTTTAATAGCCTTTTTAGGTAACTGTACTGGTTTCCTTTGATGAACTGTAGTTCCTTAAAGGTTAATTAAATTGTGGAATCTGTTTCTATTGTTTTTTGAGCTCTGTTCAATTAAAATCCATGGTTCATCCTTTAAACCTCTTTTGTTCTATCATGTATCAGTCACATGGAAAACACCAGGTTGCACACAGCTTCCAACTGGTCACACCACCCACCGTGAAGGGTCTATGTACCATCTTTGCTCAGTCACTACTTGCTTTATGAGTAGAGTCTGGAAGTAATAGACACTGTCAAGTTCATGATGGTGAACATGAATTTTCCAAAGTTCTAGTTTTGTCTCACTTTCCTCTTTTTTTCCCTCCCTCCCTCTCCCCTACCCCCTGAGATGGGAGTCTCACCACGTTGCTTAAGCTGGTTTTGAACCACTCCTGGGCTCAAGACATCTTTCTGTCTCAGGCTCCTGAGTAGCTGGGATTTCAGGGTGTACTACTGCCCCCAACTTAATTTTTTCTTAAAACATCAAATACTATTATTGGCAATGAACTCTGTCAGCTATTTCCTTCTTGGTTTATTGTCATAAAAATGTCTGCAACTCACTAGACTGACCGGTTCACCTGTGAGCTATTCCTTCAAACACCTTCAAGCAGCAGCTAGTTCAGCGGGGAAGCCAGCAGTATTTCCCCCAAGACAGCCTGCTATTTGCCTCCCAACACAAATCATAGAATGATAAAAAGGTGAACCTGAAAGGCTGAAACCTCATAAAATTAGTAACTTTTCCTGCCCCATGAAAGACTATTCTTTTTGTTTTTAAATATCATGACTGTCACAGTATGAAGTGACCAACAGTCAAGTGTGGTCCATGGCCACAGCCTATGCCAAGGCACTAGCAGTTTTACCTAAGATTGCTAATACAGTGAAACAAAGTTTCATTCTAAACACAGTGTTGACCATCACAGCTCTCCTGAAAGGGACTCAGACCTTGCTCAGAGCTGCTGTCTGGCTTGTAATATTATCATTGAGAAAGCTGAGGCAGATCAGAGTGTGCATTCAGAGCCAGCTTGAACTTCATAGCAAGGCCCTGTCTTAGACAAAAAGAGACAGACAGACAGACAGACAGACAGGTAGGGAGGGAGAGGGGAAGGGGGAGGGAGGGAGAGAGAGGTAGGGAGAGAGAAAGAAAAACTTGTACTTTGTACCTACCTTCAATACACAGCATCTGCACTTGTCAGATATGTCCAGTGAATTAAATATACAATCCAACCCCACAATAGGTATCTAGGTTCTTTCTATCCTCTGTTGCAAAGATATAGGCAAGGATGACCAGAGTCTGGGATTTTTTTTTTCCTACATGTGGATATATCTGAAGGATCCCAGAGTGTCCCAGGGAAATGATAGAAGACTCATTTGCCAAACTTCAATAGAGTTTTTTTAAAAAGGTTTTTTTTTTTTTTTGTAAGTAAAACAAAACAAAACAATAACAATAACAATAACAACAACAACAAAAAACTTCTTCTGGTTAGTAGTCTAGAATCAAGACTGTCAAAGGGTCCAAAAGCTCCCCTACCACACCCCATCCTTGTCCAGAAGATGGAACATGATTTAGTTCAGTTCTTCCAATGACTCAGCTTCACCACAAAATCTTTTCACCAGAAAAAAACAGACTGCTTAGCCTGAGTGTTCAAATTTCAGTGTCCTTCAAAGAACAAAAAAATGAAAGCAGCAGAAACCCACTGCTCCAAAGTACCTACACAGTGCCTCAAAAGAGCCCAGCATCCCAGGTGGGAAATCAGTTGTGAGGCTGTCAAAGCTGATCTGGTTGTGTTTACTACTCCACCAGACTCAAACTGGGATGCACAAGCTGGTAATAGGGACACTCATCCAAATACAGCTGGGAACTTTAGCCCCGGAGAAAGCAGCACCACTGAGGAGCCCCAGGTCCCCAGGTCTCCAGGTGTTATCTGTTCCGTTTCTATAGGACAAGGAAGCCAAGAAACTCACCTCCTCAGCCACAGAGTCCCTGTAGTATCTCAGGCTCTGATCAGCCAGGACAAACCAGTGCTTCTTCCACTAAAAGGGAAGGACAAACAAAACAAAACAAAACAAAACAAACCTCAACTTGCCATGCAGCAAGTTTGCTGCTCTAGGGTGACCTACAGCCAGAGTCCTGAGGCATTGGCCAGAGCACAGCTAAAGCAGCACAGCTGGACCCATGTGGCAAGTAGCACATAGATGACTGATCAAGTGGCAGCCAGCCATGCACTCACAACCTCAGGGAGGCTTGCTAAGCTGCAGCTCCTCTGTGAAAAGGCAGCAGAGCTGGGTGGGCCTAGGCTGGGGGCTCTGTGATCCACAGTGACAGGGTAGTGTCTAGTGCTTTGTAGGCCTCCACTCCAGCTTGAGGCTGTTGACAATGGGGCGGACCCATCACCATGGAAAGGTAGCTGTGAAAATGGCCATGAGAGCACAACCACTCGGCTGTCCTGGGTGTTTCCAACTGTGCCATAAAGAGCAAACTAACCCTCTAGAGTCCCTTGCAAGTCTTCACTATAAGTAGCAAGGAAGGAAACTTGAGTCTTCAGGTAAGGCCAAGGGCATTTAACACAGAAGAAAAAGAGAAGATGTTGGCACAAAGACTCAGCATATAGAAAAGCGCTTGGTTGAGCCCAAGTGGGCTAGGCTCTAAGGGCTCCAGGGCAAAGACCCAACAGGTTCCTCTTTGCTCTTGAGGGGAAGGTGCACTGCATGACTGGATTTCAGTCCCAAGCAGTTTTTTTCCTACTTGAATCTGATGGCAAGAATGGACCACATTTGCTTCCCCCAGAACCTAATGCTGTCACTGCAGCTGAGGTTATCTCTCATACCAAGATCTTTCAGCCCTGGGGAACTCTATTTGGCAGCTTTCTAAGGAAACACAAACCAATCACACAGCCAGTGGCCTTCCCTCTCCCTGCGGACTTCAAAAAAAGGCCACTCCAAGTGAAAGGCTAGTGTTACAGGATATTGCAGGCTTAAAGCCCAGGGTGTTGCTGGTAACTGACAGATCTGGCTGGTGTCTTTCCAGGATTTCCACCACAGCAGTAGTAGCTGTGTATCTGCACAATCATGAACAGGTAGGGGTCCCAATCACAGTCGTAGTCTGTGAGTCAACAGTGTGCAGGAAGTAGGAGATGGAGCAAGGGCTCACAGACTCCACACCAGGGATAAAACCAACTCAAACTCACACTGGCCAGCAGTTGCATACACTCACCTGGCCATCCTCATACTGCTTGGTCAGCCAGCCTTTCTTGAAATTCAGCAGGTCAGGCTGAGAAAGAGAGAACAAACAAACAACAGCTCAATCTCAATTACAGACAAAGCATATCCAATAAGGATGGCATTTTTGTCCTGATTAAGCGTGCACTAGGAAAGTTTTGCCACCTGCCAGGCAAGCCGTGCATCCCCTCTTGTTCCTGAAAATACCACCTACAGGCACTGTGAAGAAAAGAGACTCTAGGCAAGCATGGAGGGTATGGCCTCACTTGCCATGGGCAGCAGAAGCATGAGCTACCTGGTTGCCCCAAGAAATTTCTGCTTCAGCCTGCACAGAGTCCACCACTACCTAGCTGGTTTGGGACCAAGAACTGGCCTAGGTGTACAGCTTAGTGCACTATTTGTAAAGGGGAATGAGTGCAAGGATGGCTGAAAAGAGAACAGAGGTTCTTGCTCAAGCTACAGGAAGACAAAAACGAGAGAACTAAAAGGTTTTGAGACCACCTCTGGTGTTAAGAAGAGACAGCATCCCTGCCCAGACTCTCAGACAACTCCTCTATCAGGAGGAAGCTCAGTCTCCACCAGCATGGGACAGAAGACCAGCAGGAAAGGCCCAGACTCACTATCCCCACTGCACCCATTCTATCTGTGCCACTGTGACAGCGCTGAACAGAAAGGCAGCCTGAGAGAACGTAACATTAGGACACCTGCATCCCATCAACTGAGCCCGGACCCGCCATGTAGCCCACCTGCCACACAGGCTAGGCTCCAGGCAGAGCCCAGTAATTTCTTCTCTGGCCCCAGTCACTCTGTGGTTTTCTACAGCCATTCTGATCAGAAACTGGCTCTGCCATCTCTTACTATTCCATGGTCAGTCAGTAAGGCAGTTAGAACAGGTGAGAAGTGGTAAGACAATCACCAGAACAGGGTGTTCCAAGAGCCTGTGCTTCATCATAAAGAGACAACAGTGGACTGCTGCCTGACCTGAGATGGCCATCACAGATGAGAAGTCTCTCAACAGAGCCTTGCTTTAACTCCCACTTCACACCAGACTGTCCTTCCACCCAACGGAAAGTAACAGTGAGGAATTAGGATGCCCCAGTCCAGATAACCATTAAGAGGGAAAGTCCCTCTTGGGTGCATTCAGTCATGTCATGTGGGAGGCCTGGGAATGAAGAGTTACTCTATTCCTCAGGTCACTCAGCCTCACTGTGGATCGGTAAGTCATAAAGACTCCAACTCTGAGCTGTGATTGGGTCACTGTAGCCACGCCTCCTTAGAGGAATAATGCAGGTGTATCCCGGCTGGTTTCTTCTGTCCCGGCTTCTGCTGACAGTTGGGGGCAGTGGTTACCATCAAGTTAATAGTGAAACTGGTCTGTCTCAGCATGAGAGGTTCAGAATGGGTCCAGTATCTTCAGGAGGCTACAGACAGCATACAGAGGAGCTGAGCCAAGCCATTATGTCAAGGGTGCCTATGTTCAAATCTCTGACCACTCCTGTGACACTTCAGCCATTGCCGTTCCAGGCCCAGATGGACAAACTGGGAAAGCCCTACTTTGCTCTGTAATTCTAAGAACAGAGCAAGCTCCCAGTATGATGTGGCTCCTGCCTCCAAAGTACCACAAAAACAAACACTTCACACCAGAAGAGAAGAAGGTCCCTACTATGGCACATACTCCCAAAGTCAGGGTTCCTTGCGATTGCCCAGGCTGCCTTCTGAGTGGAGACCTGCAAACAGAGTTCAGAATACCATACAGACCCTGGTTCTGCTCAGCCTAGGAAAGGGAAGAAACACAGGATCTGCTTCTGTTGAGCTCAAGGCCAGTGGGTGGGGGCACACATGAGGGCCGTGCAGAGGGACGGCTGATAAGGACAGAAACAGACAGTGGCCAAATGGCCGAGCAGTGGTGATGGCAGATCTCTCCAGAGAACTTGGTGTACTGCCTAGGCTCACCGTCATGGAGGACTCCGTGGACCTCCTGTCCAGTGACTTGGCTCTTCGATGTGGTGACAGGGGGGAGGCCGAGGCATCTGAGAGAGGAGCTGTGGGGGTTTCGCTGATGAAGTCCTGTGGCAGAGAGCAGCCGCCAGTCAGTACAGCCCAGGGCAGCATGGGCAGGCGAATCAGGTTGTTTGTCCCTCCTTGAGCAGAAAAGGGTCTGTCTTGCTCCCAGAGGGGCCAGTATTCTGTCAGGCCCGTGTCCTGAGAGGCCCTCACTGGAATGCCCTATTCTTTCAGATGCTTGTTTATCATCAGTCTACTGGCTCTACCCTATCCTCCACTCCTAGGGTCATAGAAGGCTCTGTGGCAGTGAGTGGCGGCTGATATTGGGTACCTCATGAGCAAGAAAGAAGCCAAGGAGGAAGAAGAACTCAGGCACAGCAGGCTCCAGGAAGAGGCAGGTAGGAGCATGCCAAGAGCAAGAGGGCTGCTGCACTGACCTACCCCATAGACCAAGCAGAGGAATAAACATACAACTGCTGCCCAAAAGTCAGGAAGGAAGAAAGGCATGTTCAGCCTTGTGGCCAGGCTGCCTCAGAGAGGAAGAGAACAGTCTACTTATGACACGGGATCCAAAACTCATTTAGTGTCTCTAGAGAAAGGCAGAATTCTGAAAGGAAGATGCAGAAGACAGCCAGACCTCTGAGAGGGTAACTGGAGATGACTAAAGAGTGCATCCCTGGCAGAATGACATCCCCAGCTTTAGGGGTGCAGGTAGGGACAAGGGGCACGTGGGGTTGTGTGATACCTAGACCCAGGTCACCCCACAGGCCCAACTGGGCCTCAGTGCTCTATCCCCAGCAGCTCACCCGCTTCCTGGGGAATGCTCTCTTTTCGCTGCGGCCCTGGCGGGTGTCGCTCGATGGGGAAGGCCCGGCTGACAGATTTGTCTCCATGTGCTCTGCTTTCTCAATGTCCAATGCCTCAAATTTCTCAATTACCTGGGATCTTCTGCAAGAAAAGACAAGAGGCTGCTGAGGTTGAGTGCAAGTCTCTTCTGTTCCTAAGGTGGATTGGTCTTAAATGGAGTAGGGCTCCTACAGCCACCCACCTACGCCAGACCTATCTGGCTGCTTCAATGCCAGCATCCCCCAGCTTCCCTGTTGGGTGTGTGGAGCGTCATATACCACTAAGGCTCAAGGTTGGTCAGTCTGAGTCCCATCTATATCTTGTTTATGAGGGCTGAAACAGCTTGAGGTACAGCCCTCCCTGCCAGGTTCACACTTATCCTGCCCCATACCAGAGGACCCATAGAGTGTTACGCTGACCCATGTGGCTGTACACAGCTTGTCACCGGCAGCCTCTCCCAAGTCACAGACATAATCAGAAGGCAACCACCTTGGAAGGGCTCTGCACACTGCATCTGTCCACAATTACAATGCAGTCCCTGCCCAAATGCACCCAAAATTTAGCAGGCAAGAAGCCCATGAATTAACATTATTTCTGCCAACAGGAATAAAAAACCAAATTAAACAAAAACAAGCAGTTGATTCATATGAGAAGGCTGGTGGCCTTGTCAGGTGGTCTACTGCCGACGGAGCTGAGATGGGAGCGAAGCAGGTGGAGAAGGCGCGAACGCCACAGCGACACAGCAGAGGGCGGAGAGGGCAAGACCTGAAAGAAAACAAGGCTGGAAAATGAATAAACAGAAAAGGACTGTTTGTAAAATCAAATCATAGTAAATCAAAATTATTCGAAGAATTGAAGAAGCAAAATCCCAAGGTGATTGTGGAAGAGGGAGAGAAACCATGATTGTCCCATAGTCCTAGAGTCACATCGGTGGGTTAGTCAAGGAGGCTCTCATTCCTGGGGTTGCCCACCCTACAAGAGAGCATAGGATTTGGACCTGGATATGGCAAAGAGCAGCCTCTCTTCCCCAGACCAAAGGCCTATGCTCCTAGGCACATCTCAATCCCCTCATGGGAACGGCTTCACTTGAGTTCTGAACAAGTGGTTGAGACCCAAGGGCAAGTGCCTAAAGGGTCCCCATAGCCAGAAGACTAAGACCTAACTAGGAGGAAAGGGAAGAAGTGGCTCAGATCCTGGGGGACAGGGATGAGGGAGTCTGAGCCCGAAGGAGGGTACCAGCTAGGGATGGACAGAGGTCTGAGACACTAGGCTCTGCTTTATCTCTCCAGCTTTCTCACAAGGATCTCTTCAGCAAGGGGCTTGTGCTGGGCCAGCCTGATGCAGCAGCAGCTGAAGATGAGCAGCAAAGGAAGCAGACCAAGAATAGGGAACTACAGAAGCTACTGGGGTCACTGGGCTCTACAGAAAGCTTTGGTGAGTGCAGGCAAGGCATCCATCACAGGTTAATCACTGTGACGGGTCATGGTGTCCAGTTCCTGCTTGCTGTGGAGCCTAGAAAGGCCCAAGAAAGCAGTGAGTACTGTGCTGTGCTAGAACCTCATGCAAGTTGCATGCTATGAAGCTTTGGAGCTCTAGGCAGAAGAGCCAACTGGGAAAAAGGAAGGCACTTGCTCCAGCTACTCCACACAGCCTCAAGGAGATACTGTGAGACCAAAGGCTCAAGCAACCTCTGGCACAGTCATTTGCATTCTTAAGTATCACAAGTGTGACAAGTATCACCTCACTGGCAGCATATCAAGACTACATGCTGCCTTCTGCAGCAACTGGCTTCCCAGGGAATTAACTGAAACACAATGAGGTTGGCAGGTCAGGACCACAGGAGACCCACCCTCCTGTCAATCAGCAGCAGTCCTACAAGGGCTTCCCTGCACTCAGCAACCAAAGACAACTCACTGTCCAAGAATCATTGGCAAAAGCTCCAGGTATCTAATGGACAGACACATGGGAACCTAGAGCCTGTCAGGTTCAGACAGGACTTATCTATTAGCTCAGCTGAGGCGTGTCAAGAAATTAACATCCGGTCTTAGCTGCCTAGCTTCAAGGTAGGCCTCTCCTGGCTGCCACTCAGGGGACTGTGGCTCATTTCCTGCCACTTTGGAAATGCTTTACTTTGCTAAGGGACAGGATCCAATCCAGCACGAGGTGGCCTATTCAACATCTAGTGAGTGGGCCTCAGAGAGTGATGGCAGCCATTCAGAGATCATTAGGGTTAGTGAGGAAGGGACAGTCACAAGGTTAGAATGCAGAGGAGGAGAGTTTAGGGTGCCAACACCAGTTGAAATCCATGCTCATGGTGGCAGAAAGCATGCATAAACAAAGCCCAGAGACTACATCTATACTAGGCCAGGAGATGAGAATAAGTTCAAAAGAAATTCCTTTAAGAAGTGGCCAAGCCAAGCAGGTGTGCAGAATGTTAATTCTGTGGTTTGGTGCTAATCCAGGATATGGCTACTCCTGCTCAGAAGCCACCACAACACACAATCTGCTGCCAGCCAGCACAAAGCCTCCCCTGCCTGTCCCATCAGCTTCCTCAATCACTAGCAAGATCCTCTACTTGTATGTTTGCTTAAAAAAGGCCATAGGTCCCAGTCCTGGGTAACATCATGGGAGTAGTAACTTCCTACAAGGACCCACTAGCCGCTTATTGGGAGAGGTCATCCTGTTTCTGAGCCATGGTTTTCACATGTACAAAGCAGGGGTGGTAATAACAGGCACCTTGATGAGCTACCAATGAAATGTGAGGACAGTCAAGTGCATGGACATTCTTCTTCCTCTTTTGTTAAAACCAACGACTAGGAAAGTTCTCCTTTTCCGGCAAGTTGATCTGTAGATCCACAGGCCTTTCATCTGGGCCCTTATGACGGATGGCTGGGCTGTCGGCTAACATGGGCCAAGGAAAGGGTTGGGAGATAGGAAAGACACCTCCTCAGAACTGCCTTGCCTTCCCGTGCCCTTCAAGGAGCAACAACCCCTGCCACATTCGGAACCTCCAACAGCATGCCGTTTTTTTGTTTTTGTTTTAATTTTTTTGGACAGGGTTTTATTATGTAGTTCAGGCTACATAAGAAAAGAACCCACTTTGAAGCCCAGGCTGGCCCCGAACCTACAGTGATTCTCCTGCCTCAGCCTCCTGACTGCTGAGTCAACGGCATGTCTATCTCTGAGTTTTAGGTTGTGCCCAAGTTAGGGAGGACACTGTGGACAAAAATTCTAGAACTTCAGTCCTATCTCTTTTCAGGACAGCAAAGTTCTTTGAAAACTATGGATTCTCCAAAAAACTAACACACATACTTCTAAAATGACACAGGTACTCCTAAAATGACTTTGAAAGAGGCGTCACAGACCTCTAGGTATCGATTCATAGAGCCAGGTAAGGAGCCCTTTTGTCCAGGAAAAACATCCATTTACCTTGTCCAGGAAAAACACGGTGGGAACTCCTTTGAGGGACACTTGGGTATCTATCTAGGTCTAAGCCTGGAAAAGCCACAGGTAGAGTCTTCTCCAGTTCTAAGGAAGACTAAGTCAGTCTTCCTTAGGGAGGGCAGGCAGAAGCTTCCTCTTCTTGGACAGCAGTGAGATCTCCCCTGCCCTTGGCCAGGCTGTCTATATCCCACTGCTCCCCTGAAGCAGGGCTCCACTCTGTCTTCCCATTTCAGCCAAGAGGGCAAGAGGGCTGTAGTAAAGCCATCAGACATGTGGTAGCTTCACAAGCCTCCTTGGTTTCCCTGTGGATCACAGGAAGTGTGACCTCAAAGGAGGAACCTGTGCTGACATTGCACTTCCTCAGTGCCCTCTGCCCATTCTGGGACTGCCAGGTAAGGAAGGCCTGTCCCCACTTGTGGCTCTCGTCATCTCAGAGAACAGAAGTGGGCCAAAAAGCACCATATTCAGTCCTCCATAAGGTCTGGCAGCTGAAAACCCCCAGGGACCCCCAAGGTCACAATCCAGGAGGCACTGACCACAATAGCCCAGGGCTCTGGGGGCTCAGAAATCCTGTACCTGATTGCCAGGAGCTGTGTTCTGGAGCTGGTCAAGGGCCCATAAGGAGAGGTACCCTGCACTCTCAACAAGGAAGCTTAGGGAGTGTGTGTGTGTGTGTGTGTGTACATATGCAGGCATGTGTGCATGTACACAATCGCATAACAGTATGGCCCTCTAATTCCTTCCTTACCTCCGCTGGTTGCCAAACAGACGGGCCACCTCTTCCCTGCCAGGGCTCCGGGCCCGAGTCCTACGCTCCAGTCGCCTTTTCTCCACCTGGAAGGCTTCTCGGTGGCTGATCCTGATGGCCTTAGGGACGTCGGCCAGGGCAGCATACTGCCGGGTGGCTTTAAAGGCAAAGGCGCTCCCCAGTCTCTCTGTCCCCCGCCCCCCAGTGCTGCTGCAGTCCACACTGGCAAAGGGCCGGCTGGCCTCTTCCAGGGAGCCGAGAGAGATGCTGCAGACCATTCGCCTGGAGTCTTGAGGACCTGAGGAGTGAGGGGGGTGACCAAACTTCTGCGAGAGTGATTTGGGATAACTGTACCTGTTGTTGGGGGTGCTAGGGCTAGGAGGGGAGTGCGGTGGGGGCAGCTGCTGCTCCTCAGCCTTCAAGTCCTGCTTGGTCTTTTCCAGTGAAAAGTAGCCACTTTCCACCCGCACTTTGCGGCCACAGTCCATGCGGTCGCTACTCATGGAGCTCTCCTCTGGAAGAGAAAGGGGAGGAGGAGGTAATACTCAGCCTGCAGCTAGCTATACAGTAAGAAAGTTTAAAAAATCTCACACAAGGTCCCCAAAGGGGTCACCTCTCCATCTTCTAACTCCCATGCTTATCAGGGACTGCTCAAGGGCAGATTTGGAAGGCAAGAACTATGATGGAAATGAACCATTCTCTGTACTTTCCCATCAGGTAAGTCTCCCTGGAATCTGGCCGAGAGTAGCTGGTGGGCCCTTTGTATTTAGTCTGGGGCTGGGCAGGTACAGCAGGACTCCATCCCAGGAGGGATGCTCATCAAATCTCCAGAAGGAAACAAATGGTCAACCACACAAGCTCTCAAACTTGGGATGCAAAGTGGCAGAGGGTAAGGAATTATAAATGGGGCGAGTGTGCTACCAAGGAATGCAGACAACATGTACCCGCAGCAAGTGTAAAATACATTCCAGCCTTAACCCACTGGGCCAGTCCTTATAGTACACCTGTCAACAAAATATGAAGGGGGAAAGCCAGCCTGGTGCAGAACCTAGGTTCTGAGATCAGGGAGGCAGAGACAAAATAAAACAAAAACGACCCCTAAAACTGCTCAGGCAAGTGCAAGAGCTCAGCGGAGAGGGCAGAGTGCCGTCAGCCGCTTCCTCCCCAGAACTTTCTTCCCTCACTCTACCCGGCGTCCAAGGCAGGATGGATATGGTGAGGAAAGGGACAAGACTACCCTAACTACTGCTTATCTCAGGAAGATGTGGGCAGTGTGGGCTAATACAGCTATGAGAATAAGCACATGGTGCATGGAAAAGGCCTCCTCACACAATGGCCCTTGCTACATACCTTTTTGATTCTTCTAACACCTGCCTGGGGATGCAGAGTAGGTACTGTTTTCAGTTTTACAGATGAGATTTAAGAGCTACAAGGGACAAAGCCAAAACCACAGCTGATCCACAAGGACAAAGTCGAGTGCAGGGCCCATGATAGGGCTCTACAGGCTCCTGACCATGTCCACAGTTAAGCTCCTGTCTGTTGGGATGATGGGACACCAGGATATGCAGGCAGGCCAGCCAGGCCCCGCTCACCTTCTTTGCTCTCCAGCCCTGGTTCCCGCAGGGAGCTGGCAGAAGAAGGCTGGCTCTGCCTGGGACTTTGAGCTGGACTTAGGTTGCTCCCATCAGGCTGGTCCTTGGCCCTCATTTCTTCTTGCCAGAGCGTGGACTTGGTGGTGGGGACTTTTTCTGCACTGGGGATACTGCTGCTGTTGCTGGTCACAGCCACCTTGGCAGGCCCGGGCTCCTGGGAAGACAGTGGTGTCAGTGGGGGTATCCGAGCAAACAGCTTGAGCTGGTTCACAGGTTCTGGCTGCCCAGCTACGGGAGATGCCAGATCAGCTACACAGACAGGTTCAGAGTCTAGGAAGCCCCAGAAAGGGGAACTGTGCCCCCAGAACACTGAGGAAGCTCCATCCCAACGGCACGTGGCTTTCTCCCCTCTGGGGCTTCTGCAGTGCCCAATCCAAGTGGCTTCAGGCCACCTTGGCAAATGTAGATGAAAGGCCCCAAGTTTCTGTCAGAGTCCTTTCACCAAACCCATACCAGCCCTCCCCATCCATGCAACCAGTCAATACCCAAAGGTGGCTTGAACACCAAGGAGAAAATCAGAGAAACTAATTCACAGTCTGTCATGCCAAGACTCTCAGGTACTTCAGACACCAATATATGGAGACAGGACAGGGTTACAAAGAAAATGACTTTAAACCAGGCCCACTGTTATCTGCAGAGCCTCAGTTAATACATATGACAAATTTCCAGGGTATCTAAGCCTGGCCAGCCCTGTAGCCTCACCCACCTTCCACCTTTGAACCTAAGAAACTAAAACGGAATATCCAGACACTATGTGAAGGAAAGAATCATCAATGTAAGCAAATATTATCCCCTGAATGTTTGTGCCCTTCTCTCCCCCAAAATCATGTGTGGCGATCCTACCCTGTCGACATGAGGGCATTCTTAACAGTTAAGTGATTAGGACATGAGCGTGAAAAGTGAATATCAGTGCTCTTACACAAGAGGTCCTAGAGAAGGGCCTTGACCCTTCTACCATATAAGGAACAGAAAGTGGGCTCTCACCAGATACTAAATCTCCTGTAGCCTTATCTTGGGACTTCCCAGTCTGCAGGGCTGAGAGAAAATAAGTGTCTGTTGTTCAACTCACCTAGTCTGTGGTATTTTGTTAAAGCATCAGGGATGGACTAAGACAACAAATATCCCACTCCAATCTGAAAACATATGAACATGTTCGCATGTGCTTGTGTGCAAATGCTCTCTCTTATGCAAGCTAGTATCAAGGGAGTGGTCTGGACAGGAATAGTGTCAATTCCCACTTCCCCAGGGTACAGAAGTGGTGCTGCCCCCAAACTAGGCATGTGCAGGGAAGCTACCTTATAGACACAGAGCATGTAGTTCTTAAGTATGCAGAGAACTGAACTCCACAAACACACAGCCTAGATGAAGGTTCGTGTTATGTTTTGAATCTGGAATATTCCCCAAAGGCCTAAGTTTTAAAGGCTTGTTCCCCAGCTGGCAATGCCACAAGGAGGTGGTGGAAACTTTAAGAGGCAAGGCCTGATTGGAAGAGGTGAGTCAAAAGAACTGTACCAGTGAAGGGGCCCCACCTGCTTCCAGGCCACTCTAATAGGAGCACCTTTGCCCTACTACATACTCCTAGCTGTGATGTTAAGTCTCATCATGGACTTAGAATCAAGAGGACCAGCAAAACAATGGACAGAAAATTCTGTAACTGTAGGCCAAAAGAATCTTTCTTCCTTAGTTTTCCATGAGTACTGTCATAGTAATGTAAAGCTAACAAATACAGCTGCTGTATCCCCAGCTGCTATCCCCACCTGTGTTGCAAAGCCAGCTCCCAACAAACAGGATAGCTCTGGCCTCTCTCAAAAAATGAGGCATGTCTCAACTTGCCAAATACAGGACAGAGGTGACACAAAAATACCCACCTTCCCTTCCCATCCTGGTGGCCCACCTCATTTTCTGGAATTCCTCTTAGGTTACCTCTGGATTGGGCCCCTGATGAGGGTTACAGATGACCAGGTAGTGTACATGCAAGGACCTAAGATGATCATCAGGTTATCTGTGAGTAGCCAGGCCAGGCACTGTACTACCCAGGATCACCAAACCGGCAGAAGGACTGCAAGGATGAGAAGGATGAGTAGGGATAGTGCTTTTTTAAGTCCACGGCCAAAAGCGGCAGCATGGAGGTCCAAGCATTTCTACTACTGTGTGCACCAGAACAAGAAAGGTGAGGAGGAGCAAGGGACTAGATGGAGTATTTGCTCCAAAGCTGTTGCCAAATTTGAAAGGATCCCAGGCCTCACTGGATGAGATCAAACCAAGAGGCCCTTTCCCAAGCCCAGGACCTATACCTGACCATTTATCTGGCTCCGAGTCACTGCTCACCGATTCCCATGTCTGAGACTGCCTGAAAGAAGTTAGCTTCAAAGCAAGTGATGTAGGACTTTCCTGACAGTTTCTGAAGGTCTCCAATGACATTTGGAGACCAGTCCCAGGGTCATCCTGCCTCTCAGTCAGGACACCACTCTGTGTAGATGGTAGGGAGGCCCACCTCTGGGCAAAGACACTTTTCTTCTTCTGAGTAGGTAGATGAGACATCTTGCTGGGCTGAATATGGCCACACAGATCCTTCTCTTCTCACAGTGCTAGACTGGGCTCACACTACATAGACTCAGTCTGGGTTTGAGGAAGGAATAAAGTACCTGGGTTTTTTGTATACCATTTCCTGAATAGGCAGCATGGCTCACAGCTGTCAGTGCCCCACTAAAGTCTGTGCTGTTGATCAGAGCTGCTGAGAAAGTTTCTAAGAGATTCAGGGCCCCTCTCTGGAGGCATGTCAAAGAAGGCTTTTTTTCTTCCCTGGTATGCAAATGGAGCAGAGGACACAATGGGAATGGAGAGCTCTGACCTGGAGCAGTGGATAGCAGATACCCCCACAGAAAGTAAGATTCCTGTGAGGGAGAGGAAGCCATTCAACACCTGCACAGGTTGCTGTTATTGGTGGTGGTGGTGGTCTCACAGACAAGCCAGCTGTTTTACAGGTCTCTGCAATGGGCCAAGAGCACATGGCTGGGAGATGGGAGGATCCACCTAATAGACCTCTGGGGTCTGCATAACTGACTAAGGGACTCCAGACCTGGTCATACTTTATGGTGGGTTTGTGCTATTACCTGCCCCAGGTACTCTCTTTCTTAGCCATATGAGGAATCTGTGCTTCTCAAATCATCGCTGCTGGGTTCTGCTTGGGGCTGGGCCTGTCTCCTCTCACTGCCCTGGGCTCTGTTGGGATCCCCACCCCAGACTGCTATCTGTGGCCTGATCCACGGCCCCATCTTCAAGATGTGAGACTCACAGCTCCCCTACTTGTGTTTCCCTAGAGCAGAGGCTGAGTCTAACTGGACTCAGCAGAGACTGAGGCTTCAGTGCTCCACAGTTTAATCTGAAACTCTCCTGGGCCCACAGATAGCTGTACAGAAAGAACCAGGTATAGGATTTCAGATTCATGGCCCTATAGAGGCCCCAAAGGCCTAAGGCTCACTCCATAGCCCAGCCTGGGCCATTTGAATGCTACCAGAATCATGCTGCCAGAAGCAGATCTCCTCAGGGACTGTGAGATTTATGCAATCTCCACCTCTCCTCTAAAGAGGCCCACGTCACCTGAGGGAGATAGCGTCTGATGAAAGTTCACAGTTTTGGAAACCAATGGCCTTAAACAGGATGTTCTGGAGATCAAGAGGCAGAAGAAAATCTCCACCAGATCAGCTTAGGAGAACACTTAGAAGAGAAAGCTAGAATGATCCAGGTCCCATGCCCTGTATCTACATTCCTAGAAATGCCACCTAGTCTAAGAGACATGGCTCAGGGAAAGAGAAGACCTTTCTCACTACCTGCGATCATATGGCTTCTACCAATCTGAAAGGGAGAACCTGATCTTGGGCAGCAGTACTTGGAGTATGGGGTCACAAGTGAGGGGATCCAACCAAAGATCCTGCCTTGGCCCAAGATATCTACAACAAATGAAGTTAACCTTACTTAGAGGCAGCTCTGCCCTGCACTGTTTCCAAGGCATCACCATGGAAATGTAGAGTAACCTCAACCACTGTTCTTCTGCTTACACATTTTTTTTTCCCTCAGAACAGTCAGCTTTGAAAGATTGTTTATTAACTGCTGTTCCTCAGCAGGAAGTTCCATTTTCAGTCTCCAAGAAGCACTCTGTATTTTTTTGTAGACTTCTAATCAGGAACATCTCCCTCGTAGGGGATGCTGGTGGTGCCCCTGGGGCACCTTTGGAAGGGATAAGATTGGGGTGGATGTCCAATGATGGGGGGTGGGCCCAGGCACCAACATGTACCCGTTTCTGACCATTCCTGGCCTCCAAAGCCCCTTGAGACAAGAGCCAGTGAGGAATGTCCTGTCCCAGGGGCAACAGGGTTCTACCTTCACCTGGCTTTCTTCAATTTCAGCAGGCCTCTCACCCTGGGACACTTAAGGGAGTCCATCTCAATCTGTTCATTTTCAAGGGGCTGGGAGGCTCAATCCAACACAGGAAAAAGCACTTAATGAGGGTTAAAGCTGGGTAGAAAGAGGAAAGGATTAGCATTTACTAAACAGTCACAATGGACATAATGCTTACATTAACACTGACAATAACCCTAGCAATTAGACGCCAGTTATGAGCTAAGTATGGCAGCACAAACCTGTAATCCCAGCACTCTGGGAGGGTGAGGTGGGATTGCAAGTTTGAGCCCAATCTGGACAATTTAGAGAGTAACCTGAGACCTTTTCTCAAAAAGGAAAAAAAAAAGTTCATTTGCCAGGCTCAGAGCTCAGGACCACAGCCTCACTTCCCCAGGCCTAAGACTGAAGAGCTCCTCAGGGATATTCCAAGACTCTCCAGCAACAAAGGACTGTGTGCCGGCAATCCCTCCTCCCTCTCCAGAGGCCCACAGGATGGCTAGAAAACACACTCAGAAAGGATGAAGTGGACTGTGATCAGCAGGGAGTGGGGAGGAAGGAGACAGCATGCAGGACATGACTGCCTTAGCTCTGGCCTGACCTCTTCCCCGTTCTTCACAGAGGGGAGGCCACCTGGCAAGACCATGGCCTACCTGTGGGGTGGGTGGCTCCACTTTCCGTTTCTTCTTCTGGTTCTGCTTGTTGGTCCTGGGATAGACCATGAGCATTTCCAGCCACCTGGGGAGAAGAAAGGAGACGCAGCGCCAGGTAAGACCCTGGCTCTCAGGAATCATAACTCTAATTCTTTCTGGGGTGGCCCAGGACGTAGGTCCACTGGTCAGGCCTCCAGGCACTGAGCAAGGCACTGAACAAGGCAGGGCATCACTCCAAATGAGAGATACCACAGCAGGCCCACAATACACTCACTGAACAGGTTACAAGCACAGGCTGTGCCAAGACCAGCTCCAGACAAAGATTTCGCCATAGTCATGGCAGGCTCAGGACACAACACAGGCGGTGGCAAGAGACAGGTCTGACCACATGCCTGGGCACACAGACACATCACTTTCCCATTACTGGTCAAATGCTGGTTTGTTTTGTTGGTACTTGAAATCCAACTCAGGACTTGGCACTTGCCGGGTAGGTATTTATGCCACTGAGCTGCATCTCCAGCCTGCTCTGCTGGGTTCTGACTTGGCTCTAAAATTTCCCATACAGAATGCATCTGCATGTACTCAAACAGGTAGTGACTGGAAGCCATTTAGAACTGCTGAAGCAGATGCTGACCCAAAGGAGGAAAGCAGGAATCGTGCCAGCAAAGTTTCCTATTTTGGGTCACCTCATACATGAATAGCCGACCTTCCAGACTGCCTCCTCAACAGGGAGGGGCCAGGCACTCTGGCTTTGGGAAAGGTCAGACAGAGCAGCAGCTTAAGACACCTATCAGGGCTCATGTGCTAAAGGGTATACCTGGACCATGACTGAGGGAGCCACAGTGGGTTGTGAAAAGAGAGGAGGCTGTGGGTAGCAGGCTGGGGCCCCAGATCTGACTGCTACTATCTGATCAGAGCCTTGGGTGCTTGAAGCCCCATTAGGGGATTGTGTCATTTTTGAAACCAGTTTATGGCATGAACACTGCTTCTCTCACTACATGCAACTTTATAAGGATTAAGCAAATGAAAATCACACCTTCATACCAGCACAAAGGAAGAGGGAAGAGGGCAGGAAGGGCAAGACAACACTAGTCTTCTCTCAACAGGAGAAGAAATTCCAGGACACACTTGCCTAGACCTTCCTAGAGCACCAGGGTCAGTGCTGGTCTAAGCCCTGTGTGGTGATGGTAAGGGTGCACTGTAAAATCCTGGCTGGACACTACACTGACCCTGTATCCAGCAGCCTTCATGGGGCAAAGACTCCCTGAAGTACTTCTTTGATTGATGCACTGCAGAAAGGGAAGGAGAATAGGTCAGAGCTGGAGGCTTTCTGGGACAGCCTCAGGATTGCTGTGCTGCTGGTAGCTGATGGCTGGAGAAGCTGTGCAAAGAAGCACAGTGACTGATTCAAGGGCCACCCTCACTTTAGCTTAGCCCACAGCGCTTTGTCTTGCCAAGAAAAAGGCCTGTGCTATCAGAGACACAGGTCCTCATCACCTCTCTGTGGCCTCTAAGCAAGAAAGGATGGTGTAAATACCTACAAGACCAGTATGGGGAAGACTTCCCCAGGGCCCTGAGCTCTCTCTTCCTGCACACTCCTCTTGTCTTCCACAGTAGCTGACATTGCTGCCAAGAACTCTGTGGAACTATGTCAGTAGAAGGCTACTTCCACACCTTCATCAGACTCCCAAGTCAAGTTCACTGCTCTCACAGGGGCTCAAGTATGTGGGAAGCATGGGAGATTGCAAAACCTTCTGGATATCCTACACCTTGCAGGTCCCACCTCCTGGCAACACTGAGGAGCTGTGTGGGGAGAGCCTTGAGGGAAGAGTGAAGGCTGACCAGGTCACATACTGACTGAACACTGAACAGAGCTGCTGAGTTCTCCTGGGTGGGGTCAGGAGCTTAGAAGATTGGCTGGGTAGGCCCTGGATTGTGCACCAGGGATCTTATGACGCTATGAGGCTGGAGTTATAGATGGTAGATAAGGGACAGATGATGGAATATGCCTTTTGTGCTAGCATTTCTCACAGATGCCCAATAGCAAGTGTCTAATGTTATCGAGATGTGTTACAAACATTAATAAACTCAGTGAAGAGAGGAGAGGGATGACTATGTACATGGAACTGGTGGGTGCCAGGGCTCCCTCAACTCTCATTCTAGAGAGAAGTGTGTGGAAATGGTTAGCTAGTACCTGCTGACAGAAGAGAACAGAGGAGTGACCAGGGGTGGAGTTGGGGCTCAGGACAGAGCTACGACCTTGGACTAACTCTTGAAAGACTGATCAAATGCAGAATATCACCCTTTAATTATATAGCATGTCACTAAGGCAGATTCAGACACCATACTGCACTGGGGACCTTAGACTCCTTTCTCCCATGCTCTCTCAGGGTTCCAGGATGGGAAAGTGAGGTTCCCCAAGGGATCCATTTGGGCAGGTTCATCTTGTCAGGCCAGGCAGCAGAAAGAGGTGTGAGCTGGAAGTGCAGCTCCCCACTCACACATGGAAGATGTCTCTGGCAGCTCCCATGCTTCCAGGCCCTTGGGCTTCTCAGTGCAGAGTGAGGATTCTTTAGAACCTTAAATCCCATGGTTCTAGATTAAGTTTAGGGAAAGACACAAAGTGCTTTCTCCCCTATCAAAGGATGCCCTTGTCCTTATCCTCTAGCCTCCTCTCAGTCTAAGCCAGGGTGTGGCTGAGATGCTGAAGCAAGATGGTGCTCCTAGGACCACTCTCATGCTTAAATCAAAGAACTTATATCCCCAACTTCCTCTGTCCTTCCCTGCAGCTGTCAGCCAGTTCTCTTCAGCTCCTCAGTTCTGCTTTCTTCCAAAGACTCTTTAGATGTATTTGCATCCTTCACACCTGAAAAGATGAGTGGGGCTCTACAAGATCCATTCCTTGAGCTCCCAACCAGGACTTGATGAACCTGCCTACCTACATAAGACTACACACAGCTTTTTACAATGGCCCAGGCAGCAGGGTGCAGGTAGTAAATGCCCTATTGTTGGACCAAGAGCTCTCTCAAATCAGGAACATGGAGCTCTTACCCTCTGTGACTATCACCTATGTTAAAACCTGGGTCCACCCTCCAGCTGGCTGGACTTCTCCTAAAACCCCACAGAGGAGTGGTATGAGCAAGAGGCTTGCCCCTTGTTCTCCTTCAAAGAAGCCAGTCTCTGCAGTGGTGCAGCTTATGAGTGAACACTGTGGATATGCCTGAGACATACTTCCACTCTCAAAGGCCACCCCTGTGGAAGATTCTCACGCATTTGGGTAATGTGGAGCCAAGTGATGGAGCCTCACGGCTCATGGGGCATGATCTACAGGCAGACATGGAAGCTGACTCTGGCTAGCCTGGAGGAAAGAGAGTCACTCTGCAGTGAGAAGTGGTAAGAAACCATCAGCTTAGCCCTGTGGAGACATGGCTGTGGGTGTGCTGCAGAGTCAGGGAGCTCAAAGTCACCAAGCAACATGAATCTGACAGTTGGGGACATGGCTTGGGCACAGGGTGAAGTCAGGTACACTTTGGGGACGGCCTTTCCTCATGGCTAAAGGACAGGTGGGTTGGAGTGTGCTGAGAGTAGAGGTGGGAAAGCTAGGAAGAGACCTGAGAGAGACATGGTAGCCCTGGAAGGAGGCTGCGTTCCCAGGATGAAGCGTGGCAATGCAGGCTGGCAGGCAGGTATGTGGCAGCCTAAGAGAAGGAGGGTGCTCAGAGAAAGGGCCACCTGGGGAGGGAGGCAGTGATGATGAGGCTGAATCAGCACATGGGCCCGCGGGTAGGTAGGAGGGTAGGCAGCACTTCCTCCCATGGCACTGCGCACTCACCCACTGATGATCTCTTTAGTTTCTGCCCTGATGAAATGTTCCTTCTCAGGTGTCAGGATGCACAGGGAGAATTTCTGGCCAGTTCGGCCCTCCCCATCCACCACATCTGTGCACTGGTTCATGTTGATGGTGCCCTGTGGGAGGGTTGTAGGCTGCAAGAACAAGATGAGCAGTCACTGAGAAGCAGCAGGAAGGTGGCAGCACAAGGTAGTAGCAGGTCCACAGCCCCCAGTCATGCCCAAGCCTTTCCCCACCCTGTCCTTGCAACTCTGCTTTCCATCTGTCCCCAGAGAGGACTGGGGCAGGCTAGGTTCCTCAGAGAACAATATCAGGACTTCACTTCCTACTTGCAAAACAATATTCCAGTCTCCACCAGAGGAAGAGGCAGGGGGAGACAGGAAGAGGACATCTCAGTGAGTACAGCTGGGGAGACAGAGGCAGCCAAGATCCTGGTCTCAGAGGGGTTGCTGATCCAAGACAGCATTGAGAAAAAGCTCTAAGAGGTGATTCAAAATAGCAAAGTTATTCTGAGATGTAAGGAGTGGACCAGAATGGAGCCACATCTTTGATTCCCAACTACTGGGCTGGGGGCCAGACCCAGACATCCTCTAAGGGCAGGCCTACCTGGAGCTATCCAGAGCCTTGCAGAGTTCTGCAGAGGCCCCCAGGCCAGCTCTGGTTCAATGAGCAGCCATTTTAAAAACAAAAACGAAAAAGCAGCAAAAGCTATTAACTGATATGAGGGACAGAAAACCAAACAGAAAATGATGAGTTTAAGAAATGCACATAGATGAAGGACTAGACAAGAGGACTTTCAAAAGATGATCTGTCAGCCTTGCATCCTCTGGCCTCACATTCTTCCAAATACTGATGCCTTGAGAAGGCTGGCAGGGCACAGTGGCTCCCATGTGCTAGGAACTTTGATGCTGTCTGTATGGATGGTTCCCACAGGGAATCACAAGTCACAGGCTCTGAGCCCTGGAGCTACAGGAGGCTGGCTCCATCCTCCTCTGGGACAGCTACCAGCTTCTCTATGAAGCTACCAGAGAGCTTATTGCTTCCTTGGTCCCATTACTGGAGAAGCAGGAGAAGCAGCAGATTCTGAAGCTTCAGTTTGCAAAGAGGTAAATGGCAGCAGGCCGCAGTTGGGGCAGCCTGCAATGGGGCCGCCTCCTCCTATAGCTCCAGTGCTGCCAGCTCCCTATCGACCACCAGAGGCATTGTTGCTCGGACCAGCACTGGCCCCAACATCTTTGTCTGCCAAATACTCAGGTCAGGAGTGACCGCCTCAGATCCTTACAGCTGGGATGCATGTGATCTTTCTGTCACTGCCACCAGGCCAACTTTCAAGTTCCTCTTGACATACTGACCATTTTCCTCTACAGCCTTGATTCCTGTGCAGTAGCAGACGTAAAGGCCAGGTTGAGATCACCAAGCCACTGTCCTACATGGCCCCCCTGGCTTTCTTCCCTATGTCTTGAAGATGAGCCTCCCAACTGCAAGAAGACTTTGACTGTAGGGTCCCTGAGCTCAGTCAAGCTTTATGACAGCAGCTCAAAATGTAGGTAGCCAGGCAGAAACTAAGCTCATGGGAAGTCTCTGGCCTTGTATGGGAAACAGCACACACCCTTTACCGTGGGGCATTCACCATATGGCCTGCCTCAGCATGGTGGACAGGTGCAAGGAGGGTCTTATCATGGCCTAGCCCAGCACTAACAGGGCCACATCCTACAGATGCCTCTCCCAACATTAATGGATGGTGCCAGCAATTGGAGTCATATGGGACTGTCCTGGAGCCAGCCAAGTGAAGAGCTGTAGGCAAAGGAGGTAGCTCCCAACGCCATCTTGCCTAGATCCAAGTATCTGCTGGCTAAGGAGGCTAAAGCCCAGGATCCAAGTCTTTCCTACATCTTCCTTCCAGCTCTAGCCCCCTTTTCTAGGCTATGGAAGTCCTCATTGCGGGGCCTTCTCTGGCATGTCCTCTGAATTATCTTTGGGTTCACTGGCCTCTCACAGATGGACTCTCCCAGGCCCCAACATGGTACAGTACTGCTCTGAGACAGAAGAAAAAGCTAATGTTGGGGCTTGCTGTGAGGACTGAATGATCACAAAGGAAAAATCTTTTTAGGCTTCCTCTTCTTCTCTGTCCTAGATTCCTAAACCAACCCTTGGGTCCAATAGTTTTAAACTGCTGACAGCATATGCCCGTAGTAGTCACAGATTAGTCATGGTGCCAGCAGATTATAAAACATCACATATGCAAAGGTAAATGAAAATGATAAACATATCAACTGAAATTCTCATAATTTTGTCTCAAGGGATCACCCAGGGGGTCCACTTTGAGACAACTATTACAGGGTATGGCATCATCAAACTAACTGCTTATCATTTCCTCTTACACAGTAACTGTTTCTGCTGGGTACTCAGACACCAGCCAAAGACTCTGTCCTGCAGCTGGTCACAGTTCTGGGTCTCAACCAAGATCTCGCTAACCAAGTATGAAGCAATGTCCACAACTTCTCTACCTCTCTGAGTCTAAGTTTCCTCAGGAAAGAAATGAGGGATCTGTCTTTTCTTTCACTGCTGAAACAAAATACCCAACACCCAAAGTTAAAAGGAGAAAAGCTCATTTAGCTCACAGTTTATAGAGGTCTCTTTCCATAATTGCTGGCTCTAAGGCAGGGCAGTTTGGCACAGGAGCATCGCAAAGTAGAAACAGTTTATAGCAAGCAGAAGACAGCAAAAGCAATAAAGAAAGGAGAGGACAGGCCTCTGTCCTTTATATTGTATCCAGGCTACCAGGACTAGGCAGTGTCAAACCAATTAGAGAACTAATTTAGTAAGCAAACAGTCCTAGCACCCTTAATTCTAGCACTGGGCCATGAATCAATCATACACTCCAGATGCGGTGACCTCGAAAAAGCCCCACCTATGACTGCATGGGGCTTTGGGGAAGACATCTAGACACAAGCATAATAGGTTCTATCTCCTTCCACGAGGGACATCAAAAGTATTAAAGAAGGCAAAGACGGAAACTAGGTCAGGACTAAAGAAAGCTACTGTTCATTTACAGCCGATATGCTGGCCCTTCTCAACTGCAATCTTTTCTATGGCCCTTTCAGAATTACCCTCAGTGAGGCAGACATTACCTGATCAATCTTATTGCACACACAGAAAAGAGGGCAAACGGGATAGATGTGTGTCACAGCAAGCTGACTCCAGAGGCCAATCCACTCCTGGAGCTTCCACTGAAGTGGGAAGAAACTCCCTGCTCCAAAATTAGATGATCTTATTTAACACCAGTATTAACTTTTCTTTTAGTAAAGGGTCTAGTGAGATATAATTCACATACTATACAATTTACTTATTTACAGAGTACAGTTCAATGGCTTTTAGCATTTTCAGAGTTCTACAACAACCAGCTGCAGAGCACTCTTATCACTCCTCAAACAAACAAACAAACAAACAAACAAACAAACAAACCCAGGACCATTAGCAATCATTTCCTTCCTTCTAACCACTAGTCTGCTTTCTGCCTTTGATGACTTACTTATTCTGGGTACTTTATATAAATGGAATCGTTCAGTACCCATTTGTGTCTGGCTGCCATTGCAGCCTCCTGTAACACTTTTTGAAGCTTCTCCTATGATGCAGCATGTGATCCCACTTTATGCTTTTCAGGGCTGAACAGCAGTCCATTGTATGGATGGAACACATTTTGTTTGACCATTTATTTGCTGACAACATAGGTTGCTTCCACTTTAGGGCTACTGTGAATAATACTGCTATAAACAGTCCTACACACATGTCTGGATGAACACATCTATGCTTTCATTTCTCTTGGGCAGATGCCTAGAAGTGGAGTTTCAAGGTCATATAGGAACTATACCTTTAACTTGTGATAAACTGACAATTTCCCAAAGTGACTACACTATTTGACACTCCCACCAGCAGTACAAGGATCTAGTGTTAACCTTTAAAACTGTATTGTGCCAAGCATGGTGCTGCTACCTGTAATCTCAGCACTCAGGAGGCTGAGGCAAGAGGATCACCATGAGTTCAAGGTCAGCCTGGGCTACACAGTAAATTCAAGGCCAGCCTAAACTACATAGTAACATGTTTTCTCAAACTAATGAAATAAATTTTAAAAACTGTATTATGTTGAGCTTCCAACCAATGCGCTTGGAGACAGGTCCAGGTACAAACAACAGCCTGCTTAAAAAAAAAAAAGTACTTCTTAAGCTGGGTGTGGTGACACAGACCTGTAATCCCAGCACTTAGGAAGCTGAAGCAAGAGGACTGCTCTGAGTTCAAGGTCAGCCTGTGTTGCATAGTGAATTCAAGACAAGAGCCACATATTGTGACCTTGTCTCAAAACAAACAAGAAAACAAAAACCCCTACCAAAGTAGCTCTTTCCAAATTTCAGTACTGCCTCCCAGGAAAGCAAGCAGCAATATTACAGTAGGTCAAGTGGCAAGGACACTTACCCCACCCTGCTCTGTGCCCTGTGCCTGTATCCTCTCTGTGAACACTCTCAGAGCCCAGTGAGGCTGCTATCACCATCATTTCTCTCCTACAGACAAGGAAGCAGTTTCCCAAGAAGCTAAGTAAATCATGATCCTAAGAATTAGCAGCCATGTCAGGACTTGAACTCAGGTCCCTGGCTCTGGAGCTAGACTCTTCTCTACTGTGTCTTCCACATACATAAAGCTGAAGCACATTCAACCACAACTTGGCTTCCAGATAATCCATGGGTGTAGCCTGTGCCTCTCCCCACCCTTGTTGCTTCTGCCTAGGAGCAGGACACACTCATCTGCATTCTCAGTCTAGGAGTCGGCCCCGGGAGGACAGAAGGAAATGTTTCAGCTAGGCCCAATCCCTATGCTACAAGAGCAAGGGCAAGTATCTAGGCTGTAACCCAAATCCAGGCGGTAAGAAAAACAGCCTCTGGTGCTATCAGCAAGGAACCAGCTCCAACAAGCTCCATGCCCTAGTTCTACACCTCCAGAGATTAGGAATCTAGGCCTTGTAAGAGGCCAAGCTTCACCTAGTTTTAGAAGTCCCCAAAAAAAGAAATGGCTGTCATGCAGCTATAAGCTCAGGCCTGCCTGGTCCTCTATCCATTTGGAACCTCCAGTCCTCTTTTGGTTA